AATAATATTACTATCTAAAAGATAAATAGATAATATATTTTATATTAAGATTTTAACGAATTATAATAATCTTAAGAGCTTTATAAAGTAAAAGAAATTAAATTTTAGATAAGCTCGTTAGACGCTAAAGTTAGCTATTTATAACTTTAAGATTTTTTATTAAATAAATAAATTAAACTCTATCGATCTACTATCGCGATATCTCGATTATAAGAGAATTTCGTTATTAAATATTAAATTTTTATTAATATTATAGAATAAATTCGTATTTTAAATTAGCGATAAGTAGTTATAAAGAGATAAAAAGCTTATAGCGATAATAGCGTCTATATTTCGTATTATTAATATCTAAATAATTATTTCTAAAAGAGAGTTTAAGATTATATAAGAGATTACTTATAATATATTTTAAAGATTAATAAAAATATTAATTTAAGATTTATAAGCCTATAATAATTAGATAAACTCTTTTTAAATTAATATTAATAAGTTAATAATTAAGTATCGCGTATATAGCTAAGTATAAATCTTAGATTTCGAGAGATTATTAAGATATAATAATTATCTTTATATTTCTAGAGATAAGATCTTAAGAAAAGAGCTTATTAGTAAATATTATAATAATTCGTTATTAGAATACTTTAGTACTATAAAGATATATAAGCTATTTATTTATAAATATTATTAGAATAAAAGTCTAAAGTAAATTATCGATTATATTAAGATATATAACGTTTATTAGCGAATTAAAGCTTCGCGATATCGTCTATATAGCGAATTAAGCTCGCTTCTTATCGCTATTAAGCTATAAAAGAAAATTTCTATAGACTTTATTATTAGCTTACTAGCGAGTAAGTATAAGAGTATTATTTATAATACTATTCTAATTATAATAAATCGATTTATAAAAATAATAAAATATATTTCTATATTTATTATAATTAATATCGCTTAGCTAGCGAAAGTATTTTATTTCGAAATAGTATATCGCTATAATATACTAAATAAAATTATTAATAATAATAGAGACTCTATATTTATTAATAGCTTCTAATTCGTTATTTACTTTTATTTTAAAATTAAATAGCGTCTAAGTATTATCTTTTATTTATAAATCGATAAGTAAATTAAGCGATAAAATTAGATACTATTATACTTCTTATATATATTCGCTAATAATAAGTAAAATATTTAAATAAAATAATTATTAATAGTAGAGTTCGCTTATATAAATAGTTAATATTTCTTTATCGAAACGATATTATTCTTTCTAATATATAAATATTATTCTAAAATTTATTAGAAGATTAAGAATAATTTTATTAAGAGAGAGATATTCGCTATAAATAATAAGATAAAGAAGTTATAAGTATTAAGAAATAAGATAATAAAGCGTTTTTATAGCGCTATTACGACTTAATTTAAGTATTATAATAAAATATACTAATTTTAAAGCTATAAAGTAGATAATTTAGTAATATTAATAATTAAGAATCTAAAGTAGAAATATCTAAATAAGAAGTTATCTTATAAATTTATAAAATTATTTTAAATTATAAATAAGATAGAGGCGTAAATATATTATTTACTTCTACTCTCGATATATAAAATTTATAATATCTTTTATATATCGTTATTTAAGTCTTATTATCTTCGCGATTATAATAATATAATAAAAGCCTTTATATAAACTCTCGATCTTATTAATAATAATAAGCTTTAAGAGATTAAAGAAATTATTAATAAGATTAAGTATAAGAAAGATATTTAATATAAAGTTAAATAGACTAATTAAGATAAAGAATATAATTAATAACTATTAAATAATAAATTTATTAATACTAGTAAGCTAATCTAAGTCTATAAGTAAATAAATAATAAGCGAAAGTATTAAGTAATAAATAATAAGTCTCTTATTATTAAAGAGTTTAATTAATTATATAAATTAATGATAAGTAAGTAAAGATAATAAAATAAGATATAATTATTAATTAGATTAGATATATTTTTAGATAATACTTATATTACGCGTATACTTCTTTATATTTATTATTATTAAGATATAAGTTAATAAAATAATTATATTATTTAATTATTTACTAAACTCTACTATAGAGGAAGTTTATCGTATTAAGATATATATTATTAATATAAATATATTTTTATTTAAAATAGCTATTAAAGAATTATCTAAGGATCTTACGCTAGCGCTATTATTAAAAAAAGGTTATTATTTAAGTATTCTCCGCTATCTTAATATTAGAAATCGAGTTAAATTTATTAATCTAGTTCTCTAATAAGAAGATAATTAAAGTATAATCTTCGAGTTAATATCTATTAACGTTTATTATATATCGATAAAGACTCTTAAGCTTCTTCTTTAATAACTCGTTTATTCTCTTTAATTTTTCTATATACTTATATATCGCTATAAGTTAATCTTAAAGATTTATAATTATAATAAAAATAGTCGAAATTATCGTTATTATATATTTCTATAATTTATATTATTAAGTAATCTTCTTATCGAGCTTAACTCGTTAATAAGATTATTTTTAAGATTATTTAGCGCGGCGATAGCGCTATATTAATTTTCTTATTTACGTCTAAAGATATAAAAGAATTTTAATATAGTAATTAATATCGCGCTTTTCGATCTTATAGTTATTATAGAGAGAAGACTTATTTTAAATATATAAATTATTATCTTAATAAAAGTAAGTTCTATATAATAAATTAGATATTAGAATTTATTAATAGATATATATATAAAGCGATAATAATAGAAATAGTTAAGGGTTAATAATTACGCTTATAAGACGACTATATACTTACTATTAAAGTTATTATTATTATTAAAAAAGAATATTATAAAATTATTAGTTTACGTATCGATGTAATTAATAATAATAAGATATTTACGATAAAGAGAAGTAGATTATTAGTATAATAAGATATATTATATTTACGTTAGTATTAATATTAACGTTATAATATTAGAATAAATACTTATAAGAGAGACGTTAGAAGTTATAAAGAATAAAAATAAATAATTTAAAAGAGATTTTTATATTCTTTATCGTAGCGCTAATACTAATAAATAGTATTTAATAATATAAATAATAGCGACGTAGTAATATTTCGCTATTATCTATAAAGTCGCGTCGTTTAACTACTATTATTATTTTTATTTTTATTATTAATTAATAATCGAGAATATTATCGCGAACGCGTCGCTCTATTAATTACTCTCTTCGAATTCTTATAATAAAGATTATTACTACGTTACTTCGCTATAAATATAATATATTATAAAAACGACGTTATTTATAAAAGAACTCTTCTCTCTCCTTTATCTATTAAATTTTCGAGGTTTTATTATAAATTTTTAAATTTAATATTATTCGCTATAGAGGCTATTAACTAGCGCTATAAGAATATTAATATTAAGCGCGTTAACTTATTATAGATTATTATTAATTAATATTATAAAAGTAATATTATTCTTAAAGATAGTATTAATATTATTATATAATATATTAGTTACGCGCTTACAGCGCGTAAGAGTTAATTTTATCGCGTTATTAAAATAATATTATAATCTTAATAAATTAACTCTTTTCTCTTATTTCTCTATTAGAATTTAAAGGTTTTTTAATAAGTATTCTATTTTTATTTAGACGCTTAAGAATTAGAGTCTAGAAGAGAAGATAATTATTAAATCTAATACGTTATAGACCTTAGCGCTACTTATATTAAGGCGCCGATATTATATATTCTATATTAGAGTTTCTTTTAAAGTCTAATTTTAATAATATATCTTATATACTTAGAAGCTTAGCGGATATAGATCTACTTTATATATCTCGAAGTTTTAATATTTTTTAGAGATTAGTTCTACTATTAAATATACTATTAAATCTCATAACGATACTACGTCTTTTATAGTCTATATCCGCTAGCTAATCGTTAGTAAACTATACTCTTATATTAACGTAATTTAGATTAAGTATATATATTCTTATCGAGCTTTTATAATATTATTATTTTTAACTAATAAAAGTATTTCGAATAGTATTCTAAATTTATATATATATTTTAATTATATTTTTATATATTTTAAAGCGAATTATAGAATTTAAAAGATTAATTTATTTTTATCTACGACTTTATTTAAATAACTTATTAAATATTATTTATTAGATCTTTTAAATTATAATAATTAAAAACTTCTTTAATATAGAATAATAATATTCTCTAAGATTATTTAATTTGTTTTATCTTATTTAAGAAAAAAAAGTTTTTTTTAATTCGAGAGTAAAAGAAGAGATTTTAATCTATTTACTTTTAATTTATTTATCGAGTCTCTATAGCTTCTCGTCGCTGTCGCACTCTTCTATATATTACCTCTAGCTTTCGGTTCTCTTACTCTTAAGAAGCCTCTTTTTGGCGTTGCGGGCTTGGTAGGAGGCTAGTAGAGAGGGTGGATAGTGCTAGTTGCTTCTGCGCTTATCTCTTAAAAAAAGTTTATGAAGAGGGACTCGTTGTTTAAACTTCCGCTCGAACATCCTTCGCATCTCACTTGTCGCCAACCTCAAGCAAGCCAGCGGTCTACACCCCTTATCTATTTATCCTAGGAGGTTGCTCCTAAGGGATAAGTTGTAGGATTGAAGTTATTGTGGAACAGTGGATTCTGGCTCCGAATGTCCTAGGAGAATGCTCCCAGGCGGTCTCCCCCGGTTGGAATGAGTTGGCGGATGAGACTTGAGTAAAGTATTCTAGTCAGTGGCTTCATGAGGGGATTGACATTGGCCTCACCACCATGCCATACCAGATGCTGGCCCGGATTGACCGATGTCGATACTTGCTATTAGGCAACATGAACTATATTGATCCGATTTTGTGACTGACATAGCTAGCACTGGTACAGCAGAACTCTCCAAACAATATCTTATCCACGAGTACACATGTTTAGGTCAAGTTTGAGTCTGTGTAAGACTTCATCCACAGACTCCACTGTCGTACACCTCTACGATCAGGGTCCACGACTCGGATACATTCGATAACCATCGTTTAACAGCATTCACGTGGGTTTCTAGACCACAGCCCTTGGCAACCTTTGGATGATCTCGCTCGTCGCTTTCTGCGCTCCGAGCGTCCCCAGGAGAACGGTCCCAGGCGGTCTCCCACACAATCATGCGAGCACTAGCTGCTGCAGCCATGGCGGCAATACTCAAATGGTCATGGGCGCACTAATAGCCATGCGAGCGGTAATGGCCGTGAGAAAAATACTACAATAGCACGGGAGTGGCCAGGGGAGCAGCCATGAGAGCAATACTACAATAGCCATGGGAGCAGTAATTGCAGGTGGCCATGAAAACAGCTGGTGGGCTTGTGTTTTGACTACAGCGTCCAGCTGAAGCTGAAAGCGTTGCCTTAAGAAACATTCAAGCATGAAGGTTGTTTCGCTTGTACCTAGACTATGCGAGATGGTGAAGTTGGTGAAGGATATCTTTGCGTGCCACAGCGCGCCAGGATGAAAACCTTCGGCTGACTCTAAGAGGATGTCGTATCAAACATGCGCCGAACGCCCAAAAAGCAACCAAGCCAACATATCATCACCGACACGTACGTTTCAATGTCCTGCATTGAAGTGATGCCGAGTGGGCACCCGACCCACATCTCACTTCGACAAGGATACATTATGCACGGTAGCAGCATGATTCTTGAAGTGATTGACACCCTGAAGGGAGATGTCACATGACGGGTGAGGACATAAAAGCGGTACCTCGGGGTCGTAGTGGCTTAAATGTACATCGTCCATGTGCCTCCGGAGGCTGTCGATGCGTGAGAAAGATGCAGTCCTTGCTTGGGATGTCAACTCATCATCGTCGAGGCAGAAGAGGCATATAGTACTCGGTAGCACAAGGGGGACTAGCTCCATAGTCTCGAAGGCCTTTCACAGATCTCGAATCTCGTACACCGTTTAGACTTCTTTCAAAGCGAACGTAGTCTCTTCCATCTAGGCAGTAGCACCTTTACTCGCTCTTGATGCGGGATTTCTATGATGGGGTTCACGTGTGTGACATAGATCGATGAGATTTTGGGGCGCTTCTATGCGGCCACGTTGCCTTGCTGTTACGCCGTCAGGATTAACTCGATTTAAGATACTGGCCAAGTTGGCTCTGGCTCTCAAGGCGTAGACTTGGAAAGGGGGGCTGTAGGTCACCGGAACGCCATGTTTGGCTTGACGGATGTCGTCGCTATCGATACAGTGGAAAAACCGTATCCTTTTCTCGTTGGCTGCCTCCTTAAGAAGCCTTTTGCGTAAGGTTTGTCGCGATCTTTGCAGCTCCCGCAACTGCTTCTTCTGAGCTTCGTCCGTTGTTGTCTTGCATTTGAGTCAGGAATGCTCCTTGTAGATGCTGGTGCGGAGCGACTTGATGCGTGCTTCAAGACAAACAAAGTTTTGATCCGCAAGTGCAGCGTCTTGCTCATCGGCGTCTAAGTGTACGGGTGCTCGTGGGTCACGATCAATACCTATTCTGTATTGCGACCCATGTCATCTCTATACATCATGCTCCAGTCATTGATTCTGCTCAAAATACTTTTGACTTTTCGTATCTTCTTATGCTGCAGATACCATCGAAAGTATACTTGCAGATCTCGAAAGCAGACGTGATGGAGGCGCTCGATAGGATCAACCTCTGCATCCACGGACTTTGGAAAGATGGCTTGACAAAATCTGTACCCAGGCCATCAGCTTAGAGCTATCACTATTGATGACAATACAAACTTTCTCCAGTGCTTTCGTGCAATCGCGATACTTTTTTGGGTTGCGAGCGTGCATTTCGGCTTTAGGATGTCGTCCTCTGGCTCAGCAAGAAGCGCCTGATAGTAATCAAGCCCGTAAGCACTCGCAGCTGTTGCGACATACATCGAATGGAGTGAAGGGATCTCCGGTCCAGCAAGGCCTGAATCTCGGTCGATGTGATCGACTCATGATATGCGATTTTCTCATTCATGATGGGCGAGGACGGCCTTTTATGTCTGACCAGACGTGCCTCGGCTTTGACGACCTACGTAGCAGCCAGATCTGAGTACAAGCAACGGTGCTGGGGTAGTATGGTGTGAAAAGAAGAAGACGAAAGCAGCGAGGAAGTCTCGGAAGTGTGGTGGACTGGAGTCCAAAAATGAGGTCGAAGGGTGCGTAAACCGGCTCTGGCCTATCCGATTCTAGCGTGCTCTCCACCTTTCATGTTCTGGTTGTCGCCTCAACTTCCGCTCTGCATCCAAACCTTGCACCACAATCTTCACGTTCTTCATCTACCTCGCAATACTCACCAATAACTCTCTGATAGTTCAAAGACATCATTCAAGTCAGTAATCATCCTCTCCTCGCCCCTTACCTCTCTGTGAGACCTCGACAGAAGCAGCACGATACTCAAGGTTATATCAGATACACCACAAGACATACAAAATCACATTTGCTCAAGATGGCCGAGGCATCTAGCGCACAAGTGCCCCCTACCTTCAAGCTTGTGCTGGTCGGAGACGGTGGTACTGGAAAGGTTTGTTCTCCTGCCTAGCTTCCCCACTCTGCTTGCGGCCACTGCATAACGTTCGGTCCATGGCCCAAAATTTTGAGCGGTGGGCAGCAATTATCGGGTGCTCAGGCTCAAGGCTTGGGCGCTTTATAATCTGCTCCAGAGACGGTGGCTAACATGCGGTAACAGACGACCTTCGTCAAGCGCCATTTGACAGGGGAATTCGAAAAGAAGTACATCGCAACACTTGGTGTTGAGGTCCACCCGCTCGGGTTCTCAACAGTACGTACTCGATCTGAAAGTTTAGGCTTGATTCAGCCGGCTCACGATGTTCTAGAATTACGGAGGGATCCAGTTCGATGTCTGGGATACCGCAGGACAAGAGAAGTTCGGTGGTCTCCGAGATGGGTACTACATCAATGGGCAGTGCGGTATCATCATGTTCGACGTCACATCCCGAATCACCTACAAGAACGTTCCCAACTGGCACCGTACGTCTTCCGCCGTCAGAAGTAAAGGCATACGACTAACCCATTCCTAGGCGACCTTGTCCGTGTCTGCGAACAAGTCCCAATCGTCCTCTGCGGCAACAAAGTCGATGTCAAAGAGCGTAAAGTGAAGGCCAAGACCATCACTTTCCATCGCAAGAAGAACCTCCAGTACTACGATATCTCCGCTAAATCCAACTACAACTTCGAAAAGCCCTTCCTGTGGCTAGCGAGAAAGCTTGTCGGCAACCCAGGCTTGGTAAGTCAGGCTAGAAGGATGCCATGCTAGGCCGATACTAATCTTTTCCTGTTAGGAATTTGTTGCTGGTCTTGCCTTGGCTCCCCCAACCGTCCAAGTTGATGAAGCTCTACTTAAGCAATACAAAGATGAGATGGAGGATGCTGCAAACCAGCCATTGCCAGATGAAGATGACCCAGATCTATAGAGCAGCATTGTATGGCTGGCTCAGACAATGATTCAAAAAGGGCATCATTGCGCGGAGGATGCACAGAATGAGATGCATAGATAAAATGGCATGCTTGATATTCTCCTAATTGCTGAGTTCATGTGGTGTGATCAGAACATGTCTTTGGACATGTTTTTCACACAACCAAGGGCATTGACGGACACAGTTCCAAGGGGTCGAATGGTATGGGAGAAAATGATACCCTGGCACCTGGAACTTCTAGAGGTGTCTTGAAGGCATGCTTCTGTAGGTAGATTCACATAGCATAGAATCAATCCATTCTGGCGAAGTCTCCAGTCCGTCTCCCGATCAAATCATGAATTTCTTTGGACACAAGTCTCAAGTCAATCTGGCCGCTTTCACTTGTTCATCGAACATCTCCTGCATCTCACTTCCTCGTCCTCTTCCTACGGCCTCTTTCTACAATCTCTTCCTCCCTAACATCAATCTTACCGTCACACATCACAGGTAATCACAAATGTCTTGAAGGGCTGGCCTTTCGCTTACCTCAATAGGTCCTCGGCCCAGCTTGCAGCCCAAACATTCTCAACATCGTGACTCTCCCCAAGAATGAGGGCACTGTGGCCACGCCTCCAGGTATCCCAGACCCAGAAGCCTTGAACTGCACGCTCAAACAGAGCTCCTTCCAGCGCAAGGCCAAAGACATTGTCAGAGTCGGCCGCGGATGCGCAGAGCAGCTTGACATATCATTCCAGCGCACCATTAGAGTTTCTGATGGCGAAGGGGACTCTGAACTCCCACCAGGCATGGGGAGCTTTCCCCTCTACTCGGTCGCCAACTACGCAAAGGAATTGCCCAAAGGCATTGCGGCGAAAGGCGGCCTTTTCCTTCCCATGTATTGTATGTCCTGCCTCTCTTCTCACGCCCCACCTTTTTAGACCAAAGAGTAAGGACTTAGACCGTCCAAAGCGTGAGGCGATGTGGATCTCAATCAAATCCAAAACACCTTTTCCCATCCGGATCTTTGTTGGAGGCGTGAATGCTATTTCTGGCGAGCCTACTGGCGACAACGAAGCCATCATGATGCGTCGTCTCAGCTTCATGGAAAAGAAGAAGTCCATCAGATATTACATTGTCACACCAAAGCAGCATTGGCTTGACGGTATCGCTACCGACATGTGAGCGTATTCGTCAATTCGTGGCGATGCCCCTGGGCTCTGCATACTCTGTCGAAGCCCAAGTTACCGGTCAAGACCAAGTCGGAGGACTCCAGTTCCATGTAACACCTTCAACGCCGCCACCTACGTCCTCTCCGTCTCTGGTGCATGCGATGCATTACGTACCTGATCTGTCGCTTAAGGCTCCTAACCCTCCCGGCTTTGACGACCGTCCTATTCGGATCTTGATCCAGACCATGACCGGCAAGATAGTTACCTTGAATGCGTGGCCTTCTGATTGGATCTACGAAGTGAAACTGCAAGTCCAGGACAAAGAAGGCGTTCCACCGATCAGCAAGGTCTGCGTTATGGAATAAACCAACTTGAGGACGGTGATTAAAAATCATCAGACTCGTAAGAGACACAGTGTACCAACTTTTCCAGGGGGCCCGCTCGCACATTACAAGATCGTGACACTCAATTACAAGTCCAAGTCGGAGCTTCCTCGCTTGACGAAATGTTGATCTAGGGTTCGAAACTTCACCTGATGTTGCTTCTTCGAGCCGGCAGTGGCCCAAACCCCCAAGGATGTCGCGTTGGATGTTGCCCCCTGGTGGTGTCCGATCAAGCCGTGCATCCTGGACGACACCAACCCCGCCGCGATCTGGGAGCGAGACCGCACCATCTGCTGCAACGTTCAGATTCCTCTCCGTTCAGACATGTTCCAGCCAGTCACGGGAAAAGCCCCCCCTTCCACGCCCATATCGGCCAAGACCTACCCCGATCACGCTCTCCCCTTCCACAAACCCACGGCGAAGCATCCACCATCAAGGGTAGATTTCGATGGCATCCGCTCCGTGAAGGAAATGGACGAGATCAAGAACCGGGACGGAAAGCGCGAGGACGAAGGGGGGGATGTCTTCGGTCCCGACAAGGAGGCGAAGAATTCCAGCAACGGAGGAGAAGAGCGACCCCGCCGAAACACATTCATCCTGCTCCACCCCCGATTGGCTCCGTGAAGGGGGAAGTCCACCCCCCGTCTCCGAGCTCGTCGCGCAACTCCGAGCTCTTCCCAGCCAAGGGTCCAAAGATCGTGAGAGGGGAGCGAGCCATTCTGCTTTCGCTGCGCGCACGGCCTTTGCGCTTTCATGGCAACGGAGGGTCGGTGTGGCTTGGACATTCGAGAGGTACGGACGGGCGTGATGATGGGCTTTTTTACGCTATAGGCTGCGCTTTCAGATAGAACGGGGGCAAGAAAGCGTGCGGAATTTTTACTACATCGCTGGCTCTTCTGGTCCCGTTCTGTTTGGCAAATACATTGCCCCTACGTCCTACTTCGTTTCTCCACCGTCACCGTTCTCCCTCTTTCAGACGGACGAGTTGACTGTGAAGGCTAGCTGCAAAGTGAACTGTGGTATGGCACGCACGGTAGGTAGGTAGGTAGTACGTAGGCGCGTCGCCGATGAACATGAACTTGGTTAGAGGGGATGGGATGAGGATCGATTGAATTTTGTGTTTTCGGATATGCTAAGTCCATCCGAAAGCTACTCTCATCGCCCCTAGGCTGTAGCTGCGACCCCGAGTAACAACGTCAGACGAAGGGGGTTACATGTTCGCTCAAGTCGCTCACTAAGTGATGCCATTAGAAATACATTGTATTGCCCGCTTGATCAATGCCGCTCGACCCGCTCGCTCAATGCTCTACCGAAAAACGCCGCTCCATCGCTATGCTTGCATTATTCGTCAGGCCTGAGTGACCGAAGTGGCAGTGGGATCGGTGGGCGAGCTCGTTACTTCTTGCGCCCGGTCGAAGACAGGTCCGTGGACTTGGACATGCTGCGCGTTAAGCCGCCGATGTATTCCTGGAGGTCGTTGTTGTTCTTCTCCAGCTTGCTCAAGTCCAACTGCACGTTCTCGCACCTGTCGACGAGGGCGTCGAGACTGGATTGGACTTCCATGGCGTGACTGCGCCTCTCGTTAGCTGCCTACTTCCCTCACTTGACTGAAAGAAAGAAAGAAAGAAAGAAAGAGTAGAGTCAGGAAGTAGAGACAAACGCACTTGGTCAAAGCCAACCGACTCTTGTCAAACATCGCATTCGTCTCTTCCGGACTCCGACGCGGACTCATAGCTCGAGCATCACCGGGCGGGTAGTTCTCCTCCTCTTTGAGCTCGACATCGGGCGAGTCGGAGGGGATGAGCATGGTGCGGCTTGATTTGCGGGACATGTATTTGGGGCGGGTGAGGGAGCGGGAGCGGCGCTCTTCGGTGGTGGATTCATGGTCCGAGGACGTGGTGGTGGAGGGTTGGGTGGAGTCGGGGTTGGTGGGAATGTTGGCGGGGATGTTTGACTGCTCGGTAGTGGTGGTAGAGGGCGAGGAGCTGACGGGGTCGGAATCGGTGGCGGTGGGTGCAGGGGTTGTGCCGTGGGTGGAGGCCATGGTGGATAGGAAAGATGTTTTGGTTCTTTTCTGATTTGGAGTAATGGCGTCGAGGGGTGTTTTAGAGAGTGAGAGGAGCGAGGAAGCTGTGTGATAATTGGAGATGATGCAAGGATCCTTGCAGTGAAGGTGGGAAATGGCAGGCTAGTGCTGATGTCGTCTCTTTCGAGGTAACTGTTAAGGGCGAGGATGTGCTGGAGATTGTCACGCGCTGGGTCGGAGCCGTGTATGTATGGCTATCGCTACAATGCTAAGTCAATATGTCGGACACCATACACCACCCACGGGATCTCCGAACAACATAGAGCAAAGAGCTTTGGATGAGCTGCTGCTCTCTTGGGACAGGGAAATGTTTAGTGCAAGGGACAAGGTGGAAGGGCATTCATTGGTAGTGCTCCTGCGCAGATGTTTTGGTGGTGGAGATTGGGTGATTGGGGAAATTGGGGAGATTGGGTAAGAAGCAGTGATGGAGTAAGGCAGGTAGGAGAGTAAGAGAGCAAGAGAGATGAAGTCTTCCGGCCTGCTGCATCTGCTGCATCTACTGCACTTGCCCAGACCTGCGAGCGAATGATTATCGACAAAGTGATAGGTAGTAGTGAAAAGAAAGGATTGAATTGAATTAAAGTGATTTATGTGGGTTCTGCTCTCTAACGGCATTCCCTTCCCCAATCATCATATTCCTACCTCTTACCGGCGCATGCACTGTGACGCAAGATCGACAACAGGCACCCGAGAGATCTGCCCAGCGCCAGCTTTTGCCGAGGTTGCCCCCGTTACAAGTAAAGACTGGTCAAAGCCAGCAATTGCCACTCCAATCCATATTATTATTATTATTATTATCAATCATATTATTATCAATCATATTGTCATTATCATTATCATTATCATTATCATTGTCATTATCATTGTCATTGTCATTGTCATTGTCATTGTCATTGTCATTGTCATTGTCATTGTCATTATTACGCATACTCGTAAACATTGTTATTATTAAACCCTACTCATGAGGCTATCATACTATGATACGGTGCGTGCAGGAGCTCTCTGCCTTAGCTGTCATCGAAAATCGAAAATCGGAAAATCTGCCCTCAAAGCAAAGCCTGCCCTGCTCATGCTGTGAGCCCTGGGTATCTCTCTGAAGTGAGCCGATCGTTGCAACTTTGATATGATGTAAAAGCCATGTACAAGTAGGAGCTGTGCTGTAAGCATTGCATTGCTGCGTAGGAATCTATTGTCCTCAGCCCGTAACATGCAGCCCATCGTTCGCTGCCGGTAAATGGGACAAGGCGAATCGAATGGCCATAGGCTGAGAAGGATGTACAAAAAGGGAAGCCATGTGCATGGACTGCTGCATGACTAGGTGGCAACGTCGAACAAGAATCCCAGCTCGCGAATGCCCAAACGACCAACGTTCTGACTGGCCTTCTCGTCAAGTGCTGCCTCAATGAGTTCGCGCTTCTTCTCCTGAAGCGCCAGGATTCGGTCTTCAACGGTGTTGGGAACGAGCACGCGGTGAACCTGGACGGGCTTTTGCTGTCCAATCCGATGAGCTCGATCAATTGCCTGTTCTTCTACGAACGGGTTCCAAAACGGGTCCAGGATGATCACTTGGGACGCGGCCACGAGGTTCAACCCGGCATTTCCCGCCTTAAGAGACACCAACATGATTTTGCATTCTTTTCGATCGGTGAAATCGATGACTGCGTCGTTCCTGGCATTGGCAGTCATACTGCCATCGTAGCGGCGGTAACCCCATCCTGCCTTGGCAATGGGTACTTCCAGTAGGTCCAGTAAAGAGGTGAATTGCGAGAAGATGATGGTCTTTTCACACTGATTTGTCTCTGAATCCTTTCTCTCCTGGATAGCTCTGAGGATCTGTTGACGATTAGCATGGGCCAACAACCGCAGTTCTGGCGAATACGTGCTTACCTCCATCGTCTTCTCAGTCTTGCCGCTGGGTATCCACTCTTTGTCCAGTCGCTTTAGGTATCGCCGGCGGGCCTTGATGTTGCGCGTTCCTGCTTTCTTGAGCTCTGCTAAAGTCTGCTTCGGCGGCTTCTTCTCTTTGGCTTTGCCCTTGCCCTTGCCCTTGTTTCGTTTTTTTGCTTTCTTCGATGTTGAAGGCTTCTTGCCCGAAGCTTCGCCACCATTATAGGAACCGTCCCCTTCTTCCGTCTCAAAAGAATCCTCATCGTCGTCGTCTCGGACGACAAAGTTGAAGAGATTGCCCTTCGAATCGACCTCGTCATCCTCTTCATCTTCATCATCGTCACTATCACTGTCGTCTGTAGTCTCAACATCGGCCTGGGAGTCATCATCATCGTCCAATAGTCCGTCGATCATTAGCTGAGGCAGATAAACGCGCTTGAAGGCGTTGTGGTCGATGACCTTCGTTGGTATGATTTTGCCGCGACAATTAGGACACTTGATGTCAGGGTTGCGGCCTTCATTCCCATCAGCATTGGCCTGAGACGGGTCAGATATCCGTGCAAAGCACTCAGAACAGGTATTGTGCCCGCATGGTATGAATATTGTAGGGTTATCGGCCATGTCCATGCACACCGGACACTCCATTGCACTGTCTTCATTCAAAGAACATTGCTCCTTAATACGGGCAACGACCTCAGGAGCAAGTTCTTTCGCCAGCTTCAACATGTCCTCTGGAGTGACGTCTGCAGAGCCTGATGCCTGCCCAAAATCTTTGATAAGATGAGGATGACAGCACTAAGCCATTGCGGAGTCAGCACTTCTCTCCTTGTACGACACCTAGAGTATGGAGACATGGTTGTGGAGCACAACACAACTTTCAAGACTCAACAAGGGTATGGAAGGGGACAGATAGCTCAGAAAAGGTGCTTACTGCTTGACGGAGACGCAATAGGAGGACCAGGATGTTGGAATAATTCCGTCCCACAGTGTTCGCTTTCAGGTACTTGTTGAAAGTCAATTGAGTATGCGTCTCTAAAGCCTGGTAGAACGCCAGCTCGTCATCGCTGAAAACCGCATGGCTTTGTTCAGTGGTTCTTTCTGGGAGATCCAGAATAGATCTTCCATCTATCTGAGATTTCTTAGTACGACGAAGGAGAATGGCTTTTAGCAAAGCCTGTAATTTTCGCATGGCTCGGCTCTTGGCGGAATCTGAAGAGCTCTTTAGCGGTGTTGTAAAATCTCGGCGGAAATTCTCTGGTTCGCAATACTGGTTTACAATTTTGCCATCAGTATTGCCTATTTGGAAGGGATCGAGCCTTGGGACTCGTTTCGGACAGAATTTCCAAGAATATATTCCAAGACTCAAGATTGGTCCAAAAGAGGAGATAGGACTCACTGGACGGATGCGAAGGAAACGAATTAGACTGTAGAGTTCCGACACATTGTTCACTAGCAGTTCTCCGGGTCAGTAACCCAGAAATTGGCATCGGCATGGAAGGTTGTGGAGTAGCTTACTCATGGGCGTGCCAGTCATGCAGAATCTTGTTAGCGCTTGCAACTGGGAAACTGCCTGTGCCTGCTTTGTAGACTTGTTCTTGATCCACTGAGCTTCGTCAAGAATGACTCGGTACCATTTGCACTCGTCACCCAAGAGGGGAAGATTGTCCTCTCTGCCTGAAGGTCTCCAATTTGCATTAGCACGTTTCTTCATGACAATGTCTTCTCGTCGCTTCAATTCGGAGGCCAGAGTCCCTATCAGAAGCAGTCAGCATGATAAGAAACCCTTAGCGAGGATGCATTCGAAAGAGTAGGCCTCACCGTATGTTGTAAGTACAACATCAAAGGTCCGTAAACGCTCAAACGTCGTGTGACGTTTATCGCCATGAAAAATGAACGTTGTCAATGTATGGCGTGGACCCGGCTTTAGCTTCTGTTGGATCTCACGTTCCCACTGCTTGAGAAGGGCCACAGGGGCTACAATCAGAGTAGTCTTGCATTTCCGATCTGTAGACCTTCTGGCTACCATTAGAGCAAGGGCCTGAATAGTCTTTCCGAGACCCATATCATCGGCTACGTGCCATCAGTGAGAGCTCAACGAGAGACGTGCGACAAACATCGAGAGCTCAATCGGAGCGATGAGACCTACCCAGTATACCCCCCTTGTTTGATCCCTCTTCCATAGTCCTCATCCAGGTCAGGCCCAGCTTCTGGTGCTCCATGAGAGCATACGTCATCGCATCGGGCGTACCCTCGCGGTTCTCTGGGGGTAATTCTTCGTCCGGTCGGATATTCTCCAAGAGAGACTTGATCTCTGCAGTGGTACGCGTGCTAGCAACTATTTAACATCACGCTGAGTGTGGCGTTTGTGCAGGACTTACGGGTCGTGAGTCACGTAATTGATACGATCCATGTAGGACTCTACAAGTTCTCTGTTGGCAGGGTCGTTTGGGTTGATGCCATGTCTACCAAAGACGCTGGACGTCAAATCTTGTGGCGGATCATAAGAGTCCAAGTCAATAAAATTTGATGATGAGCCAGCTCCATTGTTGTAAACCGACGGACCACCAAAGCCGCCAAAACCTGAGGGAGTGGTCCCATATTCGGCGAGCTGCTGGTCGACCAGATCGTACGCTGAATTGTATACTCCTCTGGCAGCATTGATAACAGACTGTCCAATCTGGCCCCCCATGTTGCCCCAGGTTGATGGCCCGGAGCCTTCTGCAGTGTTTCCATATGGATTATACGGTCCTGGAATGCTGCGGTTGTTGGCGAAATCACTGGGATCAATTTCGACGAGATCGCTGCTTGGATGGCTAGGATCTCCTGTAGCGCCAAATTCATCATCACTGCCCAGGTCGATGAAAGACTGCGACTGATGTGATCTTTCTTGTTTGACGGGGGCGTGCCCATTGGTGTTCCGATTTGCATTCTCCTGCTTGATACCAGCATGATCATGTCGATATAAGCTTTCCTGTTTGACCGGCAAAGTGTAAGAAGAGAAGGGATCCTCCCCAACAAAAAGGGGCGATGAGAAGGGTTCAGGTCGACGGTATCGCCCCTGCGAGTCAAGAACAGTCTGCGATGTGTTGTGAGAAGCGGTACTTGGCCCTGGAGTTGCGTGTTCCACATGACCGATGTCCCCGTTGCCATCTCCATACTGCTGCAGTGATCGTGCAAAGTCTTCGTCTTCACGCTCTTGCTTGCGCCTTGCCTCTAAGAGCTTCTCTTGCGCCTTCTGCTCCTCTCTCATCTCGCGAATATGATCTTTTGGGTTGCCCCCAAGAAGATGGAAGAGGTCCGGATCATCGGGGAATTCAAAAGATTCAAGGGATGTCGGTGTTGTTGTGCCAGTAATGGCAGGGCTAGGGGTTGCACGCAGAGACTTGGCAGCGTGGCCGCCCGTATTTGAGAGACCCATACTCTCCCTCTGCCGCTTCTGGGGGCGGAGAAAGCCAGAATCGGGACTGGAGATGGATCCAGATGAGAGACGACCATTCATGGACGGAAAGCTCGTTGTGTCCGGGGTGAAGGTGTCTTCAAGTGACCCAAAACCCCACGAAGGTGCAGCAGCTGGTCTGCCCTGACCTGCCATCAAGCCGTCTGATGCAAAGTGGCCTCCGAATGCATTGTTGGAGCTTCCCGCGTACGATGCGAAGCCGTTGCTGGCAGGCTTCATCGCGGCGTCGCTGGATTGAGGTCGTTGGTGGCCATGGTTGCCAACGATAGGGAGGTCCGTACTAGTGCCTGGTGAGTACACATCGTCCTCATGTTGTCGACGATAGTCTTCTTGTTGTTCAGTCTCGTACTGTGTCTCAAGGCTAGCTAGCCCATGTTCCAACACCATTTTCTTTACTTCGTACTCCTCATCCGTCTCTCGTAAGGTATCAAGCTCTCGCTTGGCAACGTTGATGCGGTCCTGCAAGTCCGACAATAGCGCTTGCGAAGCGGATGAGGCCATGGTAGCGTTTGTAGGTAGTGATTAAGAGCCAGTGATTCGGTGTTTTCGTGCTACGGTGAATAGATCCGTGGTCGGAGAGTGATGGAGATTGATGGTAATGTGAAAGAGATGAGCTCGAAGGTGAGGCTCCCAGAGCCCTATGCTTGGTGAATTTATCAGGACAGGCCGGGAAAATCAGCCGTTTCTCGGGCAATGAGGCGAGTGCGTGGTGGATCACCCCCGAGGCTGCGAGAAAGCGAAGGTGTCAGAAAGACGGAGAAAGCCCGATCATGATTGTTGTAGGAAGGATTGACGAGCATGGAAATTCAAGAGGGAGGGGATAATTTAGGGAATACGGTGGTACTGTTCAGAGAAAGCTGACATGTAGCCGGAGTGATTGTTCCTTTGAAAGGTGGAAATGTTGTGCAGCAAATATGACGCGCACGTAGACACGCATAAACACTACTACTTTCTTTTCTCTTTTCTCGCCCTACTCTTAAAAAGTTGCTAATTAACTCCACGCTAAAGATTTTGCTGGGAGATGCGTACTTTCGGAGGAATGCACCTCTTACGTGTAGTGATGTGATAGGTCTCTGACGTCGTCGACGATGTCGAGATGTAAGGTACTTGAAGCCGCTTTGTCCTAGCTGAGAAAAGGCAGAGAAAGGGATGAGACTTTGCCTCCCAGGATTGTCGCAACTCGCAAGGCTACCGACCTAAGCCATCTACGTGAGAGATCATGGTACCCTTCTTACGCATATGCGAGAAGCCTGAAAAGAGAGGGAAATTCTTGATGAATTGGAATTTTCTGATGAGCACAAATGAGCGATTACTGGATCATGGAGAAGCGACAATCACGCCGCATGAGGATCTCCAGCAAGGAAAATCCTCCTTTAGCAGACTCGGATTCTTGTGTCTGCTATACAACATCGAGCATTGCAGGGTTTTTATACGTTTCCAAGCCCCTAGAGTAGTCGGCTGTTGCTCTAGAGTATCTAATGAAGGACAAATGCAGACCACCATTTGACGTCATTCTACGTTTCCTCTGTTTCGTCCGTCTTCGAAGTGAACGAGTTCAAGCAACACCATGAATGCGCAAGCTCACTGTCCACGTCAACCGGATTATGAATCGCTAGAGTCAAAGAATATCGGGCTGGAATATGAAGGTCGAGGTCACGATAGCAGGATGATGAATGTGAGGCATGTATCTAGTATGCTGATTTCTATTCTTCAAGCTTGCATAATCAGACCAGAGCGAGCGCATCGCGTAGTGGCCACCGAAAGAGTATCCGCTTGATCTTCTTGCCATCGCCTTCATAGATCATGAGAAAACTGAAGAGGGGACAGGCAGGAGCCAGTGAGCTGCTAGCAGGACCAAGGAAACAGAGTCAAGAAGCTGGTCTAGCCCGAGATGATCGCTCTGCCATTTTTCAACCTTCCTCGCGCCCCAACGATACAGCTGATGCTTCCGGCGTAATGAGAGGAACACCTACTCCGCAGCCTTTTCTGGCTCAGCAGGTGCAGCTGAAGAGGCTGCGTCGCCAGCCTCTTTGGTTTCCGTTGTCGCGGCACCGCTCTCGCCACCGCTTGGTTCGGCCTCGGACGAAGTCCAAAGAGTCTGGCGTATGTTAGCAGTTGATGCAATAAACTACTGATGGAAGGACTTACCAGGTTATCTCTCAGAAGCTGCATTATGAGGGTGGAGTCCTTATAGCTCTCTTCACTCAGAGTGTCGAGCTCTGTAGGAAGCATTAGCGACTTCGTGTGACGTGGGCATTAGGTACTGACCAGCGATAGCATCGTCAAACGCCTGCTTGGCAAGATGGCAAGCTTGGTCGGGAGAGTTGAGAATCTCGTAGTAGAAGACAGAGAAGTTCAATGCAAGACCAAGACGGATTGGATGAGTAGGAGCGAGATCCGTAGTGGCGACCTCGGTAGCAGCTTTGTAGGCCTCCAATGACTTGTCGGCGGAGACCTTGCGCTTGTCGCCCAAGGCAAACTCGGCGAGGTATCGGTGGTAGTCACCCTTCCTGTAGGCAGGTGTTAGCTTGCGGTGGCTGGCGTTGCAATTACCCGTGTGTGGTAATGTACGTACATCTTGTGGTAGAAGACCTTGGATTCACCGCTCTGAGCCGATTTGATCAAGTGCTCATCGAGAACCTCCAAGATATCTTCGCAGATCTTGGCAAGCTCTGCTTCGATCTTCTGACGGTATTCCTTGATCAGGCCGACCTGAGACTCGTTGCCCTTGGACTCCTCCTTTTGCTCGATGGATGTAACAATTCTCCACGATGCACGTCGTGCTCCGATAACATTCTTATAGGCGACAGAAAGGAGGTTGCGCTCTTCGACCGAAAGTTCTTGGTCTGCAGATGCCACGTTCTTCATACACTCCACCATCTCTGTTACATGGCGTATTAGTACTCGAGGGCATGGGCCATGGAGGATGGTGATCTTACCTTCGTAGCGCTCCGCCTGCTCCGCGAGCTTGGCCAGGTAGACGTTGTTTTCGACCGCCATTTTGACGATCTTTTTTTCTATAGAATGAGCCACAGAGTTAATGACCTGTTCCTCCCGAGCGGTATAAGAACGATTGCGAGATGACGATAACTCTTGACGACAAGCGCGTAGCAGATCTTTGAAGTCCTCGAAATCCTCCTGAGGCTCGCCTGGAGAAGGGGGACAGAAGGCTATGGGCAAGATTTGGTTGAGCTGTGCTTCAGACTGTGCTATGAAGGAACGCGAAGCGTCGGGGTTTCGGGGCAGAAATGGGCCGGAGTGAGCAGCGATCGATGGCAAGTAGTCGAAGGGAATAGCAGACAGCCGGGCCAACGTCTGTGCTTGGCGTGCTCGAATTTGACGGTGGTTTGTCATACGGTATTGGAACAGAAGGGACTCGACGTCCATGTGGCTTGCCGCCTCTCGAGCCATGGTTGCTAGAGAAAGCACGAAAGTAGGCTGAATCTGAAGAGATGGCTGAACTGCAAGGCATGCGAACCAGCACCATGAGGTGAAGATCTGTCATCCGGCTACCGCATGCCCCTCGGCGCATGGATTCAGGCCCCAACTATTCACGGCGGCGGCCAAAGGCTCACTAGTGACATTGTACATAGGCAATGCCAGCCAGCGAAAGGAGTCTTCACAAGGGCACATTTGGACAAACGGGGTAGGCCAGGTGATGGGGAACACAAGCAAAGGATCTTACCTGGTGAATGTTTGGACAAGGAGCTAATGTGTGAACTCAGCTCTGTTGGCTAAGTCTTACGATTGATTTGAGGGGACAAAGAGGTATAATGAGAAGGTGGAGAATGCTTTCTCGTGGGGAAGAAGAAGTTGGGGTGTTTGAGAGGGCGGATGTGTTTAGGACCTTCTCTTGTGGAATTGGAAAGGGCAAACGTCACACTAGCTCCACTCACTCGGCTAGGCTGTGCTAGTCTAAGCTTATACGAGTAGGGCCACTCACGTGACTCACCACAAATAAGCGCCCTTAATGAAGGGAGCTCGGGAGGGATGTTCACTCCTCCTTCATTATTGGCCTGATAAGGCATCCTTCAAGAAGCACCAGTGGTCGTGTGACTTTTGCGGCGACCTGTTCAAGCTGCAGGCCTATAGAACAGGCTCGTTCTCATGCTATTGTAGTGAATACTTAAGATTTTGGGATGCCCGAGCAGCTCCTCTAATCTCCGGCCTTGGGACCTCCTGGATACCGATGTACTTTAAGCATCTCGCTCCCATTCAGAACACTCTGCAACAAGCGCCTTCCATGATGCGCGATGCGAACAAGGGCGATTGCAAGCCAGAAGTGTGAGGCTGTTGGTAGTAGCCAACGGTCTGTTATCTGCAAGAACGTCCTTCATCATGGACCCTTACCATTTGCGATTCGTTCTCGCCGGATCTCTCTATTGCACTTTCCTGTTTATAAGTCGTTACAGAGATTATGCTAGCTTCCAGAGGTCCTATCAGCGCGAATTATATTCAGAGTTTCTACTCTCCCATGTTTTCGTTTATCCTCTCTGCTTCTTTACGCTTGCATGTGACTTACGAAGTGCTTAATTTACATCATTCTACGGAGCATCTCTACGCTCCCGGTAGAATAACCTTGGGATTGGATTTCTGTAAGCTTTCTCCGCCACGATGTCCGGATTACGACTCCATAGTCCGACAGCGATCTCGCCCTCCATTGCGGGAAACGCATGGCCTAGTGTGCCTAGCGACCAGCAGTCTAAGGCCTCTGAACGGTCCGTGGGCACGATCCAACGTGCTTCAAAGTATAGATCTTCTCCTGGCTCTGCACGCTCCCTAGGGTCGACTTCGTCTGCTCGCCTCCAGTTCAGAAACGAAAACCTGGTGGCAAGGCATAATGCTTCACACTCATCAATGAGGTGTTCTCCGGATCCGACCACCTCCTCGTCAATAAGACGACCATCAAAGCAAGCTTCGCACAGGTCCAGCTGGGGAAATGATGTCCCACCACCACCGCCCCATGAGCAGAGGGTCTCGAGTCAGCTGGTGGAAGCAGGACCATTGGGAGACATCGACACCAATGTCGGCTGTGGCGAAAGTCTCTACAATACGCTCGAATCTGATTCTGCGCGGGACGCCGACGATAACACAAATAGGGGCTTGTCATTCGACGTCAGGAAGCAAGAAACGCTGTCTACCCCCAGATTGCCCCGCAATGCAAGCCGAGAGGAGACGGGCCCCAGATCATTCAAAATAGCAACCGAGCATCCCATCAAATATGAGAATCCCCTGAAGAGGCTGATCGACACTCTACGTCCCCAAGGACCTAAGCGCAGACACTCACTTACTTTTCGCAAAGAGCGCTGGACATTAGACGACTTTGATGAGGAAAACCCTATTGAAAGTGATCTGCCGCGGAGCACACGGCTCAGTGGACACCAGAAAGCATCTTCATGGTCGTCTTCAGGCATCCGAAATGCTATCAAATCAGCCACCGTCAGACTGCAATCCAAGATGGACAGGCCACACACTCCCCTGATCTCACGGTCTCATCTCTTGAGAAGTGGCAGAGGCAGCAGATTAACTAACACAGCTAGTAGAGCATCTATAGATGGTGACCAAGTCGCCGCAAGGGCAGAGGAAAGAGCTGCCTGGGATCGGGCAGTAAAGCGCCGCCGGATATTGGAGGAATTGATCAGCTCCGAGGAAAGCTACGTAGCGGATCTTAAGGTCTTACTGCACGTTTGTGGTCCCTATGATTCTTCACTTGGATCTGCGATTGCTGACAGAAGGTTAAGGTCTATTTCTTCATGCTCAACTCCGCGCCAAAGGGCCCTCAAGCTGCGCAGCCAGAGATCTCGCAGAACGTTGCAGATATGCTGCGCTTGCACGAGGATATTCTGCTTGAGATGAAGACTCTGATGCCGAATTCCCACATGCAATCCGACGCTGCTGCTCAGCAGCGGTCAAAACATCCACGCTGGTATAGCGTTGAGAGCGCTGAAGAACCATCGGGTGAAAGTCCCGTCATAAAAGCTCGCACTGCAAATCATTCTTCCCAGTTCGGAAGCCACAGGGATCGAACCCTGGTGACGATGCCAGGAGAGGCTGCTGACGTTGCTAGAGTTTTTGAACGTATGGTACGAGATTCCCATCATCCAAAGATTGCAGAAAAGATCAAGGCTAACCGACTATGTGAATCAGCTCAGGCGCTTCTTCTTATACGAGGAGTATGGCGCCAAATACGAGTCCATGCTACGGAACATGGCGATGCTTTCGAAGATCATACCAAATTGGTCAACGTATGAGCGAGGCATCGAAGCCTTGATCAATTCACTCTTTCCGCAAAATGGAGTTTTGGAGGGAAGTAAAAAAGGCCTGACCCATGAAGACCTGTTGATCAAGGTAAAAGACACGGCCCCCTTCAATCGAAAAGCTTAGCTGATCTCCTTCTTCGTCAGCCTATACAACGAGTATGCAGATATCCGCTCTTATTCGCAGACCTCCACAACCATACTCCTGTAATCGATGGTCAACAATCTAGCGCAGAGATCGAAAAGGTGTTGTTTCGGCTTCGTGAGACAGCCAAAGAGATCAACAAGGCTACTAACGACCAGCAGACGCAGGTCAAAATCCAGAGATCATGGCATCTTCAAGATCTTTTGGTATTGCCAGATACTGTGAGTCCATCGACGTAACCTGCATCCGCGTATCTTCTGCTAACATTGAGGCTTTACAGTCTCCATCGCCTACTTCGCTTCGAACCATGGGTCATTTCTCGCTTTGCGGAGTTCTTTACGGCGCGTATCAGTCGAATAGTGGAGACTTGCGCGGAGAGTACATGCTCTGTGCATTGTTTAAATCTCATCTGCTGCTTGCACTCCCCCAGAAGAGCTCGAACTTCAGTATAGTCGCGATCATCAACACAAGCGATATACAGATAGTTGACGTAGACAACGGCAGGGGTAAGTAGGCCGTACATTTTGAAATACATCGATTATCAGCTCACAAGGCTCAGGGCTCCAGTGTCACACCGCCCCATTTTCATGGAAAATGATGTTCGAATTCGACCAGCAGCTATACGAGATGATCTTTTGCGGTTGCACTTCGCGAGAGGAACAGCAATGGCGAAATGATCTCCATGAGCGATCTCGCGACAGTGAAATGGAATTAGAGAAAGGCTTGTTGCCAACCTCCGGGCCGGCTATGCTGTCCCTCGACATCAAGACTCTTGGCTTTGTCTTCGGCCAACCTGGGACTCTCACGCGTCGTCAGTCGATTCAACGTGCGGCCACTGTCAATTCACGCAGGAATGGGCACCAGGTCATCATTAAGAACACCAATTCTCTTAAAGAGAGTGGTGAACCTCCAGCGCCTGAAACCGAGTGTCTCAATCGCTCTCAGTCTTTGCTCTCAACGCTCCGGATCCCTGTTCTGGCCCCAAAGCGAGCTGAGCGACAACGTATTGAGACTGCCATGTCCGATATATGGACACGGGATCGCTTGCCATTTCCTGGTATGACTGGCAACAGAGGATCATATTTAATCCAAAGATCGGCGACTTCGGTGATGCGGAAAATCAGCAAAGCAAGTATGACGACGACTTCCACCAAGAGGACAGTAAGCACCTATATGAGCATTACCGAGAATGACTCCACTCCCTGCCCGGAATTGGTCAACGAGAACCCAGACTCCGTGAACATTGAAATTCAGCGGAGAGTCAGCCACGCAAGCATTTCGGACCCTGGTCTAGGGCCTGGCCATATCAAGTTTCATCGTATAACCCAGACAGATGGTGCGTCCAGCCCACCACGCGATCAGCAAACCCCCATCCTCCCCTCACAGCTCGAAGAATTGACCACGGCGAGGATCGGAGCATTTTCAACAGAAACCACAGTGGAGGAGGGGAAGCTAGCTCAGAGCCAGAAAGCACGCAAAAGTTGCATGGGTTCTCCGGCATCAAGAGGAGGTACAAGTCAGGGTTCTGTCGAGCTGGGACGTGGGAAGGGCAAATTTCGTAAACCGCAGACGCTCCTCAAAGCCTTTTCAAGGGAAGGGATCAAGAACTGGCTCAATTGAGTTGGAAGTACGGCCGTCGAAGCTTTTCCAATTCTTAGTCCCGCATATTCTATTAGTCTTTTTTGAATCCATAATTCTTTCAAATCAAGTCCGTTCATTCTATTGGATTCGAATATTCCCATCCTTCACCGTCAGCAGAAAATAAGAAGCACCGCAACACCATTGTACCAGCGCCATTAGGAATCGAACCTACTACGAACTAAATACCTCCAACAACGTCAGCGCCAATGTGGACCTATCATGGGTCTAACTTATACTAGTCTCAGTAATTCAGACTCACGGCTAGCCGGGGTACCTATGGCCAGCCCTACACTCGTGCCTCGCTTCGGGGGCCAATCATATCGCAAGCTTATTACGGTATACCCCTCCCTTAGAGTCTAAGTAGAAAACCCCCGAATCGCTATATAAACCGTTAATTTATATGGGCTCACCGTAATAATTACCCCGTTAACGAGAAGTCGCGACTTCCTCCATTTTTCCAGCTATCACTATATAGTCTTTTAATATCAATTAAGAGGGCAATAGGCCTTTCGAGATCGCTAAACAAGTATATAAACTTTTTATTATAATCGAATAGCTCGTTATTATCGTATAAGCTTATTCGAACCCGCGTTCTCCGCTAACGATTATAGTACTTATCTTTAATCGATTACCCTCCGATAATTAAATTTCAAACGATAGCGTATTATATTTAGTATTATTAAAAGATTATATAACGAGTTAGGTGTAATAATTGGATTATAAGTTTAATCGTATTACTATCTAATAAAAATCGAGTATTAAAGTTATTCCCCTATATATAGATCTATTAACTCGAAGATATATTACTTAAAAGTTAAAGGGAGCATAAAATATATATCTTAAATGGTTTTAACGCGCTTAACGCGTTTAAAATAGACTAAAGCGAATAAGGAGATTATAAGGGGCGCTTAAATACGCGATTTTCTCTTCGACGACGATAGCGAGGTATTTTCGAACTATATATACTGACCTCTTTATAGCTTACAGGAATATCCTTTCTCCTGACGAATACGAAGTTTTAAGATATTTGGCGGACCAGTTCTGGAGCAAAGAAAAAAGTTATATTTGATTCCCGGGTATGAAAGTAGGGAGATAACCTCCATAACGACGACGCAGACCTTCCTGCATTCAAAGACGTCTTTTTCTACGTTTTATATACCCATAAGAGACTCCGACGCCGTGCGAGATATCCTCATTCATCGATGTCGCCGCCACCAATATCTGACTTCACACCAAAAGGATGAATTATCTCCGCTTCGCTCTCCGCTCTGCTCTCCGCTCTGCTCTCCGCAAGTTCGGTCGCTATACAATTGCTTGCATGCATACATGCTTGCTTGCTTATTTGCCTAGCCGTCCAAAAAATAGGGGAGACTACGGCGTCTGACCGAAGTAATGAACTGACTGGTGAGGCCACGCATTTTCCCCAACACGCCGCGCCGTCGGTCCGGCGAGTACCATGGCGGTTACCCCGAGAATTGTGTACTTTGGGGGAATTCCTACATGGTGTCTGCGCGTCTGTTGAGACGTACGGCGTTCTTAAGTACTTTTTTTTTTTTTTTTTTTTTTTTTTTTTTTTTTTTTTTTTGTGTTTTGTGGTTTTTTTTTTTTACCAACAACCCCCCCCCTTTATTTTTTTTGGGGTTTTTTTTTTTTTTTTGTAAGAAATTTGGGTGGAGAGAAAGTTTGTATTTTGGTTGGGGGGGTTATCAGTTATTATTTAGTTGAGGGAGAAAAAAACTCTGTTATCTATGGCTAGCTACATGAAAGGAACAATGATGGAATATGCATGGAAGGATGTAGAAGGAACAAAAAAAAAATTTATTTATTTTTTTTTTTTTTTTTTTAAAAAAAAAAATATTTTGTTTTACGGCTTAGGCCATTAGCCACAATGTGGCTGGGGGCTACAGCCATATAGCCATGGGCAAACATAGCCATGGGTAATATAGCCATGGGCAACAGTAGCCATGGGCAACAGTAGCCATGGGTGACATAGCCATTGGCAACAGTAGCCATGGGTAACATAGCCATGGGGAACAGCCATATAGCCATGGCTATGGTGTGCCAGGGTAATCAGTCCACTTGGCGCATATGTGGAACTAACACGCCTGGAAGGCTGAGATGTGACCCCCGAAGCAATCCGATTTACTATGGGCCACAAGCCGAAATCGGATGACTCGAAGGGACGAATCTCCAGTGATTTGGCAAGCGACTTTTTGCATTTATATCAGGCCCATGCCCACTGCATGAAGTTCTTTCCTTATGTTCTACCTATCTATGTATGCGATCTATTTACATAGCATTCATATATAGCCCTAGCCCTAATTGTATTGGGCATAGCCTATCACATTACCAACAGGTTATGAGCCCGGTTAGCCATTGATCGAGATTTCAGTCTTCCGCTACACCTACCTACCACCGCTATGGCCCCAAACACCAGAGGACGCAGCCGTCTCGAGGATCCCGCCGAAGGACACTCGGGGGCAGGGCTGCAGCAGGCTGGGGAACAAGACCGTTCATCCGCTGGACAGACAGCGTCACCAACTGGGGGCCTTTCCCATCCAAAAGGAAAGGAAGAGGAGGGAAGAAGACCTCCTACCCGATTTGGACAATTTGCTAACAGTCGATTTGTTGGAGGAACTGGATAAGGGACTCATCAGCAAACCGCACGTCAAAATGGAAGTTCTGAAGGACTTGAACTACCACCTATGGGCCCAGGACCACCGACAGTTCCTCGAGGGACGGGGCATCTTTGAAATAGTGTCAGGGGAACTATTGATGCCCACACGATTCGGTAGGGAGCCAGCCAAACGATGGACCATTTTGGACAGGTGGATCGCTACGCTGATCAGGGGTAACGTTGACCGAAATCAGAAGAGTCATATCGCCCACCTCATCACTTCCAAGTCCATGTGGGACAAGCTTCGTCGAATCCATGGAATGAGTGGCAAAGGACGTCTTCCGATCATGTTGCAGAAGTTCCTTGGATACACCAAGTCAGCAGACCAGACGATCGATCAAATGGTAGCAGATTTACGAAACCTACAGGACGAAGTCACGGACCTAAATCCAGCCTGTGCACCACATGATCTCACCATGGCGACGGTAATCATGAACGCTTGCCAGGGGAGTGAGTTCGATGTGGCCAAATACAACTTGGAGATTAACGACAATCTCACCACCGAAATGGCTGTGGAATGCCTACGGACCGTGGAGCAAGACAGACAGGCCAAGGACAAAGGCCTACTTGCAAATGGACGAAAGGGCCAGCCAGGCCAAAGACCTCCCAGGGACATGAGCAAGGTAGAATGCTATGGCTGTGGGAAAACCGGGCACTACGAGAGGGAGTGTCCGGATGAGAAGGACGAAAAGGATAAGAACCATGGGGCGAAGGATTCAGATGGGCGAAATCGTGAATCAAAGGATCGACCAAAGGGTTCAAAGACATCCAAAGGTAGTGGGCGAGGACGCTCAGACCGTGCTGCAGCAGCAGCGGAAAAATCAGACAGCGACAGTGATGCTAGCGATGTAAGCAATGCATACAGTCGAAAGGAAGGCTCATGGATGGCTAGGGAAAAGCCAGAGCCTACAGACAGTGCACTATCAGTGAAGAATTCCTCCATGATAGCAGACTTTTCAGGAGACAGTAGCTGGCTAATAGACTCCGGAGCGACTCGCCATATGACACCAAACAAGGAACTATTCACCGACTTGCGGCCTTATTCGAAAGGAGTAGAATTCGGCAATCAAGGTGAATTGATGGCGACAGGCAGGGGAACCATCCGAATTCGTATGGGCAACCACATGCAGACCATGACAGATGCTCTGTATGTCCCAGGAATGGGTGGTAACCTGCTATCTATCATAGCACTGGATCGAAAGGGTTTTGAGGTACGATTCGGAAACCTGTGTGTTAGAATCATCAACACATCCACAGGCGAGACGGTAGCAAGGGGTTGTGCGAGGAATGGCCTATATCAGTTGACCAAATCGACATCTGATAGAGCATTCGCTTCCAGGGAGTCGGGACCTCCCAATGAAAGCACACCTGCACCTACGAAACAAGGACAAGTCGATCATTTTCGACTAATGCATCAACGATTGGGCCATACCGGAGCGTATCGCCTGAAGGACCTACATCTCTACGCAAGAGGTGTAGAGGAAATGAAACCATCGGATGGATTCATGAGACCCATGCTTAGCCAGTCAGGCCTACCCATGAGCTTCTGGTCAGAGGCCGCAGTCTATGCAAACCATCTGAAAAAAGACTACCACATGGTAGCAGAGGGAGCAAGTCACCCTACGAACTATGGTTCAACAAGAAACCGGACCTGAGTCACGAAAAATGCCTACGAACGTCCATTTTTATGAGGACCACAAGGGAGTCCAACTAAAGACTCTGACTCGTTCCCAGTGGTCTACAACTCCATGCGAGCAGACATCGCCCCCACTCGCTGGAACGGTAACGACCTCAGTGACGCCTTCATCCAGGGTAGCATTGAGACCGTATCTAGCGACGACGATGATGAGGAGGACCATGGGAGGCCTACACCGGACATCACACCGTCGCCACGAATCGAAGAAATTGAAGATGTACGGGATTCTCAAGCAGAGGGAGAAGTTTCTACTAACTCCCCAGAGAACACGAATGACAGTGGAGATTCGGGACCAAGTGGCCCAAATGTATGCCAAAGTGAACCGGAATCTCCGCCAGGCCTTCGCGAAGCTAGAGAGACTCTTGATACCTCAAGTGGTGAGGAAACAACAAACCAAGGGACGGTACCTGAGGTTGGTATTCAACAACCTATCATACCTGCACCTACCCCTGACCCTCCTGACCGCACTAAACGACGTCTTATACCTCAAACCGCCACCTATCCCAGGAGAACAAACTGGAGAGCCACACCAAAAGTTTGCGTTGTTTCTCTGCTTTCTCTGCTTTCTCCATGGAGATTTTTTCGGAGAGTGACATCAACTGTTTGCTCTACCATCTCTGCCTTCCCAGTGGCCAAATGAAGAGGGAGTGTTGATTTTGACGGCTTATGGCCATTAGCCACAATGTGGCTGGCCGGGCTACAGCCATATAGCCATGGGCAAACATAGCCATGGGTAATATAGCCAAATGGGCAACAGTAGCCATGGGTGACATAGCCATTGGCAACAGTAGCCATGGGTAAAAAAAACATAGGCAAAAGCCATATAGCCATGGCTATGGTGTGCCAGGGTAATCAGTCCACTTGGCGCATATGTGGAACTAACACGCCATGGAAGGCTGAGATGTGACCCCCGAGGCAATCCGATTTACTATGGGCCACAAGCCGAAATCGGATAACTCGAAGGGACGAATCTCCAGTGATTTGGCAAGCGACTTTTTGCATTTATATCAGGCCCATGCCCACTGCATGAAGTTCTTTCCTTATGTTCTACCTATCTATGTATGCGATCTATTTACATAGCATTCATATATAGCCCTAGCCCTAATTGTATTGGGCATACCTATCACATTACCAACACATATCACGTAGTTGCGCATTTTGTAGTTAAGGATCATATGTACGCAGGGTTTAATTTAAATTTTTAAATTAAAAAAAAAAAAAATTTTTTTTTTTTTTTTTTTTTTTTCCCCCCCCCAAAGGCGGGTGGGGCAAAGGTGAGACTTAACTTATACAGGATAAGCGACATGTGACGTCGATCCCGTGCAGCTCCTTGAGGCTTGGCCAAACAAGCTCCAAAGCTGGGGTAGGATTGAAGTACACAATTAAACGACCTCTCAAACTTGACACTTCACCAACTCTCACAGATCAATCAATCACACCTTCCCATACACTCACCGTACCTATTACCAAGCTTACTCAGACTCGTTTGAAATTGTCAAAATGCCTCGCGGAAACGCTTCCCAGTCTAAGGTCCATTACCAGGGTAAAGAAGAGGACTTTGTGATCTACATTGATGACATTGAGTCTGTGCAAAAGTGGAAGGGCGACCGTTCCATCCCTCTAGCTCAGGTGGTTAGCGGCTTCAAGATCTTTGTTACGCACAAGTAAGGGAGCCTCTGCAGTCATTGCCAAATGTGTCACACGACAACATTGGTCAGAGCTACTACTGATATCTTATTCTCTATCAGACACGGGGCTCAGAATGCGTACGACGCAGCAAGTAAGGCTACTTTGGAGAATGAGTTTGGCACATCCAAAGAGGACGAGTGCATGACCAAAATTCTGGAGACTGGAGACCTTCAGCATACCGAGGTAAGCCAGGATGAGTGAGCCTCTGCGCCACGGAGAAATGGCAGCTGACATTTACCATTAGACGGGAGAACGTCAAGGACCTAAGAATGACAGCATGGGAACTCGGTCGGCTCATTGAAGGGATGGAATGAGGCAGTGGTGGGACAAAATAGCAGCCTCCAGCGAGGCTCGTCTACAGCATTGCAAAGTAATGGAAAATTTGATAAAACTCGGTCCTATGCAATCACGGATTGCAAACACATTCAATCTGTTCTGGTCCCGTGACACTCGTTGCCTTGCACTGCAGGACCGTTGTCCCTTTGGTGTGGCTCTGCAGCAACATCGTTCACAATGGCTTTCCCGCCGTCTTACACGTATTACCTTCCTACGCCTTGGAACCGTCCCCAACCATCAAGTTCCAGGGATCTGATGCCCAGCTCTCAGTATTGACCATCTCGCCTCACCTTCCCTTTCTGTCAAGGAGCTTCCCCACGGCAAAAAATCTTGACCTCACTCCCCAATCATTATTCTCCATGAGCTCTGCCTATGGAGCACCAGGTCCCGGAGGCTTCCTCCGGCCAACACTACCCTCGCCTCCAGCCTCGTCCTTCAATTCGCCGCCAGCCGGCTACACGATCTTGCCCCAAGCTCGATCTACCCCGCTAAAGCCCGGAAGTGCGAAAGAAAGTAGCTTCATTGACTATGTCGACAGAAAGCTGCTTGAAATTTCGCGGCGGTACGAGAAAAGGTTCAACGCTGACTTCGAAGATGAGGCTATGTCTGGAATTCAGGGAAGAGGCTATGAGAGCTACGGAGAGCTGGCGAGGGATTTGGAGGGGGTGATTGATGTGGTTTGGGTGTCTGGTACACGTACGGGTGGCCATTAGACCTAGGATGTGGCCTTTGCTAATGATTCAATATCTCTTTAGCTTCGCTTCAAACGCCATACCTCCTCACTATTGCATTGACATCCTGCACTTGTCTCGCACGTACGTGATACTTTCCGAGGCAATTCTTCCCCATTCATGTGGTCTTATGGGTCATCACACATGTCCCAAGAGTGCTCTGCTCCTAAGAAATGTCCCGCGACTTAGCTTTTCTCCCGAAAGAGTAATGCTGACTCCGAATTTATTAAGCTTTCCCCTTCTCACCACGGCCCACCTTCTATCTGCTTCACAAGCTTGACATGGCCTTTTATTCTTTACTTCAAGGCGTCAATGCTGAAACTGGTGACATCCTATCAGGGTTCGAAGGAGGCAGAGGAAAGCTGAGCACCACGGAGAAAGTCAGAATGAGGTCACTGGTTGAGAGGACAAGAGTAGCGGTGGTGGAGGTTGCAGGGAAAGGAGGGAGCGTGACTGATACTGAGAGTGTAGCACAGTCTAGTATGGAAACCGAAGATGATTTTACGACTGATAATGACGAAGACGATATTATGGAGGAAATGCAGGTGAACGGGAATCATGGAAGGTGGGAGATGGAGATTGCGAGGGTTTATGAGAAGACGATTGTGGAGTTGGGAGTGTCGTTGGATACTTCTGGAATGGGAGGGCTTGGTTGAGTGGATGCTGGCTCAGTTGCACATGACTTGATGCATGTCATGGAGAGCTTAGAGCAGAATGCTGCCTGAGACCATGAGTGCTCTCCATGATTTCAGTCTGTGAGGGTAAGTTCCCATTTTCTGATCCTAATCTCTGGCTTGCTCCCCCGACGATGTACTCGAATGCTACAAAATAAAGCTTTTCAATATGTGACTGAACTGGAAAAATGGCCGCGAGTTCCTTCCAATCTTGTGATAAACAAAGCCGCCAGCACAAAGTGTTAAGCGAACCTCTATCCATAATCCCCCATGTTTACATCAATGTTTCATACCACGCCCATCATCAAATCCAACGTCGTCGTCTTCTCCCTGTGTCTTCTTTCATCTGTTTGCATCAACGCACCGGCATCATGCCAACACTCTACGGCAAGAAGACAACAGTCCAGCTCTCTGTTTCTGACCTTAGGCGGGCAACGACCCCCAATCCACGCACACAGCAAAGTCCCACCACCAGCGCGTCTATCCGAGATATTGCTCAGCAATTTGCTAGAGATTCGATAGATGGGACACTGAGCGAGACGCCATTATACACAGATGAAGGAAGCCATGTACGTTTTCTGGGGAACAATAAGGATATGCTATTCTACATGGTCCATGCGGGTAAGAACTTTTTCGATTTGACCACGACAGAGCAGAGGAACACGAGGCCGGCTAGGGTGCCGTTGGTTAGAAAAAAGTCTGCCGGGACAACTGTCGTTTTGGATGGAGAGAAAATTGGTGTCGGGACGAGTAAAGATGGTAAGACACCCCGATTATGATGTTACATACCTGCTTCTTATTCTGCTAATCCTTCACCAGCCGGTATCGAACCCAATCGGAAATACAAACCACCTTTCATCCCCCATGCCCTCTGCCTCACCGTCTTCCTCTCCAATAAGTCTTTTGAAGGTAGCAAGGATAAGGCGACTGCAATAACCGAAATCAACGACGTCAAGATCGACGTTTACTTCAATGGCGCGCCCTGCGGCTCTCATTACGTCCCACGGCGCTACTCGGGCGAGGCTCATACCATGACTGAGCACATTGTCCGTTTCACTGGTCACCGAATTGGGCGATTGATTGAGAAACCTTGGGTCATTGTTCCCTCTGGTCAGAACCCAGATGGAGGCCTTAGAGAGTACCGACGGGGCAAAGTGGCCTATGCTGGCGCACAGCAGAGATGGAATGAAATTTCAGACGCCCTCATGTCTGAAGCCGACGAGATTGGGCAAGATGAAAATGGCGAACGCCCAATTATTGGCGAGTATCTGGAGAGCCTGGCCCAATTATCCATGCCAAAGGAAATTGAAGAAATGCAGAAAGCTGGCAGTCCCAAATTTGGTATCCTTGACGCTGTCATCACTTGGGGTAAGGGTAACAAAGATGGGCCTGAAACTGCATACATTATCAACCCCACCCCGATCAGACACGAGGGGTTTACAACCACAAATCTGGATCAATCTGTGGATCATTCACCGGTTCAAAGCATCGCAACAACGAGAGACCGTACATATACAGCGCCACAGTCGCGTTCAGAAGCGCTCGCAAACGCCAAGTCTATTGACGATTACTCGAAAACCTCCCCACTATCTGTCGCACCATCTCCGGTTCCTACTCCAAGTAACAAGACTAATCCCGTGCCTTCTTCCCCACCAAACGTGCGCCTACTCCCAGCGCTTCAGCTTGAAAAAGCGGTCAAGCGGTCTCGCGGCCATTATTATGATATCATCACTACCAAACAAACGCTCTCCGAGCAGATCGATTCGATGGCTACAGCCATTATCAATGACCATAGAGCCGGTTGCAATCCCACCATCCCGACCTATGCACGAACTACACAGACTAGCTTTGCGTCAACGGCGGGTAGCTCACCACTCAGTTCTGCCCCAATGACGAGGGATCACACCCCTGCGCAGAGGAAGATTGTGAAGCTCAAGTTGCCAACTCCTACCAGCCCTGCTAAGAAGTCCGACAAGGTGACTACACGACGCGTGCAAGATGGGAAAGCGGACACCCCAGCTCCTGGGTCAAGACGGAGAGATCGAGTACCGACCCAGCTGAATGCTGATGCTCTAGATCGTGATTTCCAGACGCCGGCGCTGAGTGTAGACTGTGCTACTACATATGCGTCGAGTGGTACTGTAAGGAATGTGGGGGCGGCGAGGGCAGGAGTGTTCAAAGAAGGTGGGGTGGTGATGGGGGCGAGGTTCGTTGTTGGGGGGTGACGCCACAGGATTTGTTCGTCTGATAGGGAAGATACCACAAGAAGCGTTCATTATTGTTATTGCTAAGCCAATGTCCTTTGAAGGCTGATGAGCTGTGCGCCGGCTATATCGCAGAATGCAGGGGATACAGCGACGTGGTGGTACATGATCATGCAAATGCTACCTTCCACTTCTCCTAAATGTCCTCATGTTTCATCCCATTCATGCCTTCTCTGGATCATTGATGCCGCCGTTCGTGATCACGTAGGTTGCTTCACGCTCGGGACAATCTGCATAACGAGTCAGAGCTTGTCAGAGGACTCTGCTTCTCTGTGACCAGGGCGACGACTGACCAGGCGAGTCCTGAATCTTAGCCACTCTCTCCTCACCTCTCCCCTTCCGGAGCAAGACCCTCGTGGTCGAAGCGTGCGCTAGGATATGTCCACCAATGGGTTTGCGGCCATCGGCACCAGCAAAGAGAGCGTTGGCGCCGGGGTCGGATTGGACTTGGTTGGTCTGCCCTGGTCATCAGCTTTCCGCTCCGTCTTCCACTGATATCTTTAGATCGTTGGAGAGGTGGACGGTACCATCAAAACGCAAACGTTAAACTCCTCGGCCATATGCGTCAGCTTTGATAAGAACTGATTCAGCTTCTGCTGTCTATCCGCGAGCTCGCCACGGCCACAGTAGTCGACGCGGAAACAGGCCATGATGCTATCGATTATAAGGAGGCGGTATTCGTTGCTGGCGAAGGAAGAGGAGAGCGTGTTTAGGAGTTCGAGTTGGTGCTAGCACGATGGCGAATGTTAGCGAGGTGCTGTAGAGGGATAGGGAACGGAAGATTTTATGTACGGACCTCGCTGTTGAGGGCGCGGGCGTAGGCAATGTTTTCTTGGGCTTGGTCGGGATCCACTGGGTGAGTTTAGTAGGGTTCCTGATGTGCAGAGGATGAGGGTTGTACTTCCGAATCGCTCGGCGATTTGTGCTATTCTGTGACAGTGAGCAGGCTGTGTTGAGCCAATGAAACGATGAGTCGAGTACCTCTCGGGTCTGAAGGTCCCCTCAGTGTCTGAATTGGAGAGCGAATATCAGCTATCTACCATCAGGGTTGGATGTATGCTAGGTTGTACCGATATATGCGACCTTTCCACTCGCTCCTCCCATGTCCGGCGGCAGCTGATGTTGCTTTAGCTCACAAACGCTGGTCGAGCGGAGAGTTTCAAGTAACCTGAGCAACAACGGACATTGTGTGCGAAAGCTGAGTCTTTCCACATCCTTTCGCCCTTTCAGACCGAGATTTTGCCCAGGGTTTACGCATGCAACTCACTGAATTCGCCATAGACCTAGATGAGGGTAAATTCAGTAAAGTCGCCAAGGGAGTAATCTCGAAGGTGCTGCCATACCTCGCTAATGCTCATGCTCTGGAATCCACTGGCACACTGTTAGCCGCTGGGAGCCCGGCGCCTGGCTCTGGCAGACTTTCCCTCCGAGAATAGAGTCCAGCTGCTTGCTTCCGGTCGAGATCTTGCATACTCTCTTCCTACTGTGACCGAGCTCAACTGCTGTGATGAAGCCGGATGCAGAAGGCTGGTGGGAGGTGCAGGGTCAGCAAATCACTTGCTAGCCACTACGCTGCGATGTAGTCAAAGTCAAGCAGGGATTGAATGCAGAGCAACATACCTGCAATTTCGTGATAGCCTCTTTGATCTTCTCGACCTTCACTTCGCTGAAGCCTTTGACCTTGAGAAGCGTCTTGCGTGTAGCAGCGTGGACCGACTTAGCAGTGTCAGCCAGTTTTTTCATTTCGACGAAAAGCAAGGAAAATCCCCACAGCAACAGTGTAGTAGCCATTGGCCTTGAGCTTTGTGATGTCTGCTGCTCCCACACCTGTTGTTCATGAGCACTAAACGGCTGTGGCTTGCTGACGGTGGAACGTACCATGGGCTTGGATGCCGTCGATATCAACGATGAAGTCCTAGATAGTGTTCTCAATGGCAGTCATTTGATGGCGTAAGCTTGCTCAAACCTCATCGTCGAAATCATCTCCAGCCGTTGAGGCAGTCATCGCAAGGTATAGCTGTAGGAGTTTCTATCTCGAGCCCGCAGGTAGAGTCAAGTCTGGCGGTGCAGTTGGAAAAATGGATGGAGTAGCATAGATTTGGTCGAGGAAAATGGTGGAGATGATGTGAGATATCGAGCTGTGGAGACACAGCTTTGAGTCTTGGCAAGCTGTCCACTTTCAAGGACGAGATTTCTGTCTCAAAGCCGCCAAGTCAAAGCATTTCTTTGCTATTGCAGACCGAAAGGATTGCACCACTGTTTTCAAGGAGAGAAGCTGCATTTTGTCAATGGAACGAAAAATTGTGCCTAACCAATGTTGACTCTTGAGGTCTCGTTCTGGGATCTAAAATCATGGTAGAGCCAAGCACTGACTCAATTGAACAAGGTCCTCCATCATCATCATCAAAGATCCTCCATCCTAGCCTTGATTCTTTATCCTGGCCGCGCTCGTCCGCGCTTACCATCCGTCTTCCTTCGCTCCTCCAGGTCCATCCATCTCTTCTCCTACGCGACGCACCAGCAGAAGCAAGATGTTTAGAATACATGGATGACGCCGTTCGTCACGTCTTTGGATATGCCAGGATGCGGAACACCATTGAATGGAATATCGCTTTTGGGGGGTTCGTCAACATTAGGTGCTAGTATTGGCAAAGGAGATTGTATGCAAGATTTGTGAACAAGCGTATGGTCATAGTACAGAAAGGAGATTCGATCGTTGGCCGTTCAATTTTTGACGTTAGGCGACGACCGTGGTAGGCGCTGGCTGCACTTGATCCACTGCGCCATCAATGGGGATCTGACCATTCGTTTCGGCCGCTGTGCAATCCCGAGATATATGCCCTGCTTGACCGCACTTGTAGCAAACCTTGCCTGCAGAATTAAGGGGGCCGCCATTGGGAGCTGTGCAGTCGCGAGAAATATGGCCCTGCATAGGTTAGACTTGAAACTCACAAATTATTTTCCGAAGTCGACTCACCAGCTTGCCGCATGCATAGCATTTCATAGCTTGCGCCTGACAGTCACGAGCGTAGTGGTTTGGTCCACCACACTTGTAGCATGTTGCAGGACGTGGACCACCAGCACCTCCCGCAAAGCCTCCGCGAAAACCGCCGGCGAATCCGCCACGGGGAGGAACAGCTCCCCGACCTGCACCGAATGCAGGTCCGGGTTGAAAGCCTGCATTTGGGCAAGATCGCTGTCGATCACCGTCAGCGAGAACGACCGAATACGAGATGCAGGAGTACGTACCGCTAGATGACCCGGTTGGCCACAAGAATAGCAGCGTCCACCTCCCGTGCCGGCGCCACTGATACGCAGAGTCGGACAGTCTGCCTGGACGTGCCCAAGACCCTGACAATGGTAGCATTGCTTGGCTTCGCAAGAGTCAGCGTGACCATCCTAGAGATCTCTGTGTGGGTATTGACTTACTGTCGGTGGTGCGAGGATGCGGGCATCCATTGGATTCATGTCCTATAATGGGAATTAGATGCGCTCGGATTATCTTAAGGTTACATCGAGGAGTGATAGATGCACACCAGGCTGTTTGCCTGTCTTTGAGTCAGCGCATGAAGAGGAAGCATCAAGGAAGCGAAGAAGCTTACAGTTGTAACATAGGCGTTCTGATGACGAGCATACTTCTGCACGATATCAGCTTGCATGCCTTCTCCAACTGGAAGCCATGTTGCTGACCAGCGTAATGCCCAACGTTCCCGCATTTGTAGCAAGCCCGGCGCGATAAAGAAGACATATCCAATGCTGATTTTTGCAGCCCTGCGACACCTGTATCAGAAAGCTTGATGCTGTATTGACGATTGCCATATTGCCATGGTCCTGGGTCCATGATGTAGGAATGTTGGGGTGGTGATTTGGATGGGTGGGGTCATGAAGTTGTTTGCGAACGGGTGATTGTGTGGATGGCAACAGTGAATTTCGCTCTGTGAAAAAGTTCGGTACCTTGTAGTCCAACCTGAGAATATGATTCCTATAAGACAGCGCAACATGTCAGCATCTCGCTCTCTGAGTTCTTGCTCTCTGCTACTTCTTCTGGTGGCTCTGGTATTGCGAAGCATACCTTGTAACCTAAAATCTCCTGCCCTCAACCGCACAGCGCTTCCTTCCTCCCAAAGCACAGCTCGCTATGTACCTTCAGCCCTCCGATGCAACTGTACGACCTGACAATGCCAATTTTGGGAGAAGAAACGTCGACAAAAATTCTACAGATGCCAACCGCTCTCGGGTAAATTCGAATTTACGCTTACTACATGCGGGATCGTGGAACGGCGGAATTGTGGGGGTGGAATGTTGGAGATGACGAGCGGAGCATTAGTCAAGTCCCTTCAGCGCACTGGCCTGGCAGGACTGTCATCTCGTTTGCTCCACAGAGGAACCTCCTCGGTTCTTCTAGTGTACACCTTCAACATATAACCATGCATACTCTCTCCGATCCTGTAGAGGCAGAGCTGTTGTGCATACCTTTCCATCACTCCGAAGGCTCCTTCTCGATGACGGCAGGAGCTTTGATTGTCCTATCTTTGAGAAAGTGAAGACCCTCACCGCCCTATTGGGACTGTCAACTACTGCAGGATCAAGAGACGGGGGCATTGACATACATAGCTGATCAGAGGCGAGACTTCAACCGCAGTTTCATCAGCTCCACTGTCGCTCACCACAGTCCCTCCGACTGCCTCGATCCACCTCTTGCCTTGTTCTAGTATATCCTTCTTACTCGTATCTGGGTCATCCTCCCCTGTTCCTTTGGCGTTTTTCAGGGGCGAGAACTCGTCCTCTCGCTTGACCTCCATTGATGCAAACTTCTTAAGATCGAGCATTGGAAAAACGTCGAAGACAAACTGTTCTAATTTGATACCATTTGGCTTTTCTGGCTTGATTGTCTCCCCCTTGTCTGTGTCAACGTACGGAATCTTCTTTCTAGCTACATGATGGGGGAGCTCGTGCACCCATTCTTCGATGGTCTCCAGAAAGCGGAATGAGTAGTAATGGTTAACGATATTTGCTGCCCGGAACTTGAGAATTTCTGGTTGCTTCGGATCCTTGGCCTCCGCAGTAGCTGTGTCGATCTCCGAGTACTCTACGACATCTGGTTTCCCATTCTTGAGTAAGATCAGGCCGACTGATTCTTTCGCACTTCGCTTTCGAACCACTTTGGTGGCAATATCCACGTCCTTGGATGCAGAGAAGCCCAGGAACACCGGGTCAGCCACTTTCACCAGGCAATTATCCACACAGTAGGCGTGGATGTGTTGGATTCCTCGTTTCCGCATATCGGTTCGAACATTGGAGGTCAAGAGTGCCTGGTAGATGCCACCATTCCCATCTGGAGCGACTGCTACCTGCAAATCGACGTTAATATCGGGCCTCGGGTCCCATCATATATGGCTTATACCTTTGACTTGCTTTCCAATAGTATCTTCCCTTCGTTGGAGATGCAGGGAAGAACGCCTTGCTCGAAGATGACCACATCGTCCTTTCCCAAGCCGAAATAATTATGTTCCTCGAAGAAATTTTCTGTTGGCCCTCGTGTAGGTCCACTAGTCATCACGTACCAAGGTATGACGATGTCCTTCTTCCCGCTCTTCTTTTCTGCCAGCTGCTGGACCTTCCATATCCTCTCCGCCTGTATCTGGAACAGTGACTTTCCGCTGAGTAGACCAATGTTGAAACATCCTTTGGGAGCAGAGCTACCCAGCCGTGTGCCTTGCCCACCAGCCATCAACACCACAGCAACCTGCCCTTCAGCTACTAGATCCAAGCCGGAGTTGTACCATGACTCGATGTCCTCTGACTTTGAATCAAATATCGAGGCGGTTGCTTCTTCTGGCAGGGGTTCTAGCTTGGTCTGCCCTTCTTTTCCGGAGTCCTGAGGCTTTAGTGCTTTCCGAGTGATCTCATTAATGTAATTGGGATCGATAGAAGAGAGACGCTCGAAAAGGCCCGCTTTTTCGGCGGTGTCAAGCTTATCGTAGAATGTTAGAACTTGCTCTTGACCTGCTTTTTCATAAAGTTCCCGTAGTTCACCGAATTCTTTTTCCGTCGGCTCTTTTGCCGGGACTCCTTCTTCTTTGGAGGAGAGATTTAGCTTTTCGAGGATCTTGTTCATTGTGGAGGTCATCTTGGATGAAACAGGGAATGGTAGTTGTAGCTGATACTTGTTAGCTCGATCATGAAATGTGGTTGTTTGCCTAGCTGAATGAAAGTATGGGCGTTTGTGTACCAGGGCCGAAGTGGAACAAAAGAAAATGGCGAAGTGGCGGGGGTTGTTTACAACCCCCCGCATGCCAAGATCTTGAGCCCTACCCTTTAACCAAATGCAGTCAGCAAGAATAATCGAGCGGAATGTCAAGACAGGGTAAGTAGTGTTGGAAGCACTTTGTCTGCAAAGCTCAGGCTACGTGGTGTAATAGTAGTGCTGTAAAGAAACTACAGATAGTGCTACAAGGTCGAACAACAGGCATGCCATGTAGACATCTCTTCCAGTATCTATACACAGTTCCCTCTCCCCAATGGTTCAAAATGTAGCCATCAACGCCAGTAATGCACGCGCTCCATGGCACCATGATTCGTATATGACCCGTGTTAGCTCCAAACCTTCACCATTCTTTGTTACTACCGCCTCCTGCTGCGGTCCTCATAGTCATCTCGTTGGTAGTCTCTGCTTCTGTCTCTTCTTCGCCGAACATCTCCTGAAGGTACACGTTCTCGGTATCGATCGTGACTCCTAGGACTCCGACTTCGTGAGTGTTTGCGCGGCCGGTCTCGTCGATCGGGTTCCTTGTCTCGTTCATGGCGTATTGCATTTTTGTCAATGACCATTCCATAGCCATTAGAGCGTTTGCGGTCCTCGTCACTTTTCGGATCTATAGCCCTGAATTGTCGCTTCTTCTCGAGACCAGCGATACCACCAAAGCCCCCTCCGTGTTGCGCTCGTTTGGAGTTTGTGGCAGTTCTCCATTTGTCTGAAAGCCGCGATACCTATAGATTTGGTCAGTAAAGAGGCATGTGGGGAGGCTTGGAAATTGCATACACTCTGTGAGAAGTCGACATGGATGCGGTGATCATCAATCAACACTCCTTGCATCTTGAAATATGCCTGCTCGCAGTCCTTCTGGTTCTCGAATTCGATAAATGCATATTGCAGGCTGTCTTTTGTGCGCTTGTCTCGAATGACTTCGCAGGATACGATTGGACCGAAGCGGCTGAAGATCGTATCTAGATCCTCATCTGTTGAGCAGAGCTTGTCAGCGGTACGTGCGTAGAGGCCGCAGGATCGATGGTCTGACCTTCTGTGACAGGATTGAGCTTGCATACAAAGAGAACATTCTCTGGGGGCTTGACCTCAGCATAAGGTAGATCGCCCACAATTTCCAAGGTCAGAGCTTGCGCTCTAGCTTCCCTCTCGCGGCGTAGTTTCTCTCGCGCTTCCTCCTCTGCCTCTTCATCGACTTCCCCGAAGATCTCCGTTTCCTCTATTTTCTCATCATTCTTGACGTCATGTCCACTTCCAGTCTCCTGGACCTGCAGCTTTTCATCGAATTCGGACATGATGGCGAGCTTTCAAGGCGGTGCTGGGCTACTGAAAGAATGAGGTGTTGTCCGATTTATTACTGTCGTCTGTGATAATGGACGATCGCCGCCAAGGATTGGGTATGGCGCCTCGCGGGCGACAAAATAGAGTACTTGAAAACTAGCAACCCCTGTAAAATCCCTCGAAGTGTTAAGCTTTCTATTGCTGCGTAACAGAAACTTTGTTACGAAACATTTCAATTCCAAGATTGTAGATAATTACAATCTGAACGCTTTATGAAGCAGAAGTTCTTGCGTCAGAGTCGTTGTTAGTAGGAAATTTACGAGTGGCCAGTCGTTCTGTATCACGCGAGGGTTCTAGCGTTGCGTCTAAATGAGGAGAGGCTAGACCTATGGGCTAACCTCAGGCTTTTCACTGAAGCTGCCTCTACGATATCGTTCGATGGTGTTTTCAGAGTTCTCCAGGCTCTGGTGGTGAGGCAGAATTCCGTCAAGAGGCTTTCGAGTGCTTGGCGTTTGTTTGTACGTTCAGGGACTCAAAGATGAGCCTTTGAAAGATAAAGACTGGGCAGATGTGTTCTGAGGCACCGCGGTGACGGCACCGAGGGGTTTTAGCAATCCGTACCTTGGAACGACGCGTATATCAATCAAAGCCTGCATCTCTCACCGCATCACCAGACATACTTCAACCGAACGCTATCTTGGAATTCTATCTTGGAGGACAAGGAAGCAAAAATCTGCTGACCGCATCCTCCGGCTTTGTCCATCTGTCCATCTGCCTTTCAGCACACCTGAAACGGCACTCAGCGCCGGGGGGGTAGCGTCTTTTCTCTGCAGCTATCCGTGCGGTGTATCAAAGATTCGTTGGATCCCGTCACGTCCTCATCATTGTGGAACCAACTACAAATCTCCTAGCCCAGTGCCTGCTGGTCAATATCAGCGGCTGCCAATCAAATCAAATCACATGTCTACATCGCAAAATAGGTCCCCACAGCCTTCAGGGAAGACTTAGCGGTTTTTGGCCATAGTTGACGACGCCTCCCGCCATGCTGTTGTTGCGGCTGTTTCAACGTCTACCTCGTATTTAATCATTTTTGATAGTTGTGCCGTTTTACTAAATTCGGACAGTGTGCTTAGCAAAACCCAGACAGCGGAGCTTTCAAAACCTATGCCTTGTAGTAAGGCTGCATACGAGCCGTGTCAGTAGGTCCGAGTCGAAAAGCGGTGCAGGAGGTTTTTTCTGAATCCGGGCGACCTCCGCTGGCTCGAATTCCCTTTTCGTCATGCTACATATACGCAATACGAAGCCGCGAGGCTATCGCTGTGTCCGCCTGTTCAGCGAATGGATCAGCTTTGATCCTACCTTGGCACACTAGTCTCAGCGACACCCATTGCTTCCAGTCCGGGAATTCCTGCTCCACTCTGTGGACATGCTTACAGCGGCTTTGAGCCGACATGAGTCTGTATGGACAAGGTAGTGTGCAAGATCACGAGGCGTGGAAGACAAATTTTTCCAATCTGGTACAGTAGACGGACCCGAAACACATGGAGCTGCAAGCAAGCTTGTTTTCGGTTTGCTGCCCGAGACAGAGCCTGGTTCTGACACGGGAAATCGATGGCCGGCATCCTCTTCTCACACACTGTGAGACTCGCTTACATTAGAGTAGAACATTGCAGTGCTCAATTAATTTTGGGTGGTTGCTTGGCATGATCTGTGAAGGACAGGGTGGGGACTGGCAAATCGGATTAAAGCAGTTTGCCTGAAAGCCCTACCACCACCATCAAACAATGATTTCCCTTAGGCAATCAGACAACGCACACTGTCACCGCAGACATGGCCTTCCTCCCAAATTATGGCCGACCTATCACAAAACAAATAGAGCTACTGCTGTGAGCAATCAAATGCTTATTGTAAGAGAAGGAGATCCTACCGACTTCTTCAGCAGCCATCTATGGATAGTTTCACTCTGCCTTACTCGTGCCGATCCACAATAATGTTTTCGGGAGTAAGGATCAAGATCGTCCAAGCAATGGCTGTTCTTATTCTCTGGCGCGCTGTGGTCTGAGCTCCTCTGGTGTCAACCGAGGTTAGATTCCTCCGAGCAGAGTGGTATCAAGAATATTCGAACTTCATCACTTTTTTGCGGCCGAAGCGTCTACCGGAACCTTAAGATCCGATTGAATCTTGCAGATAATCGACGCTTGATCCCGTTTCCTGTATGTACCTTACTGACATTATGTCACTGGCTGCAAGCGCCCACTAAAGTTGGACCCACCCCGGATGAATTGCGTGTAAGGCGATGAGCTGAAGTCGCTATTTTTTATCTGTAGACACTTCAATCCTACCTGAGAAGGAGCAGTCGATAGGTCTTTTCACTTGTGCGTTGATCTGGAAACGAATTGGTCCTCGTGCAGCAGAGTGATTGTAGCAGTTTTTGTCTCTGCAATTTAGATGTCCATCAGTCTACTTATATTGAGACCTCGTTCCCAATTTCTATCCCCCTATCGTTTAACATTGATCTAACACTTCACCGCCTCCTACTAGACACTCCATTTTCGCAGTGGGGAGAACGCGGCTAGGAGGGTGTCCGTCCCAGAGGCATTGTTCTTGGCTGGGAGCCTCTCACTTTGGAGTCCACGTCAATACAAAAGCTTGACACCACCGCCCGCTCAGTCCAATTTGAGCCCAGTGTTGAGTGCACAAGGTAATGACCCGTGCTTATCACGGAATTGCCCGAGGACTCAGCACCCACCGCCACCCAAACGAGGTTATGGCTCAGCCAAGGTCGCTTACCTATCGTGGTAATATAAGAGCTTACCCTGATGGCAATGAGAGTGATGAATCTAGGTCTCCACGAGGGGACAAGAAGCCGAGGAAGCGAAATAGTGTAGCCGTACGTTGTTCAAGGCAACTCATACAGCCTGATCCGATGCAGACGAGGGCTGACATGTGATGCAGTGTGCACGTTGCCGCAAGAGGAAGATCAAATGTACCGGTGATCGCCTGGATGGCAACGGCTGCGAGGCCTGTCAGGCAGCCGGGGTGCCGCGAAGTTCCTGCCACTATCTGAGGGTAAGGATGACCAACGTCCACCACTCTGGTCCTTCTGTTGACGTATACATGAGTTAGGTGAACTCTCATCATATAGAAGATGTCGCAATGCAGGTCTCCAGTGACTCGGAATGGCCCCATTCAGCACCTGCCCCGGCCAACTATATGACCCGGATCACAACCGATCCAAGCCAGTACGCTCTTGCCAACGTTAGCCATGTCCCCCAGCACGTGCCCACTCCTTACACAGGCCCAGGGTGAGCCAATCTCTAGGGGACTCGAAGCGCTTGCTGACATCTCCAGCGCGCCATACTCGACTTCACAAGCGCGCCCTCCTTTCAATACCAATTACCCGACCAGCTACAATGGTCAGTATGACATGCAGAGGCCCCTTCAAGGACCGTCTCTTCAAATGTCACAAGCACCTACGCCAATTTATCCCACCCTCGATTACGCTCAGCAGTGGAATCCATTGCCTTCAAACGGCAGACCGACCTCTCACACTCTGCTCTACGATCAAGATCCTTTGAGATATGAGACTTCGACGGTCTCTTACATGACATCTACGGGTACTTCGGTCCCAAATGTGGCGGCAGAGGGATCCCCGATATTCCCTGGTTTGTCTCCGCTCGTCACCCATTTGCCAGCTTATGGTGGCAACAGGACGCTTCCCGATCCAATGAGTATTCATTCCTCATTCGACGCCAGCAATGGATCCATCCAGGGGAACGATGAAGATCCTACCTTGTACCAACAACACCTTGAGACAGGGACTAGCCAAGGGTCAGTCAGCTCGGCGTCCCAAGACGCTATCAACGCCACAGGTCAGGGCAGCAACACTTCATCTTCATGTCCTAGCGAGACCCAAGAAATGTCGACGCTCAGCTCTCTCAATATGACCCACACTTCGCCAAGTGCTTCTAGCGAAAATACCTCTGGCTTCCACTCCATAGACAGCTCAACGACGAATAACGTCGGCAGCTACGCCGCCAGCCCAACGTTGGCGATGCAGTCCAATCAGCACTCCAACAGCCAGCTCCCGAGCTTGAATTCACCTTTTGACGGCAATGGTGGACACAGAGGCTCTCACGTGCCGGAGAGAACGCTCGACTCCGGGATGGCGATCAGAAACGGGAGTGTTTACGACCCACATGGCCGTCCTCGAATCCTGCAACCGCAGCCTCGACGTTCGCCTTCTTACGATCTGCTCAACGGTTCCTTCGAAGGGGGTGGGAAGCACCCGGCTAAGGTGCTCAAGTCGAACGGCCATGGTCGCAGGCCTGGTGGAAAGCAGTAAGACAGTTCCTCGGTTTGATGCTGCCATGTTTGCTGCGCCTCGGTTGCAGCTGACCTACTAGAACCGTTGCTCGTGCATCTTGCTACTACATGGTCTGAATCAGCTTCTGGATCCTCACCGAGCTTGTAGAGCTCGCAGCATTGGTCGATGCAAAGACTACGGGCTGATAGAATGGTCCCTCTCCGACTATGGCCTTCTTCCCTTGCTGGCAGAGCTTGCAGACCGGAATCCAGTCAGCCATATCATCCTCTCTTTGAACCGGAAGCTCTTTCTTCGGCGTTCTGGATTATCAGGCAAATAAAAAAAGGATTTGAGACGCTTGAGGGGCTTCGTCAGTGTTTTCGATAGATTTTTAATAGATTAATGGAGTCATTCGACCAATCTTGCAAGCAGAATCATTACTTCGAAGCTGGAAGATCTTGTATTCCCTATGCGCCACAGAATGCGACTATGATATGTAGGAACACACGAGCATGTTCCACCCTCGTCTTCTGACCAAGCACGAACCAGCACGCATCCAGCATCCTTTACTTCTTCTTATCCTTCGACGCCGCCGCCTTCCCTTTGGCCGTCCCCCGTACAGTCTTGGCTCGGTTCTTGCGTTGCTTGCCTATCCATCCCCGCAAAGTCAGCACAAGATCCCCACCGCTATGCCCCGTGCCCAAACGTAGCCTCCCGTCTCACCATGTAGGAAAGATAGTACGTACGCTGTTGCCTACTAGCCTTCTCAATTTTCGAAGCCGCCCCGTACCTGACCAACCGATAATGCGGCTCGAACTTCTTCATCACCTCATGGCTGTCGTATATCAGAGCGAACCCGGTCGATTTCCCTCCACCGTACTGTGTGCGGAAACCGAAGCAGGACACTTGGTCCTTGTTGGCTTTGTAGAGCTCGGCGAGTTTCTGGCGGAGTTCGTCTTTGGAGACGTTGGCGCGGTTCGGGTGGAGGACGTCACTGTAGAAGGAAGAGATCAGACTTCCAGCCCATCGTAGATGTGAGGGAGGGGTCAGAGGGAGCTAGGTTGCCGCTGCGAGGTAGGGGCACCCACACGACCATCTGCTTTCGACCGAGGAGGGCGTTGCGGATGAATTTGCGCGTGCGCAGCGTTACGGGCTGCTCTCGGTCTGCCATGTTTGCTAGCTGTATCATTTCATTAGCACCGACTCTGGGTATCGTAGATGTACATGCGGCAACTGACGGAGAGAGTGTGTTACTGGATCCTCGATGGTCGAGCAAAGTCGAGCAGATCCATCTGGGAGTTGCGTGTGTGCACGATAAGGTGTCGCTTAGCTGGAAGCTAGCCTCTTTGGTACTAACGCAACATATCTTGGCATTATTGTATGCTCAGCATGATCTTTTATGTTGGACCTGTAAGTGACCTGGAAATGATGATGTCTGAATAGCGTGGGCCGGTACTCTTAAGAATGGACGACATTGCACCCGTGGAGCTCCTCAAGAGGCAGTATCTGCAGCTTATTGACCCGGAAGAACTTACGCTTCCTCTCAGAGAGTCTCTCATATTGCCAGAGACTCAGGCCCAGATTTACAATGATCTGTTTGATGAGTCCGGAATTGCCTATGCACCGCCTGAGCGTTACAAATTTCGTGTCCTCAAAAGAGTTGTGAAAGCCCTAGAGGACGCAGTGGAGGATCCGGAGGAAGATGTAGGCTTTCTCCTTCTCCTCATTTGAACTCATTCTTTGCTCAGCATTGTCCTCGTTTCTTCTCCTTTTTGAAGATTTTCTAATGGCTTGTCACTAAATCTTTCTACCTTGTCGCGAGCAGGAGATCTCAGATGATATATCGGGATGTCTAGCTCGGTACATGGGCCAGCCTTTGCCATCCGCAAGCGCAGCAGCACAGCAGAAGAGCTACGTGACTTATACAATGCCCATTCGTGGCCTAAATGCTGCTCAAGTCACCCTGCTGGAAGCTCCATCGTTACTGGCTTCTTCTGGAACGACCGGCTTCCGTACCTGGGAAGCAGCACTTTTTCTAGCAGCCTATCTGTCTTCTTCAGAAGGAAACCATCTTGTCACCGGCAAAGATATTCTTGAGCTTGGCTCTGGTACAGGCTTCCTGTCTATTCTCTGCGCGAAACATCTTGGCGCTCAGCGTGTACTGGCTACGGATGGTAGTCAAGAGGTCATTAGCGATCTCAAGTCGAACATACACTTGAATGAATTAGAAGGTAAAGAATTAATCCAGACAGCTGTCCTGCAATGGGGTCACGCTCTCATCGGTGGAGTTGCCGATTGTCGCGAGGAGAAACGCTCCTACGATCTGGTCCTCGGAGCTGATGTGGTGAGTAATCTCACTTCCACGAAATTAGGGTCATCAGGCCCTTTGCCCGAGTCTTGACTCTATATTATAACACTCCTAGCTTGCCGTCGGCAATGGATGCCTATCCCTCAATGAACACGGAAGGCTGACTTAGCGTCTAGACATATGACCTCAAATCCATTCCTTCATTGATCGCGACTATGAGAGACATCTTCGAACTATACTCCAACATCAGGACTTTGATCTCCGCCACAGTTCGAAATGAGCAAACCTTTGACGCGTTCACGACAGCATGTGGTAAGTAGAGGGAACTTGATGCCTCCGTCCTGATCTCAAAGCTCTGACCAGGCAACAGACCTGAATGGCTTCACGCTTGAGCAACTCAGTGTACCTATGCCCGAGAAAGAAAATCAGATGGGGTTCTTTGTTCCTACAACCACCGCCATCAAGATATTGTTGGTTACGAAAGAAGGGCCAACAAAGGACCCTTTTGCGCTGTAATCCACAGTCCTATGCTTTCAGTTCGATTATCCAGGCCATCGATCCTCACTCCAGGTCATTGGGCGCGAACTCAGCATTCTCTCGTGAAGCAAGGTGACTGGTTGATGCCAGAACGCTACACACTTACGCGGTGCCATAACAGTGACACTATTTCTCAATTGAATGAAGTCTGCTGGGAAGATACTCGGAGGCCTTTGTAACTTAAGGTATGTTTCATTGCTCGACGTTCCCGCGCATGCAGAATCCCCTCGACGATATGCCCATCAGCTCCCCTCTCCCTTTCCCCTCTTTGAATGCAGCCCCTGCATCAGCAACTCGCAACCCTCAAATCGTCTCCAACATTTCCTGCAGCAAGCCTGATGATGCAACCTCTCCGTACCCTGAAACAGTTTCGCTTGATGACTTAGAACCTCCTCCTCGCTTAGGCCTTTCTTCCACAACGGGAAAGTCCCATGCCGCCGCTCCAACTTTCGTCCAGCACTCCTGACAGAGATCTTCAAGGCGGGCCAGGCTGCCTTTGGGCAGCTCTGGACAATCCTCACACATCACTCCAACTTGCCGTTTCGATTCAAACACCAATCCGCGAGGGTAGACATAGCTCTTATTATGCATACCGCAATCGATGCAGATCCTCGGCTCAAAAACTGTCGGGAAGAGGTCGCTTGGCATGAATTTCTGGCCCGGGCGTAGACGGTGGCAATCCTCGCAGTAGCGGAACTTGTGGGCGTCGCTGTAGGCTTTGTATTCCAAGAGGCCCATCTTATCGTTGCTGACGGGGTGGATGAGGTTGTAGAAGTACTTGTTTGTGAGTCGCAGGAGCATGGTGGCGGGGAACAGTTTCAGATTTTTGATGATCTGTATGTGCAGCTCTGGGGGGAGCTGCGTGAGAGAGGGCATGGTTACCTTGCTGTGCTTGCGGAAGGGTGGTCTTGGGGTGGAGGAGATGGCGTTGATATCGTTAGTGGGGTTTGCGATAGAGAGTTTTTGCTAATGACGTTGCTGCTGTGTGTAGGACCTGTGCATATCAAAGGGTGATGCGTGTTGTCAATTAGTGATGAGAATGAGTGCACTGTAGAGGAGAAAAGGTGTAGGCAAGACAGAATTGGGGCTTTGGCAGAGCTTTCTACGGGCACTGCTGATGGCCACATTGGTGGATACAGTCGCAATAAAAAACGCTTTCCTTCGCCCTAGGCCAATGGCTGCCCCTTCCCATGCTTCACTGAAACAAGCCTCCTCCGCCACCGCCTCCCTCCTTGCCTGCTACCCTCAGCAACTTTCCTGTTCGCCAGTAGAAACGTCAGGACCCTTACCTGAACTGTCATAGATCGCCCGAACGTTGCACTCGATGCACGTCCTCTCCTCGCGGTGTTGGCAACCTCGAACGCACACATGGCGCTGATACTCATTGAACTTGTGCCCGGGGCGAAGACGTCTGCACCCGTGGCACGGGACCACATCGTGGAATAGAGCGTAGTCGCTTTTCTCTACGGCCAGCATTTCTTGATAATTGAGTGGTTTGAGGAGAGTGTAGAAGTAGGTGTTGGCGAGGCGAAGGGTCATGCTGGAGGGAAAGAAGTCGAGTTGATCGATGATGGAGAGGTGCAGCTCCCTTGGAAGGGTCATGAGAGGTGATGGAGAAGGCATTGTGGAATTCTGTGGGGGCGTTGTTCACGTGGATATTGGAATGGATGTTCTTGAAGGTGGGGATGGGTCGCATGCTTTGTTGACCCGTAACACGTCCGAACCCAGGAGTCACCACACCTCATTCTTGAACCAGTCCCTGACATCTGCCGTCTCCATTTGGGTATCAAACTCAGTCATGAGCTCGTCATCTGGCAGGACATATGGAGGCTCCAAAGCGGGTCCAAAGCTAGCAGCGGCTTGTTCCCCAGAGACGGCCTTCATTAAGGTGTGCTGGAACTGGATGCGGACGTCGTCGGATATAGTCCACAACCACCGTGTTAGTGGGGGGTCTCCATCGAAGTAGCGAGTGTTGAGGAGACTCATAGACTGAAGTGCATAGGCAACTTCATCTACCAACTCGCCAAAGCTACTTCCTGTGAGCTCGCATCTGATATCACGTCCGATATGGCATTTAAAGACCAGCCGCTAGCACCTAGCTCTTGTCCAACTTCATGGCCTTCTCCAGGTTCACCCATGCCGATCTCCTAGCTTGATCGTAGTCATTGACCCTCCTTTTGATGCCTCAAACCCTATGCTGTCAGACTTTGCATTCTGTGAAGGGTCAGCTTGAAGGAGAGTGTAGAGCGGTGATGGACTTACCTGGTGGAAGGCGAGTCTGCTTTGGGACGATTGGAAGGTAGAACCCGCGGCAGTGTTTGGCAGAATTTTGCAAAGACCCAACTGTTGTGTTCTTCTGAATGAAGATCTGAGTCGAGAGGTGGACATTTTTGATTTTCGTCATTGCTAGAAAAGAGGAGAATCTGCAAAGCATTCACTTCTGCCACCGCGAATCTCACTCCACCGCAGGTTCTAGATACGAAAGACTTGGCAGTCTATCCTTGGTATAGATGACGGAGGTCTCCCACAGCAACCCTCTCCTGATTCCCACCTCCCTAGCACATTTCGGAGTCAGCATTCCCACTCATTGATCAAGATTTGAGTAATAATAAGACACTTTTGGGGAGTAGCATGGGTGTACAATGGGTTTTTTGTTCCTCCAATATGTCTCGCGACTCAAAAAGCAGTCTCGAACAGGAAGAGGCAACTCGGAAAAGTACCTTACAATGTCTGCCCACGCTTCCCACATCTCTACACAATGGACATCTTGCATGCATCTCGCCATCTAGGGTAGCTACCCAATCATCACTCCCATAACCCTCAAACCCGCTGCCGATCCCACAGTCAATGCAAAACCTCTCAGGTCTGCTACGCTTGAGCATGCCTCGGTGTACAATATCATCGGCGAACTTGCAGAGCGGACGCAGTCGGCAGCAAATGTGGCAGGCTAAGACTTTGTGCTCAATAGCGAAGGCGGAGAATTCGAGTTTGAGGAGATTGGAAAGGGCGGGAGGTTTGAGAGATTGCCAGACCTGGGTATAAGATCTTCTCAGGACCATGTACTCTTCAATATCAAGGTTGTCAGCGATGGCTTGAAGGAGCTCTGCTGGAAGCTTGGTGATGGGTGCTGAGGGAGACATGGTGGGAGTCTTGACGTCTTAGGGTTCTCCAACTGCTCTTCAGGGGAAAGAGGATAAAGAAGAAAAGATGAGGGGGGAAGTTGTTTCTCAAGTATCTTTGGTGACGCAGGGTAATATCTCCGTACGAAGGGATTGGGGCATTTCTAGCCTCGGCGCACGGATAGAGTAGCCTCGGCCCTGTAGATCTTCCCCGGATTCCCTCCACACACCCCTTGGAGCGATTGTTCATTCACTCGTCAATTCACTTCTTATGTTCAGCCTCTGGACTTCCATTGGTCCAAGAAGTTACCAATTAGCCTCCAGAATTCTTGCAGTTGCCTGTACGCACAGCGGTATTCCTTCACCGCGGATCCCGCATCGGCATTTCACAGCCCTCAGCACCCACACGCATAATCTTATGTTCCGCAGACGAAAGGATCTAGACTTTTTCGAAGCCGCCATGAGAGGCGCCTCTCCCAAAAAGCAATCCTCGAGACGATCATCATCTTCCAAGTCCATGAAGGAGCTACCGCCCGCCAATCCCAGCGCCAGTGTCCTTCTCATCTCAGCAGCCAATCATATCCTACTGCTCCACCGCGTATCTTCCTCGTCGACCTTCGCCTCAGCCCACGTCTTTCCTGGGGGCCATTGCTCGCCTCAGGACGGCCACCTACCGCCACCGTCGGACCCGAGTCACCACCAAGACAGCCCGGCCTATCGGCATGCCGCTATACGGGAGTGCTTCGAAGAGAGCGGGATATTGTTGGCTCGAAAGCAGGAAAATACGGCGGAGCTAGTAGAACTGGCCGAGCAAGAACGAGAAGAGGGCAGAAAAGCTGTGCATGCGGAGAAGGTCCCGTTTGCGGACTGGATCAAACAAAAAGGAGGGCGAATGGATACCGAGGGCTTGGTGCCATTCACGCGATGGCTTACACCAGCTAACATACCGAAACGCTATTCAACGCAGATGTACTTGTACTTTTTGCCTCTCGAATTGGGACCAAGGCTGGGAAAGCAGACGAATCAAATGCACATCCCAACCCCCGACGGCGGCGTCGAGCACACGGCTGCGAAATTTGCGTGGGCTGGAGAATGGATCGAAGCTGCGCTGAAAGGAGAGTGCGTGCTATTCCCACCTCAGTTCTTCCTCCTGTCACTTGTGGCCGATTTCTTGAAACCACCGTTGGCCGGGGAGCGGGAGCTGGACACGGAACAGTTGCAGAAGCAGAGAGGACAACTGATGGAGTTCGTCAAAGGCGAACATCCTCCGTGGGGAGAGAAATGTATAAGCCCCAACCCGATCAAGAAAAGCGGCGACACGCTTTGGATGGGCATGGGAGATGCAGGGCCGGAACTGGAAGGAACAGGAAGAGGTGGAGACAAGGAGAGAGTGCTGAGGGTTGAATTGAGCGGCGAGGTTGAAAGGGGAAGAAGGACGCCGAGGCCGAAGGAGGTGGTGATGAGAAAGGATTTAGGAGCTGGGAAGGGAGAGGGGAAGGGGCATTGGTGGCGCATGTGACAGGTACTTAGGCATTGATTAGTGATCGCAAACTGGCGCTGGAAATACCCCTTTATAGACGTTTGAAAAGAGCTAGGGGATGCAGTTTGGGTATATAACGCCAGAATATGTATGATTATGGCTTAGATCAGATGCTTTATGAGTGTGCTGAGCATATCCTTCAGCATCGAATCCGGGTTCTCGGGGTTCGCATCCATAATGTCGACTTGTTCTGCGAGTTGATCAGCATTCGTCCACCTTTGAACGACATCAAGGACCGACCCTGTAGCGTAGCCCTGACGTCCTCCAAAATCCCGTCCCGACCAGCTAGAGCTTGAATCTTCCGCCTCGCTCCATCGTCTTCGGCTACCAGCCATGCCAGAATGACGTCAACCGTCTGCAGAACATACAGCCCAGCATCCAGCCGTCTGCTGAACCACTCATCGGCTCTTTCCTCCGACTCCGCAGCATCGACCCTCGCTCTCTCCTGCCCGATCTCTCGGTCAATCACCGCCACTTTTGATGCATACTCTCGCCTGAGCTTGACTAGACGATCACAAGCCTGATAATCCTTCTCTACAAATTTAGCAAGCAGGCGAATCCTTGGAGCTTCGTTAGCTGGAAGCGAGCGTAACATAGAAGCCAAAATCCCAAGCAAATGCTCCGTCGTTTCTTTATCCTGTTTCTTCATGAATAGTCCAAATGTTGGTTTCAAGCCTGCCGCTTCCACAAGCTTCTCACAGCATGAAGCATCCTCTGCTCCTCCCAGTGCATGATTGATAAGTCGTATGGCGCGTGGTTTGCTCAGTTTCCCTTCTCGTAACATGATGAGGCAGAGCTCGATACCTTCTGCTTCTACGAACTTGATTTTGCCGGCGGGAGGGTCGACGAGACAGGTTATGCAGTCGAAAATGTTGGCCATATATTCTTCCTCTTCGGTGCCTTTCGCAGGATCGCGCTTGCGGTAGGGGCTGAGTAGTTGTAGGATCGCGTCTATGCCGTCAAGGGAGATCACCTTGGTGCCAATTTCAGAGGATGACTGGAGAAGTATAGCGAGCATTTCGGCAGCATACTGTTTGTTTTGGGAGACCGTTGGTTCTGGTCTGCGGATCCTGGAGAGGAGCCAGGGGAGGAGCTCAGTTTTCTGGCCGAGTGTAGCGGCAATGGACGGGCGGGACGAGAGGTTTTCGAGGACACTGAGGACGTGGTATATACCTGCACGGTCGGATTCAATATCCTCATTTAAACGCGATATGTTCTCGTATAGGAGATTTAGGAGATCAGCTTCTAGCATCGCATCGACGAGTGCGTCCCATTGCTCTTGCTCTGCTTCAACGTTTTCGTCTGTAAGCTCGTTAATGATTTCGATTGAGTCAATAGCGATATCTGTGTTGTCGTGAGACAGTAGGGAGACGAGAGAGGAGACACAGCCGAGCTTCGCGAATTCTTCGTAGAGCTCGGAGTGTTCGGAGAGGATGGAGAGCGCTTTAATGTCTGCATCTAAATCTGCTTCTGAGCCCATAAACCTGGCAAAAATTGTCAGAGTAGGCTCACCAGGATGTGTAGAGGCCTTGCACGTACTTTTCCGGCTTGTCTTCGAACTTGGCTCGTAGTTCTGTATTCTTGGATATCCTCTTCTCAAAGTTCAAGGCCAGCTTCCTTAGCCAGGCTATATCGACCTTTTCAGATTTCTGTATAGCACCCATCAGTCTTGTTTCCAATTTGACAGAACAGGCGTCCAAGTGTACGGTCTCGTCCTTATCCTGCTCGTCGATGAAGTCCATCACATCGGCTGTATCTCTCGTAAGGCCGCCTCCAAAGAACCTGCCTTCCTCATCATCATCGGACAGCTGCTCCTCTTCATCCGGTGGTAGTTCAGGGCCTGCCGCTACATCGTCGTCGTCTTCAACCTCGTCCTCCACTGTGGCTCTTCCGTTGGTCTTGACATCTCCATTTGCGCTTGTCTTTGTCGCCTTGTACACCGCATCTGTGAATCATTAATTCAGTCTGTGAGAAGCCTAAATAAAGACTCACCTGCATTGTGTCCATTGATCTCTAGCTTTCGTTTGTTGCTACGTGCTGAGGGTTTCTAGGGAATCTGAGCATTTGAGCAGAGATAATGCCATTCTCTTCCATAGCATACCTTGAACAGCTCATCAAGCGAAGACATAATGAAAATCTAATTAACAAACAAATCAGACTTCGAGGGTCAGTAATAATCCAGGCGTGTGTATCACAAGATTCTACCTCAGGCATGCTTTGATGGACAGTAGGGCGGAGTTAAAGCAAACATTCTTTATGTCCGAGGTATAAGTTTTGTTACAAAATGCAAAAGTCGACATGTTTTCTTTGCAACGACTGGAACATTATGGTATCAAAGGCGCGGTTAAAGACATTGAATTTCATACATCGCCTTTTTAAAGGTACTGGGCGTAGGAAGCGGTTGGTGAAAGAGATTAAAGAATGACTCCTTTCATAATTATTTGACAGTAACACTTTCCAGGTTTCCAAGCTTGATTTTGCTCTTGATTGGGATTCAGCCCAGTGTGAAACAACATCTCAATCTTCTCGTAGAGGGTATTCTCAGACTTGATTGATCACTTTGCTTACAACATAATCATTGGGTATACCCTGTCTTGATTCCCGGTGACGGTGGACCAAAACTTTGGACCGCCTACCCTTCATCATCTCCATGTTCAAGGGCGATCTCACTCATCAAATCGAAGAAGCTCACACAAACTACAGCGACATAGTCTGTACAGCACCTGCCTAGCTATCATGTATCAATGATTCTGGATGACGCGACATCTATGCCTATCGTGCCGGCCTCCAGAACTTCCCCGAATCAAGCCTTGATCCACGCCCAGCCTTGGCAATAAGATGCCTAAACCAGATTCTGAATCTCAACGACGCCGACCATTCTCGTATTCAACAGCTGTTCTCACATTCGTTCTGGGGAGAACCAGCTATCTAGTCAAGAGGTTTCATAAGAAGGCGAAATTTGTCAAGGAGATTCGCCCAATCTTCAGAAAGGAATTCGTCATTATTACCGAATTCGAAGTTACTATACTTGAAGGCTGTTATTGAAGAAGGATTCCGCTTCTGCCCGTCAGTCTCTGATGGCTTCCCACGCGATTTACTTCCTAGTGATCATACCGTTTGCGGGAAGTAGTTAGCAGATGGAGTAATTGGACATGGTCATCTTCATAGTTGATTGATGGTATAATTCGTAGAAATATTAACTAATGTGTGCCCCTCTCATCTCAGACAATTGTCGGATTCTGCCCACGGGCAGGTCTTGTGTTCCATTCCAACTTCCGCCAACGTACCAAGTTCCTGCCAAAGCGCTGGCTCCCCCAAAATTATTCTTCACCAACTACAGTTTGACGATGACAACCGGAAAAATTTCCATCGCTTCGGGCTCGGAGCTCGCAATTGTATTAACCAGAACTTCGCCTGGATGGAGCCGCGCTTGATTCTCGCTCGAGTGGTTTCGGACTTCAATACAAGTCTCCACACTAGCTCGTCGACTTTGGATTCTGCAAAGCTGAAGAGGTCCCAAGTTTAGGAGAAGCAACCGATCGATGTGGTACTGACATCTGCTTTAGATGCCTTCCTTGCGCACAACTAGGTAGGGTCATTATCTAGATGGTTTGTGAGGTGCCATAACAGCAGCAAGCCAGTCACAAGCGGCGGCAAGGGCGAATGAGTCTTTATCTAGAAGCATCAGCTTTAGGGCCAGAGACCCGAGTATGTCGAGATCGCGGTGATTTAGAAGAGGACTCGCGACGGACGACTCAATCAGATTATTCCTTAGAGTTGATTGGTCGATCAATCGATTAACGAGAAAACACGTGAGATTTTGTTACGGCTCTTGGTTGTTAGAACCAGGAGTTTCTCATTTCTCAACAGCAGCTCAAACTTCTCCTCCTTTTCAAACCACCTGTGTGCTAGAACATTTCAATGAACTATCACAACTATGTTGAAAAAATGACTGAAGCAAAAGATTTCCGATGAGTAGAGAGCCATAGGCATTTGGCCAGAGACAAGATGAAAAATGGTAAACATGAAGGTATGAAGATGCTTATCTCGTGATGTGCCTGATTGGAGTCTTCTGACCAGCAGAAAACAATACTACTGAAATCTTTACCATCCTGGCTTTTTTACAAGGTTGTGCTCGAAAACGTGGCAATGACTTCGTTCCATAATTCTAGACATATTTCGAGCCTGTTGACAACAGTCGCTGTCTGTCGTCCTAATCAAAAATATTGAAAATCACATCGAATCGAAGGTGATATTGATTTGGTAGACATATTGACCGTACTGCATTGCCGTAGCAGGGCGCTGGAATTTCACATTGGCATGGATCCAGACCTGTTGCTGGTCTGTGGTGTAGGGAACACGATCGTGCCTCGGTAGATTTGGTAGATTTTGTGACACGGCTACTCTAAACCCCGACGGAAATAAGGCGCAGCGCGTTCAAGTCTTGGCAGACCAAAGAGGCCTGAATTTCGCGTCTACTCTAGGACAGCATTGAATATTCTCGTCTGGCCATCCAAGAATGGAAGGGCCTCTAAAGCTTCGAGAGCGGCAGAACATGGCTCAGAGCTTTCACGAAGAGACTTTGTCAACCTTACATACGCGTGGCCAGGACCTCTATCGCCAGAAACAATATGAGGCCGCCCTTCAGTGCTTCACCAAGGTAACAACCAGCCAATGACTTTCCAAATTTCTGCTAACATCACTTTCTTAGGCAATCGGCCAGGGTTCAAAGGCTCCTGTTGCTGTTTTTGACAACCGAGCTGCTACCTATACAAAGCTTGGCGACCTTCGAGCTGCTCTGAACGATGGCAGGCAGATGATTCAGCAAGAGAAGGGCAATTGCGCGGTACAGAGGAGTACATACGCCCCCAAAGATGCTCAAAATCTGACTGTATCAGGGTTATCTTCGTACTGGCAAGATTCTGCAGCTGCTGGGCAATCACAAGACGGCTCTGGACCTCTACGAAATGGGCATTCGTAAAGTGTCTTCTGGGGATCCTAATATCATGGTATGCTCTCATTGATGCCTTCTTCTGGACGAGCCAGTGCTAAAAACAAATGCTTTCTAGCTGCTACGAGGACAGCATGAGAAGCTCGCACGACAACTCGCTCCGCCAAGGGCTATCGACCCTTTGCAGATGCTACCCTTAGAACTCGTTGAGATGACGATCAAATATCTTGAGTTCAGGCATATAGTGTCAGTTTTGATCGTCTGTTTATTAGGTAGATTTGCTTATCCTTGGCAGGGGCTTACTGAGAGTCTCCAAAACGTGGCTACAACTACTCATCTCGATGCCTAGCTTGTGGAGCGATTTAGATTTTTCCGCCGCCAAAAGGCCTGTCACTCTGGGAGCTGTTCGGAAATACATCAAGCGAGGCAATGGAACCACTACTCGAGTGATCCTTGATAGGTTTGGATCCAACGCGGAGAAGATTCCACGCTACGTCGCAACGCGTTGCAGAGGGTTGAATGATTTGAGAATACCAGGAGGCTTGATCGGCGCGACTATTCTTGAAGCTGCTCCCTGCGCATCCAATCTCAAGACTCTTATCATCTCCAAGGCCTGTCAGATATCCTGTGATGCGGTCGGCCAGCTTCTTAGCCAATGCCCGAGCCTTGAGCGTGCGGAATTCGAAAGCGTCACCGCACAAAATCGTACATTAATATGGGAGGTCGACATGCCCAAACTTCGTGCGCTGACTTTGGACACTTCGAAAGCAGTCAGAGGACGAGGAGACCCCATGCTTGTTTTGCATACGCTTCTAACCAAAATACCTGATATCCGTACATTGAGTATCCAAGGTTGGGTTGTCCTACCCTCTGTTTTAAGTATAGATTTTTCGAACCTTTCTCAACTTCAACACCTGAATATATCTCGTCTGACTGGTATACTGCCTCCACTGTTGCCGTCGACTATACGTACGATCGCAATGGCAAATTGCCACAATATTCCTCACATTCAACGAGTCAGCTTCGCGGACTATGAATTAGCCCAGATGGTTCGCCTGTCGCTGGCAGGATGGTCTGGGTTATCGTTGGGTGATCTCCAAGCATGCTTATTACCGAGCAAGGGGAAAGTGACGCATCTGGATATTGGGGGCTGCATCACTCTTTCGAGTGCTAACCTGAAAGAGCTCATCACCCTTGGTTATTTCGAGGGAGTTGAGAACTTGATTCTCAAATCAAGCAACATAGATGATGCGATAGCAATCCTCATAGCAAGGAGCCTTCCTCGCCTCAAAAATCTCGACATTGCATGCACAAATGTCACCGGTGTTGGGGTTAAGGCTTTGGTTATTGGACTTGAGGGTAAGCTGGAGCATTTGTGTCTTGACGGATGCCATTCTACGAGTATCGATGCTGTAGAGCTCGCAAGAGCAATGGGTGTCAAGGTCGCATTCGGCTTCCCGGATCCCTTGAGCGGAGGTAGGAGGATCAAGCAGCGCTGATGAGGACATTGCTGTACCATTACAGCCAAAATGCATCAACCGGCGGCTAAACTCTAGCCAATCCTAGTGAAAGACAGAGCTCAACCGCTACGCTCGCTGCAATATCTATCGACCTCTTTTTCCAACGTCTTGCGCTGCGAACGCACAAGATTCATGATGTCTCCGCATTCTGGCAGGCCACCATTAGCACCGTCAACCTCCATCATTTGATCGTACACGCTGAAGAGCTGGTTGGGGAGCCACTTTTGAAAAGTATTAGTCAGAGAAGCCACTAGTTACCGTTCAGACTTACCAAGACTATAGGACTGCCTCCGGTGGCAGTCGGATGGGTCGTCTTCTTCAGTATGTATTCTCTCGTGAAGCACCAATGTCGCCATCTGAAGTCACGGACTTGGTTCAGAGCATGGAGATACAACACTGCGAATAAGGGTTAGGCACTAGAAACGGTTGGCCTTCCATTCGCCACTTACCTGCAGATTGCCTGTCCATCATAGCATAGACTCGGATGCCAACGTCCTGGGCTCTATCTTTGACCCACTGCAAAAATTGGCGGTGATTGCCAGGTCGGTACGAGCGAAAGTCGCTCAGGATATCCGTGAGTGGTGTCTCTGGCATTTTGATCTCCAGAAGGTTGTCACATAGCGGGATCTGCTTTGGATCAATTTCATCGAGTCACGAGTACCTTTCTTATCGAGCACCCACCATACTATCATTCGCACCGCTCTCTCCTCTGAAAGACATTGGCTCTTCGCTCACGCCTTCATACACAACCCCGTGTGGGAACATCGACTGTTTCGTGATGCCGAAAATGAAGGTACGAAAGCTGTTGTAATCGTTTGGTTTGCTCTTCTTCCACATACCTCGCAGACAATGTCAATTTCATTCATCTCTCTCCATCAACAAGAAGGTCTGGAAAGGATCTGCTTACCATCCATAACCCCATTGACCTTCACCATAGCCTCCACCAAACTTTCCAATCCAGCATTGAATGCCTTCCTATTGCCATCTCCACATGCTGATAGCGCATTGACCGCCCCCTGGACCAGAAGCCCGGAATTCTGGACCATGTCCACATGTACGAGCACAAAGCCCGCTTCCGAGCTCGACTGGTCTAGGCCGTGCTCAAATGCGCGGATGAGGCGGAGATTGCCGTACTCCATGCCGAGTGCTGGGTCTTCGAGGCGGTAGTTGAAGAGGGCGTAGGAACCGGCGTATTCCATGAAAGGTTTGAAGCCCGAGCTGCTCAACCCGTTAAATTGGTGTCAGGAGTACAGTCAGACGACGACATTACATCTCCGCTACTCTGGCCAACGGCCTCGCGAGCACGGCCGGCAATCTCTGTCGCCCCAGTCCGTACCCTTCGCCCTTGACATGGCGCTCGTGACACGGCTCAAGCAGGTACGCGCTCGCCAGGAAACAGTAATCCCTATACAGACCCCCTACCGTCCTCAGGTCATCCTTCACCTTGTCGACCTCAATTGTCAGATCTGGAAGTTCGCGCAGCAGCGTTTCACCCAGTTTGAATGTGGCGAGGAGGCCTGGGTCGCCGGCTGCGGTGCGGATGGGCATGCGAGCGAGGAGAGAAGAGAGGGCGGAGAAGGACGGAGGAAGGGTTGTAGGTGGGAGAGACAACGGAAGGAAGCCGTTGGGGAGGGAGACAGTGAAGGGTGCTAGCTTCGCCAACTCTTTGTCATCGGTAGGTATGGTGCTGGGGAGAGGGAAGGTTGGAGGTGCGGCAAGAGAACCCATTGCCGAAGTTTGCGAGATGATTCGTTCTGGGTCTGTTTTGCCAAGAAAATGTTTTCTGCGTTGGAGATGTGAAGGAGGAATAGTGCGAACGGGAGAAATCTGGGTATATGTACCGTTGGCCGGAACTCTTCCGGCCACAGTAGAGGGGTGAGGCCGGTTCTGTTCCGGCCTTTTTAGATTGGCAAGAGATAAGTGATGCGTTGGAGATGGAGCGAAGACCAATTGGGGAATCTGATCCAGAGGTATGAGCGCTGCTATTCGCGATGACAGTAGCTGATGATGGCAGTAGAATCCCACTAGCGCGACATGACCAAACAAAGACGAGCACTACAAATAACTCCGCAAACGACCCTTCTAGACAAAGAATTGTTGAGGTGAAGGCCAAAAGAAATTGGACTTGGAAAATAGCAGAAATGTAGAAACGCCCTTGAGTAAATCGACAGATCCTAGGAGGTAGACAGAAACCCGTGCACATTATCCATCAGCAACGCTTGCGTCAACGGATCATCCTGCACAATCGTTACGTTGACTATCCTCTGCGCCAAAATTGTCGCCGGCGACACTGCGCGTTCCATCGACACGGGCGCCGCAGCCAATGAAGGCGGCGTAAATGTGATGGAAGCTCAAAGCTACTTCCTGATCCGAACCCTCTGTGAAGCCAGCGACAGCGATCGTACATCGGACTGCAGTGCTAGCCACGTCTTCGCCCGTGTGGAGAGCGCAACCGACAGTAGCAATCTTCAAGCTCAACGTAGACGTACGGCGCGACCGGCGTCACGGTTGGGGTTCCGTTGGTGGCTTGTTGTTGGGAGTCGGTCACGATGCCTGGTTCACCACTCAGTGAGATGCTTGCTTTCGGAATTCACTCTCAGATGATGGTGCACGGGCTGAGAAGCTGCACGGTTGCCCGGTGATTAAGAAGCGATGCCGCCGGTTAGTGGATCACCGAGGACCGAGAAGGCGTTGAAATCGACTCCGCTGTAGTCACCTACGCCTGTCAGGCTGGCGACGGGCGCGGTGGCGGAGGTTGTCGAACTGTTGAGGTCGGTCTGCAAGGCTTTGGTTTGTATATGAGCGCTTGTGCCGTTTACGGACTGTGGCGTGGAATTGAACATAGCGCCGGAAGCGTGTGTTGCCGTTGCGAAACGAGGGAGTAGATGAGAGCTCTGAGGCTTCGTGTTGCAATTGGGCATGTGGGTATGTGGCCTTGTTCTTCTCGAAAGAGTTTGGGTTATAGGATATGATGCGGATGTTCAGTGGGACAAACGAAGGGGGATCCTTGCTGTTCTAATCGGCATCTTTCCTTTCAGCCGGGACGACATTCCGTCTGCGAATATGGCAGATAGGGGTTCCGATGGACAATGTCAGTGCAATTGCAATTGCTCCAGGACTTGGATACGTTTTCTGCGGAAAGGAAATAGAGTAGAGCGATTGACGCCACGACCTTATGGAGATGCTCGGTCTTGCGATTCCATGCTATCCTGACACCATACAGATATCTTGTGGGGTCTAAGTTCACTCCGGCATCATCTCTGCCGTTGTTAGCGTCTACAAATACCTACTTCTAATACGTTTACGCATGCCATACCATGCTCTCTCCTCGGCTGTCTTCTTACACCATGCCCGGTTTCTTCTTTCAGCAATCGTGGCTCAACTTTCACGTAAGATATATTTTTGTTCACAGTGTCTAGTACCATCACAGTGACAAAGCAAGACGTACCTAAAATCCATTGCTCAACGCTTTAATCTCTTCTGAAGACTGAGGTAGCTCTATGTACAATCAACTTTCTCCTCCAACGCACCTCGCATCCAACCACCTCGCAAATTCCACACACGGCTGATCTATGAATCTCCGAAACAGATCAGCCGCCCACACTGAAGGTATCCCCAAGCCTACCGCACCTGCCATCCAAACAAAGAAAAGCTGCCAAGCACTCGCGGTTTCCTCCCTCACACCAGCTCTACCTCCGGGCACGCCGGCAAAGTCCCAGATCGGATCCATAACTCTGTTACCAAGGCTGTCGAAAAGTGGCCCGTGCATGAGGTACAGAGCGAATGAAATGGACGCCAGGTATTGAATCGGTTCCATGTTCAAGAATCTTTGCAAAGGACGCAGCTGTTGGCATGCGAATACGATTTGCAGAGAAGCGATTATGTACCATGGGGTAGCTCTCCAATCCATTAAGTCGCTGTCCAAGCCCCATGAGTAGTATGGATCTGGGGAATGTTCGGCCAGCCAGGCTAGTCCGGGGGCTTGTTCAACTTCTTTATTCGGCCACCCGCAGAGGAAAAGCGCTGCTGTCAGTTGGGAAGACCAGAAGACAGCCAAAGCTACCGCGGCCCATCTCGGCGTTTTTGGCACCGTGGAAGATGTAGAGGTCGAGTCAGGAGCGACCTGGTCGCTGGCATGCTCTTCCAGACCGGTCGACCCAAGGTAAGATGGGCTTTCCGAACCTTTGTCCTCCTCTATCAAATCAACCTCTGCAATAAACGCACCACCCAAAAACTCAACAGCTGCCCAATGACTACTAAGGAAGCAGTACAACATGAACGCCACCATCAGCGCAAGCCGGGTCGACGACTCGCACCTTGAAAGACCTGTGATAGTCACGAACAACAACATCGACATCGACATCTCAACCGGAAGCGTCCAAGTGTGCATATCGTATCGGAACTCCTGCATGATATCCCATCGCCACCCCTGCGTAATGCGAAACAGGACTCCCGTCCAATCCCACAGCTGAGCAACGAACCCACCGTCGATCGGCTGCTGTCGAGACCATCCGACGCGGATGAGGAGCAGCACGATGAACGTCGATACTGCGGCGGGTAGGAAGAGGCGTAGACCACGGCGGAAGATGGAAGAAGCGAGCGTGGTGTGCAGACCGCCGTAGTTGCGGGTGCGTGCTAGTCTGAGCGGTTTCTTGGACAGAACGAAGCCGGAGATCACGAAGAAGATGTGCACCATTGGCCGCCCGGAGTAGATGACGCGGACGAATGGGAGTTGGAGTATCGATGACGGTCTCGTTTCTGCGGCGTCGACGTTGTAGTAGGCGAGATAGGGGGTCACGAGGTTGGTGTAGTGATGCAAGACGACGATGAACGCGGCGATGCCGCGGAGACCGTCGAGGTAGGATGTCGCGTGGATCCGTGGCGGTCCGTGGAGGTGGGGTGCCAGGCGACGGGCTATTGGGTGCGGAAGGAGTGCTGCTGTGAATCGTTGGATGAGCCCAGTGAACCGGCCACCCACTGCCGACGTGGAAGTGCCATGCTTGCTCGGCAATGGGAGTGCCGCATCGGTCTCTTTCTCCAGCAGACCTTTCACCAGCTCCAGATCGTCATCGAGTGACGAAGGGAGCGAGAACGAAAAGAGAGGGCGCTTGAAGGACTTCATGTTCGTACCATCTGCAAGGGAGTGAATGGAGCAATTGTTCCAAAACGAAAAAGAACAGTAGAACCCTGAGAATATCAAATCCTTGTCAGAGAAACCAACTCGTTATATAAAACACAACACCACAAACGTATCCGTGTAAAGGGCGGCTATAAAGATCCACCAGGGTCATCACAGCACCCTATGCACCCTTATTACCTCAAACGGAGCCTTTCCAGACACAGGACCGTCCCAAACAGTGGAAACCCGCTCCGGACACGGGACAGCCCCCCAAACAAAGCCCTAGCCAACATGGAGGTCTGAGAGCCCTCAAAGCTGGGTATCGGCGAAGACAGACCGTCCTTCAAACGGTGCATGGATCGATCACAACGCGCCGGCATCTTCTCGACACTTCATCCCACATCTCGGCCTCGATTAGCTGGTCCAGCAAGCGAAGTGCCAGTCTGGTCCACAGTCGCGATGGACCTTTCTCGCTCGGAGGATCGGCCATCCGTGACCGCTGCTTTGGCTCAGAGGGCCGGGATGAGAAGGCGGTGATGCGGTGCAGATGGTGGAAGATTGTGACGTTGGCAATGCTGCTGGGGCAGACGGTACGGGGATGATGGAGTGAGATAGAGTATTCAAGTTGTATGGGTCTGAGTCGTAGACTGAGACGGCGTGCGTCCGTGGAGAATTTGCGAGAAGAAAAACTAATCGGCGGGAAGGATACACTGGTTTTTCTACTTCAGGTAAGGCGGATGAGAATGAGGGTCCGATGTCCTCGGGCAATAATGTCATGATCGCTGAAAGATGGGAAAGTAACTGATGGTGGGCACAAGATGAATGGTTTTTCTACTCTCTGTTGCGGTATTGGAACAGCATTCATCTGTCTGAATGAAAAAACACGTTGGTAAAAATGGCTTCGTGTCAAGAACCTTCTGCCAAAAGCGTAAAGCTGACAAATATGATAGGAGACAACGGACGCAGCTATTTGCGAATAATCAACCATCGTTAGCAGCAAGAGAATTTTGGATACGCAGCTGAGGTCCGTTGATGCGCGAAGGACGCCGGGAGGAATGGAGGCGGGGTTCAGGATCTCAGCCATCGATCACACCCAGCCTCCTTGTGATTGCTCGTGAAGCGAAGAGCCCCTACATATGTTCTAGAAATGACAGAGAAAAATTCCGGACCCAGCCCAGAAATCGTGCAGAAGATGCAGAAACTTGCGAATATGGGGTATCCAGAAACGACTGTAAAAGAAGTGAGACGTTTCGATCGTAGATGCTCGTCGAGAGTGCAGGCCTCCAGTGCTTGCTCATCATGTTTTCATCATCATTCGTAGGTCATCCAAGCGCCGCCTTTACAACCTGGTTGTAATTCTGTCCACCGGCCGTGTTGGTCATCCCCTCAGATCCATCCCAGAGCATGACTCCACCCATGTTGGGCACGTTGGCCGCCGTAGCGCTCTTGATGGCCGACGTCACCGCGTCCGGAGCTAAATATCCGGTGCCAGCGCAAGCCGTGCAGGCAGGGGCGCCTATGTATAATTGAGGGCCCCCCGCTATGTTTTTACTCCAGGCTGTGAAGCTGTCAACGAAGCCGGATTGGCCAATGTCGCAAACGCCGTTGTTGTAGAACTGAACCCATACGAAGTCCATGAGCTGCATCGCGCCCACGGGGATGGAAGCATCTGGAAGGGGACACTGTGGGGCAGCGCTGATGTAGTACTGTTTCGACTTATCTGTGGCGAACTGGGTGCGGAGAGCCTGGACAAAGGCGACATAGCCTGTTTGGTCTTTATCCTCATTGTCTGTAAACTCCAAATTAGCACGAAGAACACTCTGCCGAAGATAAATTCGATAATAAACTGACCAACGTCAAAACCATCGATTGTGGTTTTTCCAAACGGCCGTAGAGCTGCATCCAAGCCCGTCCCAGCACCAAAGAGGTTCCAAAGCGTAGATGCGAACGTCTTCGCCTGATCATCGCCCGTGAAGGCTGTTTGCGCAGTAGCGCCGCCTAAACTCAGGAGGACCTTCTTCCCGGAACTCTGACAGGTAGCAATATCTGTAGCCATTTGTCCACACTCCAACATGCCGGTGGCGCCCTTAGCTTCCATCTCAGAGCTCTGCCCCCCACAAGCGGGTCCGAAATCCATTGTCGGCAATCCACCAGCGCTGAAGAATTCACTCAAGAAAGCTAGAATGACTATATTGATACTATCGTCGGAGCACAATTTCGCCAGCGTGACTTGACTGGTAGCGGGCGATTGACCGTAGTAGACTGCCACGTTATCTTTCGCCTTAGCGTTGAAAGAACCACTTGATGCTGGGGATGAGGCTGGAGTAGCTGCGGGAGCTGCAGCACCTGACCCGACTGCTGCAACACTTGAAGATGAAGATGATGGTGTGGAGGCCGGTGATGGCGTAGGAGAAACGACAGTCACAGCAGAGCTCGGGGATTCAGGACCAGTAACTGGGGTCGAGGCCGGTGCTGATGGGGTGGGGCTAGACGGGGCTGCAGAAGCAGATGCGCCGTTTGGTGTCGCAGCAGCCAACCAAGCAGTCACCCATCCTTGGTAAGCTTGGAACTGGGTCTTGATCCTATACAATTTCCCAGTTAGCAGATCTCTTCTGGGAACCAATCGTGTCGTGAAACATGTCCCAGGAGTGTTTACTCCAGCGACACCTCTTGCAACTCAAAATGCAATACAAATCAGAAAGAAATGGCTGGGGAAACACTACTCACTGAGATTTAATGGCATCGGTATTAGCCATCGATGAGTTGGTGGAAGCACCCATCCACGAAATGAAAGTGGTAGTTTCCGATTGAAGCAAATTCAGTTGAGCCTGAGAGATCTCTACAGATCCGGAGTCTGTCCGGCGTGAGACAGGTACAGCCGGAGGAAGTGCCGGTGCCGCTGAGCCGCTCAACGCGGATTCTAACCATGCGTTGACAAACCCGTTATGATTCTGAAGTTCTTGATTCAGTTGCTGCATCGACTCCGTCGAACTGAACCAGGAATTCATCCAGGTGCTGAAGGTGGTAAATTCGGATTGTAGCATACTGAAATCGGCCGCTGGCATGTCGACTGAGCCGGCGACAGCTCTGCGCTCAAGGACGACTAGGTTAGTATCAGGTTTGGGAAGCATGCGAGGGTGGTGTCGGTGAACAGCGTGACCAGCAGATGAGGTAAATGCCAGGTCAAGGAGGGTGGTGGCGCACAGCGCTGAGAGAGAGATATGCTGGAAGAACATGGTAAGGAGTGTTGCGCGAAAGTCAGCACACGCAGTAAAGAGTGAAAATTCTGAGGAGCAAAAAGAGTGTGGTAGAGAGGAAAGACTGGATAGTTGTTTCCAACTTGGTATCAAGGGGGTAGCACTCTTATAAGAGGAATGTATGGGTAACGTGGCGGGATTCTAGGGAAAACCAAAGGCCTCATAACCAGCCAATAAAGAACAAGGACGAGACCTTGTACTTGTCAGCAGAACAAATCCGTCAGACAAGCGATGAATGGCAGCGCATTGTAGCTGGAATAATAGGAAGTCAGAATTCTTTGACTCCTGAACTTAGCACAGTACATTTGAAAGCTGATGGGTGAGCAAGGGCTGTGATTGGTGCAGGCGCAAACAGTTGTTTTGGGCTAGTACTCTAGTAGTGAGGGACTCCCGGGCGTTAGACTTAGGTCACCCCGAGGGCCCCTCCCCCCCCCACAATCAGATCTTTCAGGTCACCTTCCTGCCCAAGCAGGTCCTTGTTTGAGCTTGCTCATTGGGCCTGGCAGAAAAACGCCTCATTCCCGTCAAAAGTATGTGACTGTCATTACCGCGGCTCTGGCCCGTGTACTACCATACGAGCCCCAATGAAGCCTTCAGGTGCGATCTAGTACTGCTCCGTTTTTAAGCGCTTGGTGGGCGTTGATTGCGCCAAGTGTTGGTGAGATACTCGTACACAGAGATGCCTTCTCGGGAGGAAATTTCCCATTCCTGGGGATCACGAGAGAGAGGCACATATCCAGCAGAAGCACAGACTCCAAAAGGCAAGAAATAAGCAGGCCTTTCAATGAAACCTTATAACCTGCCTTGAAAGCAGAGAAGAGATTGAGACGTGTAGTTGTGACCAATTGGTATGACGAGCAGCGTTGCCATTTCCGCGGTTCGTCCCCACCGGTTGCCAGCTCTTTAAAACTTCATGGCAACGATATGGAGATGAGATCCACGTGGACCTGCATAAGGACCCTGTGCAACATTGTATCACCACCCCTCGAGCATTCCGCTATCTTGGTGCAGAGTATCGGCCAGTGGTCCCTCTTATTTCAGGTGGCAATGTGAGAGCATAAGGCATTCAATGATTCAGTTGAAGATGGGATCTAGTGAAGCAAAGCTCTAGAGGGTTGTAGCTATTAGACCCGGCGCGAAGCCATTGCATGGCTTTCATGAGCCGCCCAGGCAGTCTGGGAGGAGAGAGGTCTCCCAGGCGTATTCAACAAGGGCCAGTGTTCTGGAAGTAGAGGCCGGTTGAGCTTCGACATGTGGTAATGACGCCTCACAGGCGAGACAACTCCGCCAACGGCAGTATGTGTTATGTCTGGTAATCAGGCAGGTGCAGGCAAGCATGATGGATGAGCTCCGAGGAAAGAGCAGCTCCCGAGTTCACGGAGAAGGAGAAGATTGAAGCTAGCTCAATTAGGCTTAAAGGCTTGACTTGGCTTGGCTTCGGCCCAGCCTTCTGTGGATGTTCCTCTCTCACACAGCACGCCCGCCTCGCGCAAAAAAGGAGCGTACCGCGCCATTATGAATAAGGCCCCTTCACAGGATAATCAAGGTTCCATCTTTGAACACGATGGCCCAAACCAATCCTTATCCTTGGCCACCATTCCATTCACACCACACCCATCACCACCATTTCCTCTAACTCTCCTTCTATCACCAACATAACAGCACGCTACAATAAATCATTCCCTCGTCCAGAAATCGCATCCATGACGGGAAAAGCAAGACGATAATCATCTAACACCTTCGCCTTCCTTCTCCTGACCAATTTCACCGGTCGCAAGGCCAGGGGATTTTCCCACGTAACAAAGAACCAACCACCCCTCCCACCCATTAACGCCGCCAAACCTCCTTGCGTCGCAATTTGGCAACCAAAGGTACGAGAAGACCTCGTGACTATACAAAAGTTCCTCATTGATGACAAGTGACTGACCAATACAAGATCATGGCTCCAGGTTCCAAAGTTGCGACTGCCCCTCGTCGTGTCTCCAGCACGCTGTCGAAAGTCTCAACTCCACCAACTACTGCTACGCCTATGGCTACAACCAATGCCAGACCCATCAAACCATCAAAGCCAAGCAAAGTTGTCAACCTCAAACTGTCCAAAGATAAACTGTCTCGCTTTCCTCATGAGCAGGCTATTCGTAAACCAAGCCAGCCGAAAAAGTCACCTCTGTCAACATCTACAACTGTTCCCCCGGATGAACCAGCGCTCTCTGCGCCTATTAAGTCAGAGCCAGAAACTACACCTTCATCGAATGAGAACGGACCTGTATCGTCACCTATCAAAGATGTCAAGCAAGAGGCTTTGCCAGCGCCAAAGCCTGGCGTAAAGAGAGAGCTTGGAGCTGGCGTTGAGAGCGAAGACAAAGACAAGCCCAAGAATCCCCCAAGAAAGAGGGCAAGACCGTAAGAGCCTCGCTACACTCCCACTGCTGTCGTCATTCGGCATCACTGACCCATCACAGAGAAGGAAAGCCGGACGGTCGCACCGCTGCTGCGAGACTTGCCAAAGGAGTATCAGGCCCAGGTGCAGGCACCAGCCACAAACTTGGACCCAAAGCCAATCAAGGTGCTATCAATGCCGGACTACGTGCCCTTGATCGGACCAGTAAATCTTGTCGAAAGTGGGAGAAGACTGGATTTCGTGTCAAATCATTCACTGGCAGGATCTGGGAAATACCGTCATGGAAGGCCCCAACAGCAAAGGCTTTCGGTTCGGAAGCCGAGAGTGGGCAAGGCACCCCTAACAGTCAGAGTAAAGAGAACAGCAGCAGCAACATCGGTAGCGACAAAAGTCCCGCCGTCAACCCCTCCAATATCGCCAGTTCACCGGCTCCTGCAATTGCCATACCTGCCTGAGGGTCTGGAATACCTTGGCTATCGTCGTTCGGGCATGTACGATGCAGCAATGCATTCAATTCCTGTGTGAGCGTTGCCAGCATAGCGCGGAGTTTAAGTGTGTGCATCCCTAGGATACTGTTTACTTATGTGTACTTGTTCGAATTGACGCTAAAAGCAAACAAGTTTGCGAGGAACCCTCATCATGTACTCGATAGACACGGCGTCTTCTTCTCTTGACATTTGAGGCCCACAATGCACGCAACATGCTTGGTCTTCTTACCTTTCTGCAAGTGATGTCTTCACAACTGCATACAATTAGAAGGCCTATCTCAACATACCACCGCGGACTGACTTGCTTGGGCCACAAGCCTATCTATGGCGATTGTGTATGCCAGTGTCCGAGCTGCCAAATCTCCAGGAGCCTTTTGCTTCAGCCATTCTGTGAGAGCCAGATCAAAACCTGGACTGCCTGCGCTAGTGTCTTTTACCTGGTGCTAAAGTTTCGTCAACCTCATTCAAAGGCGACCAATACTGTATTACTGCAATGTTTTTCAGGCGCTGCTATTCTTGTGGAACAGGAATAGAATTCTAAAGGGTGAAATGGGCGGACCGATGGTGAGAGGGGATATTCAATTTGCAACGGTCAGCACATAGGAGTCGAAAGTACGCTGCTATGCGAATCAAAGAATCACCAGAGCGGTACATAGAGCCAGTATTACCTTTCTTGTTATCTAGAATCGTCATCGAAGTTAATTAAATGTGCCCCATGCTTTTCGTAGCTCGTGATAAGGGGTACATTCGCATGACATCGGGGATGCGGGGGTAGATCCGAGTACCTACAAGTAGAGTACAAGGTACAATTACAGTTACACCTGCAGCAATACGCGTTAGACACCACCAGTGCCGAAATCACTCATCATGAAAGGTTCCTGCTGCCGCTTCTACCTCTCGACCGGAAAATACCTGGGCTACCCTGACAAGATGACAGCGCAGATCCCAGTGTCATAGGGAGTACGAAGGGCGCCTTCGCCTCGAGGTAGCCATTCCATTAACAGCATTAGAAGTCTACACACCTTCACAACTTCCTTTGGAGCTTAGCACGGGAAGCATATTTCATCAAGGGAATCGACTGGGAAAAAGAAGGGTGGGAAAATAGGTCATCTGTCCTCTTGACAGAGGAGCCTGGAAATGACCAACGAAGGCTCTCCTGGAGCTCCACACCTTTCATATTCGAACCCGACCTCTGGTATTATGCCACGGCGATCTTCTTACGCATCAGTAGCCGCCGGAACAGCAGGGATCTCATCTAGTTCTGGGCATCTACCGCGCATAGTGAATACAGGTTCATATACGCACTCTACAAGCTTAGATCAGCCGTCAAGGATACCTCAGCCAATCTCTGATCCTGATACGCGTGTGGAAGGAGGAATGGATATCCCAAGCTCGTGGGGAAGAGGAGGCAGCTTCTCAAGTCCGCGATTTCCGAGTCAAAGCTATAGTGCATCCGGCAGTGGAGGCATGTTGGGATTCTTCGAGCCATCGTATCTCAAAGAGTCCAAGTACATGGAGAAATTGAAAGCTGCACATAAGGCCAAGCTGGCAGCTCAGGCCGATGAACTGCTTACTCGCTCTTCCAAACCGGGATCTCTCTCAACCAGCTCCAGCAGCGTCAGCTTACACAAAATGGCACCTTCACATCGTGGTATGACGTATGAGATCATTGAACGTCAACCCGAAGTGGAGGATGACGGAGTGACACCACTACCTTCGAAATGGGCTGAAACGGACAAAAATGTGGGGTTGGAGATATCAGCAGATGGCCAGGACGTCAAATTTGTTGGACCTGCGAAGACTCTTGACCACGAGGCTGCTTCTACGAGATCGGACAACCCAATGCCTGCGCAATGCGGTATCTACTACTATGAAGTTAGCATAATATCCAGAGGCAAGGAGGGCATGATTGGAGTTGGATTTTCCGGCGCGAGTGCATCATTAGAGAAGCTCCCAGGCTGGGAGCCGGAGAGCTGGGCATATCATGGAGATGATGGGAAATCGTTTTGTGCTGCAACTCCAGGGAAGCCTTATGGGCCTACATTTACGTCTGGAGATGTCATAGGCTGTGGTGTCAATTTCATGAAGGGTTGCGCCTTCTTTACGAAGAATGGAGTTTTTCAAGGTAAGTGAGTCTTCGTCACCCTGCGTCTACTTGCTGAATCGAATTGAAGGCAATGCATTTCGGGATCTCAGAGACGTCAAGGTTTACCCATCCGTGGGCATGAAACGGCCGCACGCCCATCTGAGTGTTAACTTTGGTCAAAGACCTTTCATGTTCGATATAGATCGAATGGTTTCAGTACGTTAGATTTCCGTATTGTGAGGAAGAAGCTCACAGGGTATAGCGCGAGAGACAGAGTATCATCGACGAAATCAACGCCGCGGACGTATCGAATCTACACCCTACCTTAAACAAAGACGAGCTATGTAAGGCGCTGGTGGCTCAGTACCTTTCCCACGATGGATACGTGGAAACAGCTAGAGCGTTTGCAAGTGAAGTACGAGCAGAAGCAACAGCGCTGAGAGGCGGATCCGAATCGAAGTTGGAGGGCTACCTGTCCGTAGAAGAAGACCACGATGCTATGAACAGGCAACGTAAGAGTCATCCCGAATATCACACGAACTCACCCCACTGATCATCTTTTAGAGATCCGCACGGCCATCCTCGACGGTGACATCGACAAAGCCATCAAACTCACCAACGCTTTTTACCCGCAAGTCCTACAAGACAATCACCAGATCTACTTCAAGCTCCGCTGCCGCAAGTTCATAGAGATGATGCGCCAAAGTACCGATTTCCTCGACAATTCTACATCCAAACAGACCAAGTCCACCACGACAAACGGCCACTCAACAGCAGTCTCAGACGACGGCTTCGAACCCGACATGGATCTTGATGAGCCTATCACAAGTAAAGACGGCGGCCATCACAACAATGACGACTGGGACCGGATGGATACGGAAGAAGTAGCCGGAGGGGACAACTGGGGCTTGAAGTATCAGACGTTGCTAGAGGTCATAATACGCTACGGGCAAGAGCTCAAGCATGAGTTCAAGGATGATCGAAGGAAGCATGTGACGGACACCTTTACGGATATCTTCTCGATGTTTTCATATCCAGATCCGAGGAAGAGTCCGCAAGGCAAACTGTTGGAGAGCGAGCAGAGGGTGCCGCTTGCGGAGGGGCTGAACAGTGCTATCTTGGGTAAGATTCCTCTTTCCAGACGGGAAGCTATTTAGAGTGAGGTAAACGTGCTGACACCAAAGAACCTTAGTCTCCCTGGGCAAATCATCCTCCACAGCATTGGAACGCGTGTATAAACAAACTGTGGTGCTTGTGGATATGATTAGCGAAGACGGTGGACCGGGCTCTTTCATCAATGTGGGCAACTTGCTGCAGTCGAGTAGAAAGTCATGGCAGCAGTGATTACTCTTGGAATACCTAGCATGGATACAAATTGGAGCGGGAGTTCTGATTACTTTATGAAGTGATGGTCTAGCCCATGGAGGTGCTTCTCTCCTTATTCTATCTGCATTGAGGAAATGGAGAGTGTATGGGGAGTGTAGATAGACATTGCATATGAAGAAGATGTTATGATAAATTCTGATGCATTGGAGCAGGGACAGGAAGTGAAAGGAATGGTGTCACTTAAGTGAGGTGAGTTTGGAGCCTTGAAATCGGCTAGATTCGATTAGGCAAGTGCTTCCCTTGGTGGCGAATTTTACGCCTCTCTTCACTCCCACGCTCCTTCCATTCTGCGCTTGGGGTTTGGTGCACCAAGTCTAGTCACCGGCGGGATATCTTTCAAACCATGTTGTGTATATATAATTTTCTTTCTTGTCTTTGATATCTCTTTCCTACCTAAATACTTGCCATGGCTTGCAAGCATTGGACCTTACCTATCCTGTCTGACGGCTTGTTTCTCATGTACTGTATTAATACGTGACATCTACTTGCATCGTTGGCGGACTTTTGCCGGCTTTGGGAGGAAATACTAACGTGGTTTTGGTTTCGATTCGAACGTCATGACGCGGGATATCTTGGCATGGAGATCGAGAGATGCTTCGAAAGCACCGCCTCTGTTGAAATATAGATCTTCGTATTCGTTCATACTGGGTACCGTTTCTATCGCTGTTTTTACCGTACGTTCACATTGACCCAATATCGAAACATCGCTTGGGCAGGAATCCGACTAACCCCTCTGCTTGTTTAGGATATTTTTCTCTACGGCATAGTAAGTCCATGTTGGTCATATATCTCCAGGCGAGCTCAGTATTTCTTACATGTTTTTCAGATCGTCCCAGTAATACCATTCGCATTGACAACCCGCGTTGGCGTGGCCGAAGCAGATGGTGAGCCCACATCGCAGGCGTCTCCCAATCACCTGACATTGACTCCTCATCCACAGTCCAACACTGGGTCTCCGTCCTCATTGCCGTCTATGGCGCTGCTCTCCTCGGTGCTTCCCGTAAAGACCCCCCCTCCCCCCTATCTCATCCCCCTTTACAGACCGCATACTAAACCATGGCAGCAATATGCGGCTACGTAGCTGATCACACGTCCTCCCGGCGTCTCCCCCTCCTTATTGGACTCCTCGCCCTCCTTGGCTCAACCCTGCTGCTTTGTCTAGGTACCACTCTCGCTCTTCTCATCATCGGCCGCTTACTGCAAGGTTTCTCCGCTGCCGTCGTCTGGACCGTCGGTCTGGCGCTGTTAGCCGATACCGTGGATCATGAAATGATTGGGCAGGCGATGGGTTATGTGAGTATGAGCATGTCTGTAGCGGTGCTCGTGGCGCCCTTGTTGGGGGGAGTGGTGTATGCGAGGGCCGGGTATTATAGTGTTTTCTTTATGGCGTTTGGGTTGATTGTTCTGGATATTATTCTCAGAGTGGTATTGGTGGAGAAGAAGATCGCGAAGCAGTGGGTGCCAGCAGAACCCGAGACGTCTCCGCCTTCACCTTCAAAGACTTTATCCGAGAAAGCTACAGGCCCGCAAATCACCATGGATCAACCGGAGCACACACCGTCTCCAGCGTCAGCGCCAGAATCGTCCGCACCCCCCTTGACAATCTTTCCCACTAAACGCCAGCTCCCCCCAGTATTCACCCTCCTCGGCTCCCGCCGCCTCCTCGCCGCCCTCTTCTGCAGCCTCATCCAGTCCACCCTCCTTACAGCCTGGGACGCCGTCCTCCCGCTCTACGTCCACCGTCTTTTCGGATGGGGCTCCACAGGCGGCGGTCTGATATTCCTGCCCTTGATCCTCCCATCCTTCGTGGCGCCCCTAATCGGATACTGGAGCGACAAACGCGGCCCCCGTGTCCCCACCACCTTGGGATTCTTACTCGCGGTGCCGTTCCTCGTCGCTATGCGGGCCGTGAATCATGGAGGCATCGATCAGATAGTGCTGCTCTGTGCACTGCTCTCATGTCTGGGGGTGGCGCTGAGTATGGCAATGACGCCGCTGCTGGCGGAGATTACTTACATCATCAACGTGAAGGAGAAATCCCACCCGGGAGTTTTCGGCAGGAGGGGCGCGTATGCTACCGCGTACGGTCTCTTCAACACCGCTTTCGCGGGCGGCATGCTCGTCGGACCCATTTGGGGCGGGTTTGTGACGCAGGGATCTGGGTGGAAGACGATGGGGTGGACGTTGGCTGTCTTGGCTTTGGTGGGAGCTGGGGTGGCGGCGTTGCTGGTTGGAGGTTGGGTTGGGAGGAAAAGTGCGATGGAGGTGGAGGCGGTAGATATCGGGAGCGATGGACCGAAGGAGGAGGGCGAGGTGTGAAAATGGTAATGGGTTATGAGTATATGATTATGATAGCATCAGCGTTGCATTGGGCGCATCGGGTTAGGTGGTATTTTTGATTCCATTTGTCACTTCCATATTATCCTCATCGCCATGTTAGACATAATCTGTCATCACACTTTCACCCCTTGTTGTGGGCCATTATATCGGAGGCAGTCGCTCGATCTGCCGAAAACATAACTTTTGAGCTCAGAAACCCTGAGTTTTCCTGTCCCGCCCGCCTTGGCTCACGAATAGAGCTTCTTGTCGAAGCTATGTAGCCCATGAACGTTCCCCTCTGCCTGCGCACTCACGGTCCGCAGCTCGAACCGCACTTTGCCATCCTGGACGCCTCTTCTCAGCTCCCCCAAGCTCTTGACACCTATATCTTGCAAACTGTGCTGCAGCCCGGCCAGCAGATACGGCGCGAATTTTGTCACAGATCCTCGGTCCAGCACGCTCCCTGACACTCCCTGAGCAACGAGCAGCCTATCACCCTCGCTGAAGTACCGAGCTGTTCCTGCGTTTGATTGTTTCGAGGTCTTGGTGACCGCGCCGGCTTTCTTGTCTTCCATGGCGTCGATGCTGCCCATGCCTCTGTAGGCTTTAACGAGTTGCCCTTCGCGGCTGACGAAATAGTTTCCTGGCGATTCGGTGGTGCCTGCCAACAACCCTCCCATCATCACTGTACTTGCACCCAGAGCGAGGCCCTTAACGATGTGTCCCACATTCTGGATTCCACCATCGGCGATACAAGGAACACCAAACTTCGCAGCGAAGCCAGAAACATTGAAGACAGATGCAGCCTGTGGACGGCCAACAGCCATAACTTCTTGCGTTATGCAAGCGGAGCCGGAACCCATGCCTATTCTGAGACCATCTACTCCGGCAGCGATCAGAGAGGCGGCCTGTGCTACGGTGACGACGTTGCCCCCAATCACGTCTAGATCTGGGTGCTCCTTCTTAATATACTTGATCATCTCAATCTGGAATATCGAATTGCCTTGCGAGGAGTCGAGGATGACGATGTCAAGACCCGCGTCTGCGAGCTTCTTCAATCGGTCTTTATCTTCTGGTCGTGTGCCGATCGCGGCCGCGCAGATGAGTTGTTTCGAGTGTGGGAGCTTGGAGGCGAGAGGGTAGTGTAGGTTTTTCATCAGGTCGGAGCGGGAGAGAAGGGAGATTAAGTGGTTATTTGTGGGGTCGACGATGGGGAGTTTGCCCTTCTTGGACTTGGAGAGGACGCCGTTAGCTTCGGTAAGAGTAGTGCCCGAGGGGGCGGTGACGAGGTCGGTGGACATGACGGTTGTGACAGGGTCGGAGAGGTCAGGGTGGAATTGAATGTCGCGGGTCGTTATCATGCCGATGAGAGGCGAGCTGAGAGAGCCGTTCTCTGCTCAAAGTCAGTTCTGAGACCTTTCTTGGTAGTTACTGCAGAAGTCAAATTTGGCGCTTTCTCATAGGGTTGAAGAATGTGTCTCCGCAGTACGATGGGATCGTTTTGGATGAACGAAAGTTATTTGTATTTGTTTGATAATCATAGAAAGGCAGACAGCAAACAGTGTAGGTTCCGAACAGGAAGACTGACCGGTGACTGGGAATCCGCCGAATCCCCACTTCTCCTTCAGTGCCTTCGCTTCTCCCACGGTTGTCTTCGGTGAAAGCACGACAGGGTCCAGGATGAAGCCGTTCTCGAATCGCTTGACCTTTCGGACCATCTCTGCTTGATCCTCTGCAGAGCAATTGTGATGTACGACGCCTAATCCTCCTAGCAGGGCCATATGGATTGCCATCGAGTGCTCTGTGACTGTGTCCATGGGAGAAGAGACCAGAGGTGTTTTGAGGGTGATTCGCTTAGTGACTGGGGTATCCAGAGCAACATCTGAAGCAGCAAAGCCTGGCATCAGAAGTCAGCAAGCGATTTCGAGACCGTGGCGGCTTGAAAGTACCGATGTAGCCGGGAAGCACCAGGAAATCGTTATATGTCAAGCCGCCGTTGATCTTAGAGTCCAGCAGTGTTTTCGCGTCGAGGCCGTCAGCACTCGGGTATTCATCGCGGAGCACTTCGAGTGCTTTTGTATAGTCTAGGATCTTCTGTTCTGGCATCAGCTGCGAGCCGCCATTGCTCAAGTCCCCATTTGTGAGGGTCATAGTGAACTAAATGTCTTTGATTCCGACAATGTAGGTAGTGTCTTTGAGTTCTCGATGAGATATAGTCAACTAGTGCCTTCATATAAAGAGGTTATGCTGACGGGTTGAAGTTGCCTTCTCCCAAGAGAGAAGGAAAAGTAGGAAATTTCACGCTTGAGTTCGAGATTTTGATAGTGGGGTCTCGGCCTGGGCGCGCTCAATTTTTAAGGTTTAGGGTTTAGCGCGAAAAAGGTAAACAATGACGGTCAACATCGCGGTCTTTTCATTCTACTCTATGCGCAAATGATCGTCAACGACCAACGATACGAAGAGTCTGTGGACCCATTACCGACAATGCTGCCGAGTGACAGACCATAAGGGATCGCGTTATCTGAGTGAACAATTGCCATTGTCGGAGCATCCAGGCGAGGAATGCATGTGTCAACCTCCGTACAATAGGAAGGGTCTATCGGGCATTCAATGAAGAGGGGAAATCGCAACTGACACCATGTCATATCACCAAGCTTCTCGCCAACCGCAAGGCACTAGCAGCTCCCCAGGCAGGTCCAGTCCGTTGCGCTATACGGCATCAAACGCATCCACCAACTCTTCCGCCTACTCTTCGTCCTCCAACCCTTTTCTTCCAAGTCGCACAAGCACCATGTCTTCAAACGCATCGAGTGTAAATCAAAATCATGGCGCGGGCCACAAAAGGGGGATCAGCGAGACGTCCCCAACCCGGCCTTCAACGAGAGAAGGTATCAAACAGCCCGAGCTTACGGGAGCAGGAGGATACAAGGGCGTTAGACAGTCGCTCAGACCATTGCCACAGGCCCCAAATTCGTCTCCTCCTGCGCCTGTACTGAAGCCGTATCAGTCGCATCCGTATGCCCAAGGCCCCACTGAGCCGCCAAAATATCACTACGATGGACCCGCCTACTCGTCTCCGGCAGCTGCATCACAACTTGGCCGAGCGAATTCTACAATGCTAGGTCGAACTGGGTCTGTAACGCCCATGACATCTGGTGCTCAGAGACATAAGCACACGAGTTCAAGTCCTCACGGGCCGAATCTCACCTCGCCAGAATTATATACTCTCAAAAATTCCTCCACAAGCCACCTGAGGACGCTATCCAAGTTTGCTCAAAACGGATCAAGTGAGGAGTTTCCCATTACATCACCTGCAGTTGCTGGTTTATCGGGTCGCAGACAATTGAAAAGAACCGACTCTACAAGGGCAACAAAGAGCTCCGGAACAGCCAGCAGCGCTAGAGGGTCGGCTTGGTCAGAGAGCAACTGGATGGAAAAGCAAAGACAGTTTTTGCAGGCCTACGAGTACCTTTGCCATATAGGAGAAGCCAAGGAATGGATAGAGGACATCATACATCAGCAATTACCCCCAATTGTGCGGCTAGAGGAAGCCTTAAGAGACGGAGTCACGTTAGCGGAGATCGTGCAAGCCTTCTATCCTGATCAGCCGATACGAATATTCCGTAATCCCAAGCTCCAATTTCGTCACTCCGACAACATCGCCCTTTTCTTCAATTTTTTGGCTGACATGGAACTTCCTGAACTTTTTCGGTTCGAGCTGATCGACCTTTATGAGAAGAAAAACATCCCAAAAGTCATCTATTGCATACATGCTCTATCTTGGCTGCTATTTCGTAAAGGCATTGTGGACTTTCGGATTGGCAATTTGGTCGGTCAACTCGAATTTGAGCATCACGAACTAGAGGCGATGCAGAAAGGTTTAGACAAAGCAGGTATAAGTATGCCTAGTTTCTCTGGGATGGGAGCAAGCTTTGGCGCAGAGCCAGAACCAGAGCCAGTACCCGAGCCTGAGCCTGTCGAATCAGAAGAGGAGAGGGTAGCAAGAGAACTTGGAGAGCACGAAATCACAATTGTGGACTTGCAATCACAGATCAGAGGGGTTGTCATCCGTATGGGTCTTGGAGACACTATGCAAGGCTTATGGGACGCGGAAGAGAAGCTTGTCGATTTGCAGTCAATCATAAGAGGCAAATGGGCCCGAGAGATTGCCGAGTACCGTTTGAGCATGAAGCGTTTCGCCATCAATCTTCAGAGTGCTGCTCGAGGTTTCCTTGCACGAAGTAGGCAACGTGGCAAAGAAGAATGGTGGAGAGGTAGAGAGTCTGAGGTTCTAAACCTGCAGAGTCTGATGCGAGCGCGGAAAGCCAGGGTCGAGACACAGCAACTGAAGATACGCGCAAGAAGGGAAGAATCTGGCGTTCGATTTTTGCAGGCAGCAATACGAGGCGCACTTCAACGAAGAATCGTCGAACGCCAATTCGAAGAGACCAGAGGTGCTTCAGCCACCGTACACGGACTCCAAGCTGCAATCAGAGGAATGCTCCGACGTCGAATTATACAGGACGAACAGTATAATATTCAACGGGCGCAGAAAGCAATCACAACATTGCAAGCAGCAGCACGAGCAGCCAACCAAAGGCAGCACCTGGCACAACAAGCTCAAGCTCTTGAGAGATCGCAGCATGCGATCACAACATTGCAAGCAGCAGCACGAGCGGCTAATCAAAGACAACATCTAGGACGACAAGCGAGAGCTCTGGAGGACCAGAACGAGTCCTGGTGCTCGTTACAATCACACTCAAGAGCAGTGCTCGTTCGGAAACAGCTCCAGACGACTAGAAACGAGCTGTCCATCCAAAATGAACCGATCACGACAATCCTAGCCGTTGCACGTGGGAATCGCGTACGGCAGGACATGCTTTGGATCAAATGCTCGCTCAGCAATGCAGAGCAGGACATCGTGGCTCTTCAGGCTGCAGCTCGAGGCTGTTTATTGCGTCGAAGACACATGGCTGATCTCCGAGCCTTGGGAAGCCACGCCTTCGAGATCATCTCTTTCCAAGCTCACCTCCGGGGTCGACATCTCAGACAACTCCAGTCCCGTCTCCGTCAGGACCTCTTTTCAAATTTGTCAGAAATCATACAGCTTCAGGCACTGTCTCAAGGACTATTGATCAGATCGGATCTCGGCTACCTGCTCAGTCAGCTAGAGGACGAAGAAGTTAGTATAGCAGAATTTCAGGCTGCAATCCGAGGCAAACAGGTCCGTGAAAAGTTCGCGGAAAAGCAGCGGTTTTTCAAAGCCAATATGGAAAAGGTCGTCAAAGTACAGAGCTTCATTCGTGGAAAGATACAAGGCGAAGCTTACAAGAGTCTGACGAGTGGCACGAATCCACCTGTTGGTACTGTTAAAGGCTTCGTGCATCTCCTGAATGACAGTGACTTTGACTTCGACGAAGAAGTAGAGTTCGAGCGGCTTCGAAAGACCGTTGTGCAGCATGTGCGGCAAAATGAGATGGCTGATCAGTACATTACCCAGTTGGACATCAAGATCGCCCTTTTAGTAAAAAATAAAATCACTCTTGACGAAGTCGTCAAGCACCAAAAGCATTTCGGCGGCGATGCGGGAAGCCTTCTTACGAACACGGACATTTCTTCCAAGGATCCCTTCGATCTCAAAGCTCTCAACAAGAACTCGAGAAGGAAGCTGGAACACTATCAAGAGCTCTTTTTTATATTACAGACCCAACCTCAGTACCTTGCTCGGCTCTTTAAGAGAATCCGAGAGCAGGCAACCGCCGAGAAGGAGTGTGAACGAGTCAAGCACTTGATGATGGGGCTCTTTGGCTATGCGCAGAAAAGACGAGAAGAATACTATCTGGTCAAGCTCATCTCACGAGCGATGAAAGAAGAGATAGACAATTGTGCTTCCATTCAAGATTATCTGAGAGGCAATTTCTTCTGGGCGAAACTGTTTGGTGCCTACATCAAATCGCCACGAGATCGCAAATACATGCGTGATGTACTATCTCCGATTATTAAAGACAGCATCATTGACAATCCAGAACTGGATCTCGAAAGCGATCCGATGCAAATTTACCTGTCTGCGATAGAAAATGAGCAACTGCGCACAGGTCAGAGGAGCCAGCGAAGCCCAGATATACCACGCGAGCAGGCCATACGTGATCCAGAAACGAAACGGACATTTATCACTCATCTACAAGACCTTCGAGACATTGCTGATCAGTTCTTTGCTGCTCTGGAGGACGGTCTACAGAGAATGCCTTTTGGCGTGCGATACGTCGCCCAGCAAATGTTTCAGAATCTTATCTCTAGGTTTCAGCACGAAGAGCAGGGGTACATATTGCAGATTGTTGGACATTGGGTGTGGAAGGCCTATCTCCAACCTGCCCTGACTGAACCCGAGAAGTTCGGCGTAATTGATCGAGGGCTGTCACAGGAGCACAAGAAGAATGTTGGAGAAGTATCTAAAGTGGTGGGTCAAGTCGCCACCGGCAGGCTGTTTGGTGGCGAGAATGTCTTCCTTCAACCGCTCAACAGCTACGTTGGAGAGTCGATTGAGCGTCTCGGCGAGATATGGGGCAGCTGTGAGTTCCATGTATTACTTGAAGCAGGCTTGAATTCTACTGACAAGTTGGCACCAGTGATCGACGTCGCGAGCGCTGAGACCCACTTCGATATCGACGAATTTAACGACCTTTATTCACGGACGAAGCCCACCCTGTACATTAAAATGGCTGATATATTCGCGGTTCATCATCTCGTTGCAGCTGATGCGTCACATATTTGCCCAACGCGAGATGATATCTTACAGGAAGTCATTAGAGAGCTCGGTAGCGTCAAGAATAACGAGAACGAGCTCATGAACGTCAGCAAATCTGAGATCTCCCTCACGCTGAACCCCAAGCTGCACGAAGCTGAAGGTAAGCTTTGCCTGCCCAGAATCTCCCAGGCGAGACTGACATTATTTGATAGATCCCGATGCTGAAGTCAAAGCACTTCTCATGGAGACCAAACGCTGTATACTATACGTCATCAGGGTGCAGTCGGGAGGCGACCTCATGGAGATTATGGTCAAGCCAATTACGATGGAAGACGAGGATCGGTGGGAGGCACTTGTCCGGGAGGAACTTTCAGCTGGAAGTCACAAACGCGGCGCTTACGCAGAAGCCGGTACCATCACTGACATTGCCTCCATGAGCTATGCAGAGCTTAAGCGCACCGCTCTTGAGAACATCCTCCACCTCGAGCAATATGGCCGTCTCACCCGCCACAACCACTACCAAGATCTGCTCAATGCTATCGCAGTTGACATACGCACAAAACATCGCCGACGTGTTCAACGTCACAAAGAACTCGAGACTGTCAATCTCACCCTCGCCCGCCTCAGAGACCAAGCCACGTATCTCGAACAGCAACTCAAAATCTATAATGACTACATCGAGCAAGCCATGGTGACTCTCCAGAATAAGAAAGGCAAGAAACGTTTCTTGATGCCTTTCACCAAGCAATGGGATCATGAGCGTGAACTACAACGTTCCGGTCGCGTGCCAAAGTTTGGATCCTTCAAGTACTCAGCCCAAGATCTTGCCAATCGTGGTATACTCGTATCTTGGCAAGGTTACAACGAACGTCAATGGGACAAGATCGACCTTACGATCTCCAGCAACGAAGTCGGTGTCTTCAGCATCGAAGGCAGTAATGGACCGATTGCGATGCCTGGAGCTAGCGCACAAATACCACTGGACGACCTGTTGCAAGCGCAGTTCAACAACACACAATTCTTGGAATTTTTCCCTGACTGTAAGGTCAGGGTGAATGTGAATTTGTTCTTGCATTTGATTATGAGGAAGTTCTATAAGGACAAGGACTCATGATAAGAACAGTAGAAAGCGTTAGAAATGGGGTGAGAGCAGTTCCATGCATTGATTGATGAAGGAGTACGCGCAGTGAAAGCATTTACACGGTCTGCATTGAGACGAAAGCGCTCCGTTGTTTGGATCTGATTGTTTGGCGCTCTGGTGTATATACACATTGAGTCTTTGCCGGTTGCATAACATTGGTATTGCCAACCAGGCTTTTCCAGGCTTCTGGATTAGGTGAGACTCGGAAAAGAAATGGACGACCTCGTACATACACGCGATCTTGACACTCATCAATTCTGTGCTCAGATTTCGTGAAACAATATCCTAACAGCCCTTTCATTTGAAGTGATACGAAAAGGGAAGCCCTGGCGATGCGTCAAACGCTGTAACCGCAAAATAGTCGTGTGTTTCGTTGCGCGTATATCTGGAATGCGCGACGGCACCAGGAGTCCGCCACTCATTCATTTTCCGGACTTGAAACTGTATCCGCATAGGCGTTTTATGTTTAAGATTTAATTGAGAGATCTGAAGCATGGTAAGGCACGTTTTCTACAATCTTGGTTGTTTCACTTGGACGGACTGGTTGTTTAGAAGGTGAGTGGCGTGGTGGAATGTCATGGCGATAGGGGTACAGGTTGATATCTAAAATCTATGCATTCACTACTGCTGTATCAACTCTCGTTTGCTTCTCTTGTCCGTTCCATCAATAAGATACTCTACGACCTAAGTAACCCCATCTGCATCCCGACCATCACACGATCAAACCGCAGCCCCAACTCCACCACACCATGCGCGCCCTCTCCGTCCCCCTCCTCTCCCTCCTCTCTATCGTCCCTCTCCTCCATTACCCCTTCACAGCCGCGCAGGCTCTTCCCTTAGTACGCGCCCATCCGCCTCGCCACCGCCCACCTCAACCCCTATCCAACATCCGTGACCGGACTAACGATCCGAACATCAACAGACCTTGCTATGCAACACAGCCGACCTGATAAGCGCCTGCACCGCCAAACCTCTCCTCGTCTCCTGCCCCGCCACCGGCTCTGCCAGCCAGTCGGTCACCATGGCTGGCTTCGACGGCACGGACTATGGCGACGGCGACAATTCTCCCACTACGGATGCGACCGGCCCGGCCTGCTTTTGCCAGTGCAGGTGCTTGACTCCGACGGATGCGCAGAATGCACGGGAAAGGCGTATAGGCGGTCAGGAAACTGCGCCTGTGGACGGTGATGGTGCGGTGCAGGAGCTTGACGCTGGTTTTTCTGATGACGAGTCGGACGATGATGAGGGGGGAGGAAGTGGTACTTCTGCTGATGAGTCGGACGGTGATGAGGGGGGAGAGGTTCCGGCGCCGGCTGTGGCTCAAGGAGGGTCGATGACTACGGTAGCGAGTAGTGCTTCGGTGGGTCCTTTGCCGACTTCGGCCTTTCCTCTTTTCATCTGTTCGCCTCGAAGCAGTGACTCTGAGGGGCTGTTGAGAGGATCCGCGCTGATGGTTATGAGCAGGTGGCTACGAGTACGACTGCATCAGCGACGACGACGACTTCGGCGGTAGTAGAGCAGCTTGGACCGCACGCCGGGTTTGAGAGGGGGAGATTCGCGCATTAATCGACTCAGGAGGGACGGTTGGTGTGGCTGCTATGGTTGTAGTCGCAGAAGAGGGATGTAGAAGAGGAGAGTAGAGGAGGGTGCGGACAGTTATCCGATAGACGGACAAAAATCCTGGACAGTATTGTCAACACAATTTCTGAATCTTGATGCAAAGTCCTGCGTCATCCGAAGTCCTAGTGACGTTTACCTTGGACATTTCTTGACAGTGATCGTGCTTCTTATCCCAGCCAAGTTTTCTTTTGGCCAACGATCTGAGAAGATTAGCTTGAGGTCGAGGCTGCTAGAAATTGGTGACGATCTAGACGTACAGTCTAATTTTGCATACTCAGTCGAATTGGAGACTTGACTTTGTCTTCTTTTCCTCCGCCAAAACAAACTACATCTGGATTTTTGGCGCTCTTGCCTAGGTTTTATCCAAATATGTATGGTACCTACCCAGGTTATGGCATCTTAGCGACCTGCTTGTGTTCCTTCGTGTGTTCGATGCCAGCCTATATTGAATCTCCCAGCTTGACGGACTGTATGCGACGGCTCCGGGATAGACGACCTAGATCAGGGAAAGTCTGAGTCGAACAGTCAAATGCACAAAGAGCTTAGTGTAGATACTCAAGGCTCACACCATGGCGGCTCTTGCGTCTTCGGATCTCCTTTCCGTTTCCTCCGGCTCAAATTAATAGCAGATGGAGTATGGCAATCGGCAGATGCTGTGGGAATAGAGACGACGATCTCCCTCAGACCTGTAACCGAGCCGCTACAACTAGGCAGTAGACTTGTGTGCAACCTTCGTCCTTTGTACTCTTCAGTGCTCTCGATCGAAACTCTGTTGCTTTTCTTGCTCGTTGGGGTTTTCATATAGCAAAACCTCCCTGGACATCTTTGTTGTCTCACGCAGTCCCCGAGCTGTAGTAATGGCCGAGATCGACTGCCTGTTTCGTGAAACGGTCGATCGTGAGTAGCGCCATCAAGATTCGGCAACGGTGGTCCATACGGACCTCTAGCGAACCCCGCTGTGCTCCCCATATATTGTCTCATGCAGGTAGCCTTTTTTGGGTTCCTAGGTGCTGCGAGCGACTAACTGGTTACGTGCTCACATGCTCAACTCACTGCTTACGGCTTTACCCCAACCACCAGGCTTAGCAGATTCCTTGCATTGGAAAGTCGTTCCAACTTGAGTCTCCATCACGAGGAGTTCCGAGCTGTCAGTGATGATGCCAGCTGGTACTTTGCAGAAAACCCTGCACGATCTTAGCCTACCCAATCCGTTTTGCAGCTGGCCTAAGAGCCTTCCTTGTGTCAGAAGCTGGCAGCCAATGGTCGCTTCTTTCTCTGATGAGATCCGGGTAGAGCACCGAAGAGGAAGCCGAAGCTCGGCCTTGATTAAGTGGAGATCTGCAGCTGTAGCGATCAAGCGCGCGACCTTCCCAGGGACGATGGTATTAGTCCAAGTCAGCGCTACAGATCAAGCTATGCCAACACCCGTCCGTCCTGTAATAATTGCAACCGAGTCCTCAGCTTTCCCTTCTCAAACATCCGGGGAGTAATCTCGGCTTCGCCTAGCGCGAGTTCGAAGACCTGAAGACTCGGTTGCATCCGATCTTTCCGACATGTCCCATCCAACCGGCCCCTATTCATGAACGTCTCATTTGCCGTGTTCCGTGGAGCGGTAGCAAATAGAATCATTTGCTGAGCGTGGTGCCATTGATCTGCAAGCAACCGCAAGCACCTGCCACAACGGCAGGGCAAAACCACCTCGATGCTGAAATCAACATTCGTGTCCAGGAGCGAGGGATCAAATCCGATTGCTCTGTGAGAGAAAAGCAACAAGCAGTTCGACTCGGATTGTTCGCGACACGCGTTAATTGCGGGTCACGAAGGGGCAGAGGGGCGATCCGATCCTAGACCCTTGTCACATGTGCTCTAAGAATTTATCTCGCAGACACTTCTCAAGCATTTATGTCAAAGCGAGCAGAGCGGTGGGGACAGGATCGATCGTGTGGGTTGTTTTGATTGATTCTTGCTGCAAGCAGTAGGGCATAGTACCTATTACGAATTGATCTTGCAGCAGACGCACATCGTAGAGGCCTAGCGTAGACGCATATCGTGGACGCATATCAAATCGCCATCATTTGGAGCTGAGGTGGTACGTATCTTCTGCGATCAGTTATTACAAAAATGTCCCATACGTAGAAGAAGCCGTCGAGTCCGTTGTCAGGAGCACAGTGGTGAGGCGACGTTCTCACCTGAAGCAGTGAGACCTCTCATCAAATCACCATCTTTTAGCATGACTGTAGAAGTTGTTAAATAACCTAGCAACTTGATCTGACAAAATCAAAAGTCCAGGTCTTTGCGTACAAATACAAATTTCCATGTCCTACAGTGGCAGTCACTTTATAAACGATTGAATTCGGACTCCCAATGCAGAGACACACACAAGCACCGGCATCGTCCAATAGAAATATGCAGAAAGGTGGGGAAGGCCTTGCCATCTTGGCAGCATGCATAAACGTTCAAGTCGAAGGTTGTCAAACACTTGACTAACGCTCGTGAGCACAAGTAACACCGGAGATACCGCTATCGAATTAGACCACCGCTTGAAATTAGCACACCATCTTAAGTATATTTGCGACATCCGTAATGCTACGCGACCTGCAAAGAGCTTCTTCTAAGTAAAAGTAGTAAGCCTGTTGGCAAGATAATGATCCTCGAACTTGATATCGGAGCCGTCATGCTGCATGGATTCGCAGCCGCTATTGAAAGGATGCCCAAAGAGGGGTTGATCTTGTCGGCTGAAGACGGTCCCGTTTTGTTGAGTTTCTGGGTTCTCGGTCATGCCTCCGTAATCGTAGATACTGCTTTCCGGAAAAGATGGCTGTGTAGAAGACAAAGGAGGCGTCAGATAATATGGCAGGCCACTTATACCGTTCCAGCTCTGGTGAGGAGAGGCCTGGCAGAGAGGCTCGTCCGGACGAGTGTCGAAGGTCATGTCAAGCTCGCTTTTTGGGTAGCGGCCGTATCTGGTATCGTGGTCGAGCCACGCAGACCTTCTCACTTTGGCAGACTTCCTGGCGGCTCGCCCCCCCTTCCTCCCAGAACGCTGCCTCTTAGGATCGGCCTGGTCGACATTGTCACTCTTTTTGCCAACCGTCTTCTGGCGATATCTGGTAGTTGACTCAATGCCCGCGCCAACAGCAGAGGGCTCCAAGACCCAAATGAAGCCTTTCTTTGCTTTGTTTGATGGATCAACATGGGGAACCTTTTTGAACGCCTGCATCTATGTCAGTGTCTCCGGAATAAATGCGCTTTGCGGTTTGCAGAACTTACCCCGTTCATTGACAGGTTGTGTCTGACACTGTTCTGCCATCCCTTGAAAGCCGGATCTCTTGCCTTGTCGGTATTCTGTGCTATCCACTCATAGATGTCCTTCAACACCATCTGGTGCTCCGGAGCATCCATCAACGCTCGATATATCAGCTTCGCATACGGAGGCTCGCCTTGCTTGCCCTCACTCTCGCTCTCGCTGTCCAGTGGGGCGGACCGTTCGGTCTCCCGGAAGGGGCGGTGCAACTTGGGCTGAGTCGGCGTCCGCAGGTCTGAAGAGGTCGCATACAATGATGAATCTAAAGAAGGTGCGGTATCATAGGCATAAGCTTGTGGCAGGTTATACCTGGGCCTAGCCCCTGTTTCTTCAAAGCCGTTAGCAGTTGTGAAGTCCGTCCAGGGCCGCAGTTGGCTTTGATGGCTTCGAGTGGGCAGAATAGGAGGTCGAATTGCTGAGTTTGATTGAGTGGAGGGGGCCAATTCCTGGTCTGTTTCGAAGGAACTGTTGTTGAATGAAGACGACAATGACGAGAACGGTGTTGGCAGCTGTTGATGAGGTCCAATTCTCCACTTATCATCTCCTTTCGCCTGGTCCTCAACATCTCCGAAACAAGTCCGCGAATGGATAGCAGAAGAGCTTGGCTCCGTCCGATAGCCTAACGACGTATGGCCAAAGGTCTCTGATTGTTCCATTTTTGGCCATGTAAACGAAGATTCCGGACTGATGTAACCTTGACAGGGAAGTTGGTGTAATACATCATGACTGTGATCTGAAGGCGCTGAAGCTCTGTTGACGAGCAAGGCGGGCATGATCGTTTGTGAACCGCTATCAGTCATCGGAGATTCGCGGGGGGCCAAAGGATTGTCAGAATTGAAGTCACTTGAATTGTTTGGCAGATCGGGGGAATGAAAGGGACGATGGATTGATCTGTGTAGCAACATCGCAAGATCAATTCCCCAAAGAATAGAATTGAGACTGTTCCTTTTTGTCCGATTTGGAACAATGGCGATGTCAGTGTAATAGCCTTTCAATTGGCGAGCAAGAGCGATATGTGGGTGAAGCTTGGGTGACATAGCTTGTGAAACATGAGAGAAGTAATTCAATTGACTGTTAGTCTGATCTTCAATCTTTGATCGCACGGAAGCCAGCTCACAAACACGAGCTGGCCCTGCAGCACCCCTGTCGTGTGCGGCAAGCAAACAAGCATGGCATGGTTACAAAGACTGTAAACACCGTCTCCGTCTGCCGCGTAGAAACGGCTTCCAGCATCACGTTGCCCAAGATGCGTCATTTTCGCGGAGATGTGTCCTTGCAAATCGTCCAGTTGCAGAGCTTCGCCGGCATGGAGCCAGCTTTTGCACTCTGTCAGGAGGGACTTTTGTAATGCTGATTCCCGAACCTCGTCTTCGTTTTTGAGACTGTAGATAATTTCGGAATGTGGTTATTGGACCACACGGCTAGTTGCATACAGGCAGATTCATAGGCAAATGAGCCCTGATGTTCACAAATTACTGTTGCCAAGGCTCTAGAATGTCCAGAGAATTGCCAAAACAAACCTAGCCACATGATCATTGATTGATCATTGATTAGGTACTCATCAAGGGAGAAAACTGAGAATGGGAGACTGCACTAAGCCGCCAGATACCGCCAGATATCTGTAGGAGAGGCCATTGATCCCAGGTTGTACGAAAAGCATAATAGAAGCTCATGCATTGTTATCTCAGAGCCGCATTTTTAAGATCAAACAGCATAAGAGCCTCAGAATTCCACCTCCCGATGGCTCCAAACTAGTGCACAGAATGCATCACAAGCAAATTTTACGTAAGCACCTAACGGTCTGACAGCCAGTCAAAATATTTTGGGATATCACTGATTGCATCAAGTCATGATCTTGCTTATATTAATGTACGTGAGCGAATGGAGACGGTCGTGCCACTCGTACTTGTCGTAAAATCCGTAAAGAGGCTGGAGACCTAGGCGACCGAGGTGTTTGATGAGCATTTACTGTTCTAGTCAACACACATAGTTCTGATGAGATGGCGACCCTGAGAATCTGTACTTAGGCCTGCGTGTGCGCCACAGCAATGTGAAAGACTTGGCCGAGGAGTCAAGCATTGTCAAACCCGAAGGACTTGTTGCACAACTCCAGACCTCCAAGGAACCCATTCCAGGGTGGCGCTCTGGCAGACTGTAAGATGCTTAAGTTTTATTTGCGATAGTAGACCTATGATGGAGTCAGTAAGAACTCGAGAGCACAGATGACGAGAGCGGCTTCCCTTTTTGAACTGGAAGTGGAGTTGTAGGATGCCCTGTTAACGAAGGTCAGTCATTGCTTTAGGTATTAGAAGGAAGGTAGATGGGTAATGGGAGAGTAGCTGGATCGGAATTGGTGGCAAGTTAGTTGACTTACCTTGTCGAAACTGCTTCGGAAGCCGCGCTCTCTCTTAGCACTATAGTCCCATTCTTTGTCTACGATTCGGAATGCCAGATCTTCGTATGGAGGACCACTAACGAACCGGATAAGGCACGTATCCTCCTCACCTGCAGGTGCAAATGACTCTCCTCGCTTGCGTCCATTTTCACGCTCAATGCGATACGTTGGAGCTTTAGTCTTGTCAATAAGATCTGGGTAGAAGACGTTGAACTTGTAGCCTTGGACAACCTTGGGTGGTGGATTGTCATGATCGTAGTGGGTCTGATTGTACTTGTTCCATTCGTAACCCATCTGAACACGATTGAAATAGCGAGGCTTTCGCGGGCGGTATTTGCCAGCCCATTGAGGTTTGGAGGATGAAGACAAGTCTTCCTCGCCGGCAAAAATCTCTTCATCTTCTTGGACGCCTCTAGCGACTTCTCTTTCATACAAAGCTATTGTTGCAGATGAAAAGTCTTCGCTGGGGACGGTTGCAAAGCGAGAGGCACCAGAAGTGGGAGCTTCAGCCGTCTTTGAGGCAGCTACTGGTGCTTTCTTGTCTGATTGAGCTTGTCGTAAGGGTACATACTTCAGCTTGAGCACCCTTTGACGCTCGAAAGCGAGTTTATCCATGAAGTCCTTCTCGTCTATCGCGTCAAGGCCCTTGTCCTCAGCTCGAATCCTGAGGAGTGGTTCCGGATCTAGATCTCGGGAGTACTTTAGAGATGGCGGCCCAGCGTTCGATTTATCGACAATCAGGGTCACGCTGTCAGGCCTAAGATCCTTCGAACTGCTGCTGTTAGTTAGGAGAGCCAACTTGTCCCTTACAAGCACCGCCTCTGCACGCTGCTCGTGCCTGAGATCATTCAAGCGACTCTCTATGATGTTCTTGTAGACTGTATTCAATTCCGCCCGTGACTTATAAACAGCGACATTGCGCACCAGCTGCTCCCAGTACTCCACGTCGATGGGCTCATTGGACTGCAATTTATCGGAGATTTGTTTCTCCAGGTTCTCTAATTCTGTCAGGGTTTTAGGACCCAACAGTCGATCAACGTCTGCAGCTACGGAGCTGGCGGAACGTCCACGAGATTCTGCAGGTACTAGCCTATCCTGGTAATCCTTGCATATCAATTGCAGCGCCTGAGATAAGTCAGAGAAGCGCCAGCTGTCGGACTGGACAAACCATGCCTTCCAATACCGGCCATTGCTCTGATTTGATTCCAGTGCCATGTACGTCTCGATGTCTTTTCGCAAGTCCTGGAGCTGAGGTAGATCAAGGCCCTCAAACACGGCCGAAGGATCCACAACGTCGATGTCTGATTCATTAGTGTCCTCTTCCAACGGATCCCTGGTCGGATCGATGACACCCAAAGTCACAGCAAGCCAGTCGATAGATTTTGCCCGGCCTTCTCTCACACGTATGTGAGCCTTCTTTTTCGACTGCTGCAGCACGAAGTCATCCTCTTTTGAAACCCATTCTCTCATCTGCTCCGCCTCTTGTATTTGATTTAGGCGTGTCTGCTCCCTGGCGAAGCTCTCCTGCTCTTTTCTCGCACTAATGTCATCATCTTGGCCATGGTCACCGCCCAAACGTCTTGGTCTATCCTGATTTTGGTTGCGTCGATGATCTTTGGCTGGTCTTTGCCACAGAGGTGGGGAGGAAGGTTCGGACCTCTTGCGGGACTCATGTATAGGCATCAGATTGGATTTGCTCATCACGTCGAAGTAAGCAGGCCAGGATAGTTTGTGCACACAATGGTAATAAGAAGTATTTTCCGGTAGAAAGGTGCTTCTCTCATATTCAACGACGATAAGATGTACGGGCAGCTAGTGTGAACGTATGCATCGCTCCTGCAGGGTTCGCCAAGCAGCACAGTAGCAGGCGCTAGCGGGCTAGCTAATCCGCAATATAAGGTATGGAGCACTTGACCATCGCAAACTGCACCTGTGTACAAATTCAAAACTCCTCCTCGCTCTTTCTTTCAGTGCTTTTGGGTTTCGATGCTTCAGAGCCATGCCTTCCGCCTGGAAGCCCCTTCTTTTGCACCGCAAGAATAACAGCATTCCTCCTCTTTTAGTCAAATACGACTTCGGGCCAGCGAACTATAATGTATGGCTTACAGACCTCTCGTATATATGGACCGAATCACTTGATCGGAGACAAATTACAAGAAGAGCACTCGACGTTGACACAAGCATTGATCCCAGCGAAGACTTCGCGCAACTACGTCTCTTCCTTAGAAGCATTGAAGATGCTTTACGGCAACGTCCAGGAACTAGTGTAAACTTGATCGAGAGCAACGAGATCAAACAGTTGACCGTACATACGTCAACTCCGTTACCACATCCCCTTCAGCCTCTCGAATGGTCTATCGTGCTTCTGCTTGCATCCCAATCAGACTTTGCTTCGGAATTCGTAGCGCCTCTTCTAAGCCAGCAGCTCACTGCAAAGGTGGAAAAGGCCTCCCTGCTACAGCAATTGAAGGAGAAAGACAATGTCATTTCCAAATTGATTGACAAAATGCAGGGCGATGGTGTCGATCTGGGAAAGTTGTTTCCTGGCGCGGTGTCATCAAAGTCAGGTACAGGACCCTCTGCACGTCGCGCTGTCGCGAAGGCTATCAAGGGTCTTGGAGAGTTTGACCAGGATCTATGGGAAAGCCAACTTGCAAAGGATAAGGGGCTCTGCAGAGACCTAGATATTTTTTTGACTCAAGTATTCGATGATGACGGGAAAGACACTGGTGAGGGACTGCATATCGCAGATCGTGGGGATTGGTGGAAGAGGGTAGGCCATAAAGTTTCGCAACGAGAAGGAACCACGCCACCCAGTGTAAAGACCCATGCTAAACAAGCAAGTGTGGTAGAGGATGAGTTTCAGGTATGTGGATTTCGCAGTTTGATGAGAGGCAGCTAACATGTCTTAGAGGCAATCGACTCCTCCAGAATCTTTAGCTCAGACACCGAGACGCGATGGGCTGATTAGGGACACTGCGCCGAATTTTTCAAGCATTCCAGAAACAGAGGACCCAGATGAGGGTGGTTCGACGACTGACGAGAGCGATGACGACCTTCAGTCTTCCTACTCCAAGCCTCTACCCTCGCGTACAGCCGACGAGGTAGCGACTCGTTCTGCGAATTACTCTAAGGGCATCCAGTCAGCGCCAATGGAGTTGGACTATGATGGCTTGACCACTTCTCCGTCAGACATCGATAACAGTCCTTCCAAGACTCATTTGGTGCCAAAGTCAAAGCCGAAGCTGGGCAAGATCGGTGGTAAAGGCAAAACCAGCTCTCCCAAAACTCCTGCGTTACCAACATCGAAGCCAAAGCTGGGCAAGATCGGTGGGGGAGGCAAGCTTGCTAAGGTACATGGCATCGGGCCTGTGTCTGGTCAGAATGAGGACGCTGCGTCGGACATGCCAGAAGATCCTGTGAGCCCAAAGCGTGAAGTGAGGGACCGAACTGCTGCACCAAAAACACTGGAGCCTGAGAAGAGGGGTCGGACGGTCCAGCAGCCTTCAGAACGCTCACCTCCTAGAGAGACTTCTCAAGAGAGAGCAAATAGAAAGAGGGAACAGCTGAAGCGAGAGCTCGAGAGTAAGAGTCAGGCTGCAACCAAAAAGAAACGTAGATTTTGATGCCGGTCTTTCCGAGCACAGAGCTGCAATCGCTAGTTTAATCATCATAGTACTTACCTCGACTTGAATAGTCGAACAGTCGCCAGCCGCTCAATACATGCGGTTTGGCGTCAATTCAAACCTCTGGGTGGTTTCCATGTTGGATGTGAGACTCAATTTCGCTTACTTTACTCGAGTGCTGACTCAATTGAGTAGTCCTTGCTGCCTTGATAGGCATTTAACGTGCGGCGCTCCTTTTGAGCCTCTGTTGATATGTGGAGTGTTATGGGGTTTTGGTGAAATAGTCTGGCCTTGTTAGACGCTTGGAGGACAGTATGAAGGCTAGATCTAGGGGAGACATCGCCAGATAGGTCAAGGACTCTCTCTGTGTCGCGAACTGTGAATGCATGACTCTGAAGTATAGCTTTCTCCCATGCTAAGCCTTCCAAACGCCCCATAGGGCGCAACGACAGGACTTATCCACTGCATGACTTGCCGGCTTGGCATTGTAAACAACATTTTGTGTTCAACATTGCTCGCCAACCACACCCCTTTCGTACCTCCATCACACTCCCTGCTTCCAACAACTTAAACACTTGCATTGCTTAAGTGCTAAACCTGAATGTAAAAATATAGTGCTCACTGAAAGGCACTCACTAGGCTCCAGAGCCAACTCCATTCCAAGTGAGAGTACTGATCTGCTGTTGTAAACTTCTCCTTACTTTCTAAGCCAAACCACTCGAACCTATCAGACCATAATGTCATCCTCCCAGTCACCGAGTCGTTCTCTCGCCGAAGAAGATTACTATACAGCTGAAGAAGATCACCTCTCCTATGCACAAAGATCCAGTGGGGCTTCATCAACTGTAATAACAACCCCAAACGGAAGTTCAGACAGCGTATACGCCACTGCCAACCAGACACCGATTGCTAGTCCAGACATGAGCAGAGGCACAGCTTCGTCGATCCCTATTGCTGCTCAGTATCCGGGCTCACCAACAGCAAAAGCACTAGACAAGTCCTCACGTCTCTGGCCTCCGAAAGCTGCACCTCAGGTGAATAACGGTCAACCTACAAGTCTAGCAGATACTTTCCAGAGCAACTATCTTGAACACCGAGAAGCTAGTGACTTTTCCTACAACTATCGACCTGCACCTATCGATCCTAGCCCACAACAAACTTTTCTTTCAAGTCCACTTCCTTTCAACAACAACACCTGCCCTCTGATATCGAACCACATTACAGACACACACCAAGAGCTACCAAACATCGAAGAAAGCGAGATGCCGTACGAGTATCCCTCTGGGAAGTTCATCATGAATCCTGAAGCGCATGTTTTCGTACCACGTCACGGACGTAGGCCAGGTACGCTACCACTGTCTTGCAGAGCTGTATAAGGCCCGTATCTGACTAATTTGATAGCAATGAGGGCACGTAACCCACACGACTGTGTGTACTATGGTGCTCCGCAGCCAAAGCCAGGCCAAGTGGCCGGTAAGAACCCCGTGTTTTGCTGTCCACATCCTTGTATTTTCGTTGTTTCTTACCTATCAACGCTGCGTTTCACGGACTTCTTTCCCTTTGTCACGTGTTCACAACGACCTACCAGCCCAAATTATACTAACGAGCATCAGCAGCAGCGCCCACCAACACGCCAAACGTGGCCGCCCCATTTCCAAGAGTCCAGCTCTATGGCAGCGGACACGGCATGTTCTTCGACCCCAACACCGGCACGTTCACCGGCGACGGCGCCCCCCGCAAGTCTCCTTACCGCGCAGACGGCACCTTGCCATCCAAGCCCGACCTGCAAAACGACTCCATCACCAACCAACAGTACCCGGAGCCAGCCGAAAACATGCTCCACATCCAAACCAAGCGCGAAGTCACCGAGCGCATGGCCGACTTTGGAAGGAACGGCCCGATTCAGAAGTTCCGTGTGAAGCGTCCGATGCCCCAGGAGTACCAGCAGGGGACGCGTGTGATGGTGGAGAAGGAGGGGCAGGGGAGGGAGATTCTCGGTCGTCGTGCGCCTACTGCGGAGGAAATGGAGGGAAAGGAGAGTGGGCCCAGCCGTCCTGTGTACATCACGGATGAAATGGAGGCGAATCTCAAGCGTTTGATGGGTATCACGGGGGAAGAGGAAGAGAAGGAGGGGTTGAAAGAAAAGGACATCGGGGCTGAGGAGGGAGAGGAGGGGGAGGAGAAAGAGAAGTTCGAGGGGACCGGAGTGCAGGATTCCGCGGTCCACAAGGGGAAGGGAAGGTATGCTGGCCCCTTCTAGGGGTTGTATAGCCAGACCTGCATGGCTTTTGTGTGTCGGCTGTGGCGGAGAAGCGGATTCATGTTGCTGGAAGATACCATTTGATCGGGCTCTCCCAGGGATTGGACACCTTGACCTCCACTATTTTGCGTGTGTCAGCTTGAGCACAGAAATGGAATAACGTTGCTGGAAGATGACCTTTGATCATGCTGCTAGTAGTATCTCTCGAGAAACTTGGTGACGTCGTTGTGGATTTCCGGCAGTCTGGGCGCTCTCTACTGGAGGAAGTACAAAATCTGGTATGAGAAAATGCTCAAGTGGGTACGTGGCATGGTTTCTGACGGACGGGTACAAAGATTGCAACTGGCACGCTCATAGAAGAGATCTCTAGTGTGTCAACCGGGGAAAACGCAGTAGGTACAGAACCCGAGGGGCATGAGTAGCTTAGGGGGAAGGCTAGCTGGCCTCAAAGATAATACAGCTGCAATGTCTTCAAGCAAGACATGACACGTGCTGCTTGGATCAGGCCACTATCCTAGACTACTCGATGATACTAGATGTACCTCACGCAAGCAAGCATTTTTCAATCTGAAGGACCTCTCAACATCCTCCAAATCTCGTCTATCGCAGCCATACCCGTGACGTAATCCGTGCGTCTGCTTAGCGCGAGCTGTAAAGAACATCTGTGTTGGACATTTTTTTCTTCATAATATGTGATAACCTCGACCTCCGCGTCTGAACCTAGGTGGTGGATTTGTGATAGGGTGACAAGTCTTTCTGCCGCAAAGGCTCGTGCCTACTCGGCCCATGAGCGTAGCTCGTGTGGTTGACTTGTTTGCGCACAGCACGCGGGTCAGACTGCCCGCCCTTAGTCTTGTGGTCACGACGCACACTAGCTAGCCCTGCCTCGTAGCCGCGATCGAACTGCTAGGGCCCCATGGCATGAGGCTTTTGATTTCGTTCTCGTCCTTCAACTTCTTGACTGCTTGGTGGTAGGTATCGCGGTCCTTGCTCATCAGGGTGCTTAGAAGTGGATCGATGTTGGTCTTAAAGTTTTTTGATTTATCCATGCGGATGTAATTTTCTTCACAACATTGCTTGATCTTGCTCGTGCGGACGTTGAAAGTCCTGACAAGAAATAGCGCGTGATCTGGCTGTAGCATTGGGAACGTGTATGGAACGAGTCGTCCTTCCTGCTCTTGGAAATTGCCATCATCCTGTGGCGTGCCACCGCCCCCAACCGAACCCCCAGAGGGCCAAGGACCAGGATCATCATGAGCCTCGTCACTTCGATCGTGAGCCCGATAGCCACCACGACGCCTAGACCCTCCATACCTCTCGTTGTCTTCCGAGGTTTCTCGGAAGGGCTGTGTGTCCTTGTGAGACGTAAAGAATCGAACGAGGATGAGGAGAAAAGGAGGAGAAAAAACGCGGGGGTTCAAGAACTCAAGCCTGTCAGGGTGGAAGCTCAATACTGTTTCTGGAACGGCGGTCAACTTAGCGTTTGAACTCTCCAGTCAATGGCTAGTCATCAACAGTGTGTGGCCCAAAGCTATCTACAGAGTGGGGTCGAGGCGAGGCGAGACGATTCGGATCTGGAGATGAACAAGTTCGTGAATCATCCTTGCGGCTGAAACACAGCAGTCGGAAGATCGCCTTTCCATGGCAAAGAATCCAAGCCTTTCATTTCCTCGACCTAGCGAATGCGCTGTGAACACGCTGATGCCGCCGGTGTGATCACAAGGGCCGTTGATATGTAATTAATATCAATTCGATTAGGGTGAGTACCATATTTATGGAGTTCAAGACCAATCGCTCAAAAGGATCTCAGGAAGCCACCATAATTCCATGATATGGTAGGCCATCAAAATAGAGGATTCTAAACCATTCAAAGTGCAGGAGAGATCGACAATAATGTGCTGATGATGGTCTAGCCTCTATGAGGACGTGGCATTTCGGTGGCGGCGGGTGCCCGATATATTCTAGTACCTAGTGAGTGAGGCCGTGGGCCGCCTGGAATGGTATTGTCGTGGCGCGAGCCTCCCTGCTGATGGTGTCGTCGCCGCTTGCATAGCTAAGCTGACCCGGTCCCTACTTCTGGGCTTTTTTTTTGAGCTCATAGCTGTGCTTTATACGTTTCAGGGAGCCAGCCAGGTGATTGAATTCTAGCCCTCCGATGCGTTATCTCGTTGGTGTGCTGTTTGCCTTGTCCGATGGTACATGGGTCTCGTCTGAAACCTCCAACAATCCCTCAGGTCCCTCAGATCTCTCACCCCTTAACTTCTTGTAGCTCCGAGGTATCTCGGTTTCTACCCAACAAGAAGTCTACGTAGCCCAACCGCCTGCCTCGTGCTAGGCCAAGAGCATCTTGTGCCAGCCCAAACGCCAGGCCGCCATATAACCCTATCCGGATGGTTCGCGCTGCGGTGTTCAGGGGTAGTACATCTAACATAGCACCATCAGCATCGTTGCCGGGTATCTCTGGGTCATACAATGTAGAAGCACACACTCCAAGGCTGTCCACTGAAACCCGCAGCAATAGTCATTCCAGCTACGACAGTCGATAGGAAATCTTTCGTCCCACGCCATTCATCAACGGCTTCCTCGACTAAGAAGAAGCTTCCAGTCCAAAAACCGATCTTGGAGCCCATCTTCAACCCTTCTTTAATCCCTCCTAGCATGATGTGGTAATTCTTGCTTTTGTGGTACAGGTACCATCCCGTAGAGGTGGCGGGAAAACGGTGTGAGTTCTCCGCTCGGAAACGCATGCCTGCTAGTTTGCCTCCGTGAGAGACGCCCAGAGCGGCTCCAGTGAGAACAGCGCCCGCGGTGGCTGCTGAGAAGCGGACGAAGAATGGGATGGAGAGACGGTTCTCGTATGATGGGAATGGCTGTGGACGGTACTTAAGTGGGCTACCAGCGTCGACTGGAAATTCTTTACTCTCCATACCGTTTTCTTTGTAATAGTGTAGCTGCCAGAGCTTTCTCCCTGCTCGTTGGGGAGCTGACCAAAGACCTAGATCAACCATCGAGTAATTTGCTTGGCACCCAACTTGATAGGGCTGAAAATCGCGTCTAGATCTATTGATATGGCGACATCTATTTGGACCAAACGCGTCAAGTTTCACAATCTCCAACACAGCACGCATCATGGTATGAATGACCCTACAAAACCTCTTGCAACACAGTACTGACTCTAAATCCCTAGCCAGCCAAGACGCCCGGTGGTATGCAATGGACGCTGCGCTTTAAGCAGCACAAAACCACTATCCTCCTCTTCGTCCAGCAAAGCCAACCCTTCGAATCAATAAAGCGCGACCTCCTAGATGCAATCAAAGCTACAGGTATTCAGGACATCAACGGCAATGCTCTACCTTCAGGTCCGGAAGACATCGAGTTTGGTGTGCCAAGAGACAAGAACGACCCCAGCAAAGGTTGGGTAGCTCTCAAGATCCCAGAGGTTGAGGATGGAGATACGAAGGGCAAGGGTGTCAAGAAGGGTAGCATCTTGAATGAGAGTCCATTGGGTGCTGGGCTGAAAGATGGGACTATGCTGGCTTTCAAGTTCACAAAATCAACCGAGGAGGCTGCAATGGATCTGGATGATGAATGGGACGTCATAATACCCAGCTACGACGACGAGGCTGGGAGCCAAAGCCAGGGTCGTGGATGAGGCCGGATGCTTCGATGATCTACGAGACCATGACGTAGCATAGTGAGACACATGGTATTGGCAGATTTAACACCCTCGCCGACGAGTGGACATGCTATGAAGTCGTTGCCGCTATCAAGAAGCCTTGGAACTACTTCGTACTTCCACCTGGGTCTCGCTCCACTTTCACATCTTTACTTCGCCTCACCACTCCTTTTTCGAGTCTGTTTCAAGTTTATACTATGCTCATAACTACCAGAGGAAGTGGCACATACTTTTCTTAGTCTTGCGTTCACCTCACTAAAACATCGATCCAATCTTTACCTCCTCAACCATTATCCTGTATCAAATATTCTTCGCTTCTCTCCACTGGCCTACTTCAAGGAGCTCAGCTATGCAGAAGCCCTTCAACGCCGAAGGGTTAGACTTGACCTTCCTGTTCGATTCTAATTATCCTGAACGGACCATCACTGAAGCCAACAACTCGGCAGCTACTTCCATTGCCATGCCAGGCTTCACAACGGAGCAGTCACTGTCTCTTCAGCGGATGCTTTCGATCCCCGTCGGTGAAGCCCTTGAACCAGTGCCCAGACCCCTGGGCTGGGTTTTGAGTGCTTGAGAAAAGGGCCCTCAATCCCTATCATTCAACCCCAGCTTGGCCTGTAGTACTTCTCCCGATCTTGGCTACGGGACTCATCGTCGACTCTCCACAGTATGACGAAGAAGCTCTCATCAAGCAATTCGTTGCAACAGACCATGAAAAAAAGCAATTCACATGCGAAATGAAGCCATGGGGCAAGTGGGTCCCCAAATCTTGGAGTAGTGGCGGCGTCTCTCGGCGGCCATACGGTAAGTAGAACAAGAGAAAAATTAAGAGACATGCGCATGCTTTTGGGGCGCTCGTCTTCAAGAGCAGAATGCGAATGGAGGGCGAAGGCGTCACCTTCGAGGGTGGAGCAACGAGTGCGTAGAGGGTGAGATGTCTGCTGCTATTGAGATTGAGACGATCCTTGTTGAGGAGGCCTTCGTTTCTTTAGATTTCAAAAGGTGGTCTTGGGGGCTTCGGCTCTTGAGTAATGGTTCGCACAGGGTAGTAAGATCGGTTCATCGCAGGTCTAACAAGCTCCATTTGTACCTGAGCACACATTTACCCTGCGATTGCATTGCAGCTAGGAATACGAACCGTCCTCATTAACCAACATCCATAAATCCTGCCTTTTCTTCGAAGTACTTCAAACGTACTCCCAAGCTGCATCTTGTCACTGAGCTATCTATTGCTTCTCTTCCTTGGCTCTTATTCAAGTGCAGCGAGAACTATCGGCAAGGCAGCGAGAACCTAAATATGTAATTGGATTTTGGCCGTGGTTCAGTGTTCCAGTGTGATATTTCCTGAACCGTCAGCTCTTCCACCCTAGCGCATTCACTCCCTCCCCTTCCTATCTTCCAATCTAATACATTCACTTTTCTCCTCATCTTCTATCCCCGTCACTACCAGCTCTCCTTCTCACACTTACGTCCTTTCCTCTCCCCTCATCACTATCTTACAACACTATCAGCATTGACCTTACTGACCGGACGTTTGAATTCCTGATATCTTCAGGACATCGTCACTTGTCTAGTCCAGCTTGATAAGGCCGTCAAGCAATTGTTTTGAGAGCAAAGTTCACTTCTCATCCTCAAACCCCATCTGTGTTTATCGACACTTTCCCTTAAAGTCAGTTGCACGTCATCGCCACGTCTATCTACATACAGACTGTAGGTTCATGGATCCTAAGTCACAAGGATGAACGCTGATCAAGGCAGAAGCGGCGTTATTTACGTTGAGGGCACATTTTCTCTAAATTGTCGGCACTCTATTTGCACGTCTGTCTCCGTACAAAGTGTAAATGTCTGGGCCCCAATGCATACAGATAGACTCTGATTGAAGCAAGGAAAGTACTATCTCGACAAACCTGTCCTCAAGACCGTCTTATCCGCATATTGCGCTTCGACGGACCAGTCCTAAAGGCTCAAACTCTATTGCAAACCCGGGAGGCCGCAAGGCCAAAAGCTTGCACCATCTACGTTTTACTCTTTGACACACCAGTCGTCAGGTCTTGCATCACGGTTTGCACAATTGAAGACAGCATCCCATTAGTCGTTATGGATCCAAACGGGGCCTCAGCACCAAGCTTAATATCTTCACTCGAAGCTATGATCCAAGCCTCTGTCACTGCTGTTCTTGACCGTCGTCTCGGTACAGGCGATACCTTGGATGCCCAAATCCAGACCACTGTCTCGGCAGCCCTTGACAAGCGCCTAGGTCCTGCGGTAGGGTCGCTAGGCAATCGTATGACATCGTTGGTCGAACAGCGTCTTAGGAGTACTATCAGCACACTGAATTTTCGGGTCAATACATCAGTCACAGCCGCTCTCGAGCAAAGACTTGGTCCCGCTGGCAGTGCTTTGACCGCTCAAATAACCTTTACTGCAGCTCCTCTTCCAGTCTTGCCCTCTGTGGCCCCGCCCAAAGCTCAAGCGTTGGGCGTGGTAAATGGGACGAAGGAAAGCAATGAAACCTGTCCGGCAGAGGAGGAGCTAGGGAAAGCCCAGCCGATAAGTAATGGTGCATCCACAGAGATAGAGCAGCCTACACCGAAGCAGAGCCAGGGAAACGGTGGACCACCAGAAAAAGAGCGGCCTGCGCAAAAGCTGAGTTCGGCACAGCAACTGTTAGACACTGGGCTAACAGAGAAGGAACAGCATGCGCAAAGACAGAATACGGCTGAGCCAAAGGGTTCCAAGACCACGTCTCCAGAATTGGGGGACGAATTATTACTCCCTACAGCAACATCTGCGGAGAGCAACGAATCGGCAAGCGCAAGTTATCCACCTTTCGCCAACGGCTCTTCAAAAAGCAGGGCTGGTCCAAATGCCGTCCTCGAGGCTGAGCCCAACGCAAAGACGGGAGCGCCGTCCAGCAGCGCAGACAAGACTCCGGCAAAGCGCAAGGCTAACCAAAAAGATGAAGCAAACAAAGCCGACGATACAGGCGAACCAGAATCACCCTCATCGGAGGAGGAGAGCGACCACGAACAGCCGAAGAGAAAGAGAGCAAAAGTAAAGCTCGACCCACCGGGTTATACCGACGGGCCCTCATTGAAATTCCGGAGGGTTTCTCCTAAGTTGACTGCGTGTGCCAAGAATCGTGGTTACCCTCGAGTAGTAGATCTCAAAGGTTTCACTGAGGCATCGAACAAACAGAATCTCACAATGGCAGACGTTGTTGCAACAGTGCTGTTCAACTATGACCCCTTAAGCTTGTATGCGTTCATGGATATGGACAGTCACCCAACATTCCACTTTCTTCGAAAGGAAAGCGACCGAAAGGTCAGAAGCTTGGCTATCGAGAGGCTCAGAGAGCCGTATGGAGTTGTTGTGAAGGTATGTGGTCTCCAGCTGATTGCTGGAAGAACGGCGCTGACGCAACATAATAGTGCGGCTATCACCTTTCACAGGCCGATCGTACCAAGTATCGCTCTGATGCTAGTCGCATATGGGAGACAAAGTACGAATACATCATCCTTCCAGTTGGGAAATGGGTTGCATCAAACTATATGCAGGATCCTGTCACATCGAACAGCTCGAAGAGAACGATAGAGCAGTGGGCAACAGAATTTGGGACAGGGGTCTTCCTTGGAAGGCTATGGGTGGAGAGTCTCGGTGCAAAGATTGTATCTGATAGATTGGAGTTACCATCGAGGGGGGGAGGGAAAGACGTGGGGCTAATCGGAGCGAAGGTGGCGGCTGTGGGCTGCTAAAGATGGGCAAGAAAGAGCCTAGCAAGATCGAGGATGGAGAAGTCTCGATGATAAAATCACTTTTGTCAATAAAAATTCGTGACTTGTTTTTTTAAACATAAGCAGAAGAAATATAAAGAGATGATTCACCAACCACCGCATTGATTCGAATCCCACGCCTAATTCTAAGAAAGTCGTAGAGTAACCTTGGGTACTCTAACGTGTCTAAGTACGGTACTATAGTATGCCAAGAAAGATAGATCTGATAAGATATCGGCGCGGTTCCTCGGTTGTTGCTTAGGCGACGGCGGGTAGTCCTCAGAAACAGTAAGGCGCTGTAATTCATCAACAGCTGGGCGCAAAGCGAGACAACGATAATAGCTACGACTTACAAAATTGCAACCATAGCGGCCAGGTTTTTTCTTTCCACCAGGATTTTTGGGCTCCGTGTCATTCTTGACCGGACTTTTTGAGACGCGTAGCCCACGCAAATTAGTCATGGCGGCCACAGAAGGAGCTTCCTCCATCAGCGTAGCGATCAGAGTTCGCCCATTCACTGTATGTCTAACTCAGCCTCTGTTGATCGGACTCTGGCTTATCGTCACAGGTCCGGGAAGCTGCGCAATTGACCCATGTGCCGGATGGTCCCCTCTTCCTCGGTGATGGCTCGCTTGCGGGAGCTCCAGCGCCCTCACTGAAATCAAAGGGCATTCGCCCGGTGTTGAAGGTGGTGGACGACAGATGCCTGTGAGGGCAATCTTTAAAAAAACGATGGATACGATAGGCTGATTCTTGCAGTGTTTTCGACCCACCTGAGGACCATGCAATCCAGCGCGGCTCTAAATTTACTGGGCCGAATGGCAGAAGATCGAAAGATCAAACTTTCGGCTTTGACCGAGTGTTTGACGAGAACACTACCCAGGGAGATGTCTACGAAGCCACCACAAGGAATCTGCTGGACAGTGTGCTGGATGGCTACAATGCTACAGTTTTCGCATACGGAGCCACAGGGTGCGGCAAAACACACACGATCACGGGGACAGTGCAAGCGCCTGGTGTCATCTTTCTGACGATGCAAGAGCTCTTCGAGCGAATTGGAGAAAGAAATGATGAGAAGCATACAGAGGTTTCGCTCTCATACCTGGAAATATACAACGAAACCATTCGAGACCTGTTGGTGCCAGGAGGAAGCAAGCAGGGTCTCATGCTCCGCGAGGACGCCAACCAAGCTGTGTCGGTCGCTGGTCTCTCAAGCCATCACCCGCAGAACGTACAAGAGGTTATGGACATGATTGTGAGAGGAAACGAGTATAGGACGATGTCTCCTACGGAAGCCAATGCCACTTCCTCTCGATCGCACGCTGTTCTCCAAATTAATGTTGCACAGAAAGATAGAAATGCGGACATTAACGAACCTCACACAATGGCCACTTTGAGCATCATCGATCTGGCAGGAAGCGAGCGAGCGAGCGCTACAAAGAACAGAGGCGAGCGACTCCTGGAGGGTGCAAACATCAATAAATCACTTCTAGCGCTAGGAAGCTGCATCAACGCTCTCTGCGACCCGCGGAAGAAGAACCACGTGCCCTATCGCAACTCCAAGTTAACTCGGCTGCTTAAATTCTCTCTTGGCGGCAATTGCAAGACCGTCATGATCGTTTGCGTCAGTCCGTCTAGTCAGCACTTTGACGAGACCCAGAATACGCTTCGGTACGCCAATCGCGCGAAAAACATTCAGACCAAGGTCACAAGGAATGTCTACAACGTGAATCGCCATGTAAAGGACTTCTTGGTTAAGATTGATGAGCAAATGGCCCTTATAAACGAGTTGAAAGCGCAACAGAAGGATCACGAAGGAGCAGCATTTGCTAAATTCCAGAGGCAAGCCGAAAAGCGAGAGATGGTCACAAGAGAAGGCGTTGCTAGGATTCGCAGCGCTTACGAAAACTCCGAGAAAGAGCGCATGGAAAAAGCCACCAATATGAAAAAGCTCCGACAAATTGAAAGAAGGATAGCAATGATTTCTTCATGGGTCGCTGCTTTCGACCAAGTATGCGACAATTCAGAGGAGGAAGGTGCCCTTGAGAACATTTCAGCAATGCGCAAGACTGCACATGGTATCCTTCTCGAGCTCGAGAACAGCAGACATCATTACCATCAAAAGCTCGTAAAGAGCAATTGGGAGCGTGCGATTGATTCGGCATTGCAGAACGGCATTAGACAACTCAAAGAAGCTGATGCAAGAGCAGACGGACAAGACGCAGCTTGCTTGAGTAGGGAAGTTGAGATCCTGAAGGCAAACGTAGACCGGGAAGCTTTGAACGCTGTGGCAGAAGATGAGAAAGGTGGTGACGCTGGTCTAGTGCAAGTGATGCTCCAGACCCATTTTGAGACGATAGCCGCCATTCAGAGCCTAATGGCAATGGACGAGGAAGAAGCTGTGGGAGCTGCGAAGAAGATACTCGCCAAGATATTGAATGGCTGTACGAGTGCCACGTTTCATGTTATCAAGCCTGATGGCAGTCTGATTCCCACCCAAGCATTTCCTCCTACTCGGACTGGAACGCCGAAGCGAAAAAAGCAAGTCGCCTCGCCGCTCAAGCCTGTCCTACCTCCATCATTTGCCAGCAACGCGAACTCCTACGGCTCTCCAGTCAGGATGTCACCGAAACGGCGGAAGGCAGCTAAAAAGGGAGTTTCCTTCACTCCCAAGAAGAAGTCACCAGGAAAAGGACTGAAGAGAGGCGTGCGATGGCGTGATGATACTGCGGAAGGCGCACTTGCAGAATTCGAGAAGACACCACAGCGAACAAAACTATCACCGGACATCTCGTCTAGCGAGCCTACAAAGTCTCTACCACCCACCTTATCCACTTCCATTATACCGGACGAGACATTCGTTGCAGAAGACCAAACAAATTCATCGCCCATACCCGCGCCACCGGTCCCTTCTCTTGAGGTAAAGCCTAAGCACAATCGATTCAAGACTGGTTTCCTTGCAAAGAAGACGGATGGTTCTCCACTACCACCGACCCTCACTAATTTTTCGTCTGATTCGGACCAATCTCCTTTGCGAGAGCTCGAGCCAGGGAAAGGTGCAAATCGCTCATCGCTTCAGTACGTCCGGAATGTCGTCAATGATACAGCACTAAACGATAGCGCAAACAATTCGGGCTCCGACGTCGAAGATGGATGGAAAGCAAACAAAAGCGACGCAATGCAGATCAAGACCGCAATCAAGCGAGTCTCGTCCGTAGCGCCAGGGAATGCCAATCCAGTCAATCGTCAACGAAGGCGAAGTCCACCTGGCGCATCCTCCGGAAGCCCACCGAACGACAGCAACATGTTTACGGCATCACATGCGCGGCGAATGGTGAGAAGCGAGAAAGAGAATGACTTCAAAGCCAGCATACTCAGCCCGCGCACTGCACCTGTGGTTAAGTATGCGGGTCAGCGAAGGACTACCATGGGTACCATAAGTGTGAGTGAGACCAGATCGAAAGATATGGGTATGCCGGCAAGGGAAGCAGTGCGCTTAAGCACGGCTGTTACAGGGAGCGGAGGCAGCGGAGGCAGTGGAGGAAATCCCAGGGGCAGTCTTCTCGTAGGGGGCAAAGGCGCATGGAGATGAGGCCTGTCCCTCCAGAACGTCTTCGTTTCCTTCTCAACATTGTCTTCAGCACTTCAAGCTGTTGTTGTGCAACGAGCAAGGCGTTCTTTAAGGGGTCAAAGTTTTGCTGGCATTTTAGCCACTCACGATGGCGCGGAAATGTATATACTACGTTCGATCGTTTCACGAAGCATGGCTATGTTCTGCCCACGGAGCTCAATAACTTCTGCTACATATTTTTCATGTTTCTTTCACTGTATACATGTAGTGTTGTGTGTCAAATGATTCCATATCATCGAATTCCAAGGGGTTCGAAAATCTCGCCACCGAGATTACTCATCCTTGAATTGACGTCAATCGAGTGGTACAGATCCATACATAAACACCTCCATCACATCAATCATTTTAATTCCATTACACAATCAAACATTTTTCAAACTGAAGCCCCTAACAACCCTCATCCTCTCCGTCCTCGCCCTCATCATGGCCTCAACAATGCCCAATTTCCTCACTCGCCTCTTCCGCCCCTTCACCACCTCCACCCGCATGTCCCTCAACCCCGAAGGCCGCTCCACCGCCGACTTCCCAGCCAACGCGCAGAAGTGCACCGTAGCCGCTGGCTGCTTCTGGGGCGTCGAGCACCTCTTCCGCAAGACGTTTGAAGGGAAGGGATTGCTGGACGCGAGGGTCGGGTACATCGGTGGCGATGCGAGTAGTCCGAGTTACAGGGCCGTTTGCTCGGGGAGGACAGGACGTACGTCTTTCACCCCGGTTTGCCCTTCCTTGATTGAATTGGGGAAGGAGGGCAAGATTGTGCCGTGCTGATATCGCTCCACCGCTCGCCACAGATGCCGAATCCCTCCAGGTGACCTTCGACCCCTCCACCCTCTCCTACGCCACCCTCCTCGAATTCTTCTACAAGATGCACGACCCCACCACCCCGAACCGCCAGGGCATGGACACCGGCACCCAGTACCGCAGCGCCATCTTCTACCACTCCCCGGAGCAGAAGGCGGAGGCGGAGGGCGTGACGCAGAAGGTGCAGCGGCAGTGGTGGAAGCAGGGCACGGTCTCTACGGAGATCTTGGAGGCCGGGCAGTGGTGGGACGCGGAGGATTATCATCAGTTGTATCTGCATAATAATCCGGGGGGGTACGAGTGTCCGGCGCATTTTGTGAGGAAGTTTCCAGATTTGGTGTAGGGAGGGGTATATCTTACATTGGCTGGAGGAGTGGTCACGGGTTCTGTACGCCTATGATAGTCGTCATAAGGATTAAATGATGAACAAGATTCTACTTCCTTAACCCTTTCATCGTCGACATCAATGCTGGCTTTTTTCATAAATACTCCAACGTTCACTATGGACAGTGATAGTTGTGCACTGGGCATTGACAACTTGAAAAGATAACCGAGAAACAGACCCCGGAATGCTGCCACGTCGCTCGTGACCTCTTGAGTAAGCGAGCCTTCTTACGTGCCAAGACACGGACAAGTGCTTGGAGTAAGGTGCGAGTGTTACACCTCAGTATTGGATTATCGTTGTTCATAGATAGGATATTTCACCTATGGATAAAGTCGCTATCCAGAGAGAGTGTGTGTGTGTACTTACTTATAGTACTGTATGACCCATCTCATAAATGGACTTCTATTGGTGGCATATACTTTTCTATAGAGAAACCGTCTTACCTATCGATTCATACTCGTATCCGCTGGGGAGTGCAATCTAGTAGGATATCAGTGTCTTCAATCCGATAAGTCCGGCGCAACACCAAAATGCCCTACTTCTCACCAAAATCCCATGGCATCTCCGCACGATAAGGATGGAGCAGGAGCAGCCACTGCAACGGACAAATGCAGAGAACGCTAATAGCACAACGGGCACACTCTCCAAGATTCCACGCCAGGCCTCTATGCATAATTTCGGAGAATCTTCCCTCGACTCAGCCATGCTCATTTATATAAATACGACTTTTACAGATTTTGCATACGGCGATGTTTAGATATCTCTTATGCTTTCGAATTCTAACATCTTTAAAAAGCGTACATATATAGCTCTATACGTACAATATCTTTAGATAGAAAATTGAAACAGTTGAACATAAGCGTTGGTGGTTTTCAAAGGGTTCTAAATTCGTGCTTCTTTGAGACAAGGGACCACGCTACGAGGGTCGGACAAAAGTGTTGGACACCGATCCCCGCCCCTACCAAAGTGGCCAACGACTTTGCCCCGACCCTCGTACGCTAGGACTGTGGCTAAGCTTTCCACTACTGGGTAACCCGCGCCCCTAGCACATATTAGGCTGTGAACGCCACGATTTTTCACACGATAATGATAATGTCGTTAAACGAATATCTGTTGCTTCCATCTTTCCCTTAAATATCTGGCGATCCTGTCCATTTTTGTATAGAACGGCATTGATTATCGACGGGAAAGACGACGACCGTTTGTTTTCCTTACTCCATCACTTGATCTCGCTTGCCATCCACAACTAGGGATGCTTTCGAATTCCAGTCAGCGAAAGATGACCCAAAAATACTCTGGGTGAGAATGTCGTTGGGGAAAAACGCCTGACCCCGAAATGGCATTGGCGAGCTCTGGACCTCCCAGCCTTTCACGACAGAGTACGGGACGGAGGCAAAGTCGGAACATCATCGACAGAGCCATTGCGTGCCAGTACTAGTACCTGAATCCAGTGGTTACAGCGGCCGTAGGGGCCCAACGTCGAGGCCGGCCGAAATCGACCGTGAAAGACGAGGACTCGAAGACTGCTGGAAGATCTGTAGATCAACAGCCACTCCATGACTTCCCCATAGTGTGTCAAGCGACCCAATGATTTTGCCTGAGAGACGAAAGCTTTCCTTATGAACATCGGGTCTACAAATACGCCAGGCCTCATCAGATGATGAACGCGGTCGCAAACCACTTGACGCAATTTGCACCAAGTGATAAAGCCCCTGTCCACATCCGAAATGCAAAGTCGCCCAAGTGATCTTGCCCAGCATTACAGTCTTCAAGAGTCATGCCGCGAAGGTGCACAAGGTGCAACTCAGTAAACAAGAGATCGATTACCAGCCTGACATACTGTAGATGAAGGTACTATCAAATTGTCGTCTTTTCAAACATCGTGCGCTCTTTCTTCCATTTGTTCGCTTCTGTTTCACGTCGTGACACGCGCTCCGAATCGAACGGGCAGAGTTGCCAGAACTAAGAAGTCTTTTGTTGCGAGAGCGCCGAAGCGGCTACTCGATTCTGTTCTCCAGGTTGTTCTCTTGAGGCCGCTCCATGGCTGCGACTAAAGTAGTGGAGGCTCTACTGCTCACGCTGCCGGCCCGGCCACCGGGCGGTAAGCTTCATCACGACGCAGCACGACCCTACCACTCAAAAGGAGACCGCCAAAGCTGAGAGCTGGACTATACTATAGAAGCACCTCGGAACCCGGACGTACGTAAGAGCGTTCCTCGATCAGCTTCTACTCATTTCAGGACTACCGCTTTGGATGGCGGAGTACGTTACTACTGCTCCATCACTCATCACTGGCCGCTCTATGGGCTATTAATGGCTCTTAGCGGAGTATAGATTGAGCATTTGGAATCTCTAGAGAGCTAGAGCGGCAACAAAGTTCAAAGCAACCCGCTCGCATCCGCAACCTCGCCCCAGATCAACCCAAGCTTCTCAGCATGTTGGTACGCTAGCTCTATCTCCTTCTCATAGAGCTCGATACTCCGCTTCCTCTGCACCGTATCTTTACCTCCAGCCCTAGCCATTGGCTTCTCCTTCTTCGTCAAGATCACCAACTCTTTGGTCAATCTTCCGTAAACGGGTCCTGCCTCATTCGCTCGCTTGAAGCTCGACCATATTCCTTCGAGCAGCCAGTTTTCTCCCTCGTCGTTCTGCGGCCACTGCCTTGGTTGTAGCAGCACCGCGGGCCTTGTGCATCCGGTGCCGCAGATCAACGCCGTCGCAACAGCTGGATGCTCTTCGATGACTGCCTCGTAAGGAATGGGGTTGAGCTTCTTGGCGTCGGCAAAGATGACCACGTCGTCCACACGTCCGGCCGAGCGCCACCAGCCCTCGCGGGCGGGATGCGGTATATGCATCGAGTAAGAGTCCACGTTGGGAAGGGAGTAGAATACACCTTGGAAGGGCTCAATAGCCTCGTCGCGCGTGTGTACGAGCTCGTACATGTCGCCGGCGAAGTGGCGGAACGAGCGTCCCAAGCGCTTATTATAGCGGTAGTACCCCCAGTCCTCTGCCGGTGGCATCTCACCAGGTAGAATCCCGGTCTCTGTCGAGGCAAACGTACCGAATAGGCGCGTGCGGGCATTACTAGCGTTGCCCATGTCTGCAGGGAGCATACCGCCGGCGTAGGAGACATTATCGAGCTTGGCGATGGTCTCATAATAGGTGGTATTACGTGCGACGTCTTGGAGCACGGATGGCGAATACCATGCCGCCTGAATAATGCCGTTAACGTGGAGATGATCCGCAATTGCGCCGCTGAGAGGCCACTCGTTCGCGGTTACCGTAGTCAAGGAGTTGTAGATGGCGCAAGAGAGTAGCAAGACGCCTCCAGCATGTACCCACGGAAAAGAGGTGAGGACCCTTTTGCCGGTCCAGTAGTGTCCGTACCAGGGTTCTCCGCCAAGTTCAGTGAAACGTTGGAAGGCGTCGTGGGCAGCAACTGTGCCTTGCTTCAGGATCAGGATTTTTGGTGCCCGTCGTGCCGGAGGAATGCATCACAACATATGGATCCTCCCGCGCCTCTTCCCACGTCTTGGTGTAGGGATATGGTTGGACGGGCTCGTCTTCGAAGAAGAAGACCAGATCGGGGAGAATGAACTTTCGCATCGCCCGGCTGTTAAGAACTCCTCTTGTGGTGTCAGACATCTGCTCGGGTGTCATGAGGATGTCGCACTCAAGCTTCTCCAAAAGCGCGACCTGGACCTTGAGGCGGTTGCGAGGAGAGCTGTAGAACATCTGATGTCGTCAGTAAGGGTTTTCTCCGGCCGCCTCTGATCGAGCGGTCTAGACATGCCTTGTAACCCGCCTTGATGGCTCCAAAAATGAGGGTGACATGTCTGAAGTCCATTGGATTCAAGTACGTGGCAATTGTTGGGAAACCAGCCCCTTTGCCCAGGAGGTCCTCCATCCACCAAGCGCATCGGTTGACGGCACGCGCGATTAAGGCATACGACCCGTCCCTTAGTCCATCATTCCGATCTGAGCTTCGCGGTATGGACATGAAGCATCGCTGAGGGTCGGACTGGGACACGTCATCAACGATGGTTGTCATGAGTCGCTCCCCAGCACTCTTCGGTATGCTACGGCGCTGTGGCTCCATCTCATGAATTGCCTAGCTCGAGTACAGAGCAGAAGATATCTCTCCAGGTCTCAGGCGAAAGGAGAAGCTAGAAATAGAGGTGGGACCTCTCGCCTAATGACCCTTCGCTCACTCAATACGCAGTTTCGAGACGGAGAGAGATGGACCGCGGCTTTGCTATAGCCCGTTGAGCCTGAAAGGTGCGAATGGAGCCAGATCCCCCAGTCGGCAACACTTAGGAGGCGCACGTCACGGCAGGTGCAGCAGTGCTCCTTACGGTAATCGTAACATAAGCGCAAGCCACTATGTACCCCTCTGCGAGTGCTCCGAGGTTCGTGCCACCCACCCTATCGTCTTGGATGAAAGGCTTGAGCCCATGACCCGGAAGAGGGTCCTCGTCCCAGAGTCAGAGCATCCATGATGACTGGATAATCCAGTACCCTTGCAGTGCAGCCTCATCGTTGCATTAGATTCTGACAGGACTATGGGGATAATTTGCATGAGGTCCACAACTCATTAACCTAGCATTTGGGCCCGTCTTTAGCGGTGATCAGCCCACTGTGCCAGTACGAGGAAGGTATCCGGTAGTAAGGTACCTTAGTCGGCTCCCCGGGTAGAAGGCACTAAAGGTACTAAAATCCTTCCCCCAAGGTACCAAAAAACCCCATTTTATTCGACTGATAGGTCTACCTTACCTTAATGGTGGCCCACACTATTCGCTAGTGGGGCCACGATCTGGGCCGCTTCTTGCGGGATCTAATCCTTCGCCCGTTTTCTAGCACAAACTTAGATTTAGCACTAAGCATGGTAGAACGCAGATGATTGAGGCCGCCAATCAGAGAGGCGCGTTCGACTAGTGCCGGGATATATTGGTATAAAGTAAAGTAGTAAGGTATCTGAAAGGCCTGCGGCTAGGAAAGGGCGATCCAATCATCCATCTCGATGATATGGTACTGCTTACTCCGAGATCGTGCTTCTAAGATTACCTCCTGGCAAAGTGCGAGGCAGCCCACCATCGAGTCAAACCGTCACTGACCTTACTTGGGCCAAGGCCGTCCCTCAGTCGTCGGCCTTGCCTTGGTGTTCTTCCCGGCGAGGGGCTTTTTTTGAAGCCTCCTTCGCTCTCTGCAAGCCGGTACTGCCGATCGACTTTATGTGGACCCTGTAGACTCTTTAACCAGAGTGCGAAGAGAGGAGTGCGAGCCTTGTATGTTACTGTTCCGCTCATCACTATTCGCGAGACTTAGTGGCACGATTCATACCAGGTGCAACCTATAGAAATGTGTCGTGCATTATTAGCAGCTAAGACTCCATCACGGACTTGCTCGGGGCTTGGAAGCATGACTCAAAGATGCGTACTTGAACTTGGTCGTATATTTACTTGGTCATTGCCACCCCGTTCGACATAGAGCGTCTAATGCTAATCTCGTCTACTTTGTCAACTTTATTGACGATCTCTTTCAACTAAGCCCACAGATTCTCATCAGTGCTCCATTAGCATGGCTTGCATCGCTTCGTCACACACGTCAACACATGTCGTCACTCAGCAAAATGGGGAGCAAGAAGCTCAGCGTTCCTCTACCCTCGCAGAGAAGTTGACATCTCGAGAAGTACTACCACCCAATGGAGGTCTAAGTGCCTGGATGCAAGTAGCAACCTCGTTCTGCATCTTTTTCAGTACAGGGTATATATTTTTCCACACACGTGAATTTGCTTCGTACCCTATATTGATAACCAAGCCCGATTAACAAAGAAACAGGGAGATTATAAGCATAACGGCCTATATCAAACCTACTATTCCTCCAGGCTTCCGTTCTCCTCACCATCTATCATATCGTGGATGGGATCCATACAAGCAATTCTTCTTTTCCTCGTAGGACTTTTGGTTAAACCGATCTGCGACTCCGGATACGTACGATCACTTGTTGTGGGCTCGTTCCTGGGTGTATTTGGTCCGTCCATCACAAAAATTTGCCGAGAGTACTGGCAATTCTTACTATCCCGGGGAGTGATCACCGGAGTGGGCTTTGGATGCCTTTTTCTTCCGGGAGTTACAGTTGTGTCGCAAACTTTCAGTACCAAGAAGGCGTTTGCGACGGGAATAGCGTCGTTGGGTAGCAGCATCGGTACATACAGCGCTCTCATCCCTTTCAGCTCGGGACGGATCTGACTTGACACGGGTGGCGTTGTCTACCGCATTGCATTCACGCAGCTACAGCCTGGCATCGGTGGCAGCTGGGCGACTCGCGTCATCGCGTTCATCTTCTTGCTCACCTTCCGCTCGTCGTCATTCGACCACTGAATTATTTGGCGAAGCGACACTCCCTGCTGGATCTCTCTGCGCTGTACGCTGTACACGGCCCCGTTCGGATGCACAGTCCGATACCACGGTCATGTTGGTATCCCCGTTGAGGGGGGAAATGAGCTTGCACCAAGATTTGACGTTCAAGCATGGGATCGACCTAATGAAGATTCCGCCAAACCTATTTCCAAGCGACACTCAATCCGTGCTACAGTAAAGGATCAGGTCCTCGAGATTTTGCAGTTCACTCAAAAGGTGGTCACGACAATGCTGAAGGATCTGAAGAGATGCGAGAGCTGGGCGTCTATCCAATGGATGTGTGAGCGCGCAATTACAAAGCTGGGCTTCTTGTGGATATGAGCATAGCCTTGGCGACTCCGCATTATTATTTTCCAAATTCGACCAAGCTGGTAGGTTCGCGTGTTCCAACGGCAGAATATGCTCATGTTTGATCAGATGATCAAAGACGAAAACGTCAGCACGCGGGTGAGAGCATCAACCGAACAAAAGACTTCTGCGCAAAACTTCGGTCCCAAAGCAAGAGAGATCAATCGCTCAAAAGGCCACTCCAGAGCGCTTGACCAATTAAGGATCACCATTGAGGTTCAGCCGCATCGACTGGCCTGCCAGAATTTGAGCGCGGAAGGCATCAGAACTGGGTTGATGTCAGTCGACACAGAATGGTGCAAAAGAACGTGCAACGGGCAGGGTACCACAGGTTTACTCCTCGTTGTCTCTCTTCGCTGCTACCTTAATCTTAACGCCAAGAGTTGGGGAGGGCTAGCAGCCTTTCCCATCTAAATACTGAGTTGGTGCTTTGCACGAAATACTAAAATGAACACTTTCGTCTTTCGCTGCTCTACGTGCTGTGATTGAATTGGGGAACGTCTATGTGTAGAGTACTGGTCAGGGGTTATTTTATACCGTATTGGGTATGGTTCCTCATATTTTTATAAGCGTTCAGTGGCTTGCGGCTGAGTAGTACGGCTCTCTGGTTGGTCAAGTTGGCCATGCGGGGGCAACCTGGAGTGTATCAACGAGGCGAACGGTAGTTCGTTCTCATTGGTAACCGTACACATATCCTGTCATTGGTATGGGAAGAATTAAAGGAATCGATAGTGCTATGAAGACGATGCTACTAGGTATGATATAGACTCGTAGAAGCACTAAGCCTCAAGCCTTGAGGGCACAAGTTTGGCGCCAAGATCTACCTTACTACACTAGTGCGCCCCTGGCCCCTTGCCTTGAAAGCGGCAATCCAACGACGCACGGCAAACTCCGTGTGTGAACGGTGTGTCGCAAAACGGAAAGAAAGAATAGAGCCGACGATGAAGAGGAAAGCAGACGACGACCCTTCCTTTGGCAACAATGTCAAAATCATCAAGACGGAGAAAGATGCCACTGCTGCTGACTATTCTCAAGATGTCAAGAAGAAGATCAATGCATCCAATCGGACGGGTCAGGCATGTGACCGCTGCAGGGTTAGGCCGCATACAATGCTTGTCAGAAGATTCTCGTTGCTGACAAAATCACTGCAGGTCCGGAAGATGCGCTGCGATGATAATGTGAATGGCTGCGCTCCATGCCTACAAAATCAGTCAGAATGCAAGACCACCGATCGAATCACAGGGAAAGCCACTGTCCGCGGATATGTCCAGAGCCTCGAAGGTCGCCTTGAAGAGCTTGAGAGCCACAACCGCTTACTACAGGCTCGGCTTGCATCACTTGGGGAGGATGTCGCAGACATCGAGCCGAAAATCAAATATGAGGACCCTGCGACCGCCCCCTTAGTGCAATGGCATGAGGAGCAGAGGTTAGGAAATCGCTTGGCATGGGACAATAATGGCAGAAGGACAAGAGATTCAGATCATGGTCGAAATCCTTTCGGAAGAAATATGGTCAATAAGCGAACGTCAATGGAGGGATCACCGAGCCGCCTTCCAGAGTTCCGCAGCGGGCTGGCTGGCAACAATTACCTCGGTGTATCAACAGGCAACTCCCTACTAAGCTCGATACGAGGCACTTCACTGAATGTGTTGGGGATTGAGATCGATCTTGCCGACTACACGTCCGCTGACCTGGACGAGCCTGACCCGTCTCCTGCTGGAACTAGGCCGCCTGTCTACAACAAGTCATACCGGGCTTTTGTCCAGACCGCCTTTGGTACGAGTCCCAAGCTTAGAAAAGTCGAGCTTCCTCCGAGAAGTGAAGGAATCAATTACGCCCACGTCTATTTCAGAGTAACTAATCCCTATGTACCGGTCATACACAAACCGAGCTTCATGGCTACGGTGAGTTTCTTCATATCGATTACGGTAGCTGTCCGTCGCTGACGCTCCAAAGCTCAAACGAATCTATGATGACCCGACCTTCCAACCATCCATCGCCGAGACTGTTATGGTACATACAATGTTTGCGATCATGTACTGTCAATATGCCACACGTGCTCCAGAAAGTGCCGACCATCAGGCAGAGATGAACCAGTCTTCGAATTTCCATTACCATTACGCTTTAGGATTCTTTGCTCAACTCGTGGCTAGCCATACCCTAGCCGACGTACAGGCTTTGACTATGCTCTGTCTCCATATAAGGAACCTGCCAAAGCCTGGAGCTTGTTGGATGATTACGAGTATCGTCCTGAGTCTGGCCATTGAATTGGGGCTGCATCGTTCCGCGAAACGATGGGCTCCGTCGACCGAACGGAGCATTCTTGAAATCGAGCTGAGAAAGCGGGTGTTCTGGTCGATTCTACTGATTCACGTTATGGTAGCAGGTAACCTGGGACGTCCAATGGCTTTGCGATCTGATGACTGGGATGTCGAGCTGTTCGAGGCCATCGACGACGATCTTCTTAGTGAGGCTGGAATAGATACCTCGAAACCGGGAAAATGCAACTTTCTTGTTGGCCATCAGGCTTCAAGGATGATCCCTATCTATATGGACCTCTACAACAGCATCTACGCCGTGAAACGATCGCCGCAAAATTACGTCAATACAGTGCGGCGATTGGAAGGACGTATACGTCACTGGATGGAACAGTGCCCTCGAGAATTGAGAGAGGAGTCCGCTTCTGACAATGAGCTGGGCCGAGTCCATTCTCAATATGTGGCAATATGGGGCTTACACGCCCGTCTGCTCCTCCGTCATCCGTCATTATCGCTTTCCACGTCTGCAGAGTTCAATAGCGAGAACCTCACCATCTGCATGGAGGTCTCGCAGAAGATGCTCAATCATGTCAAGCAGCTTCAGAGGTACATGAGCTTGGATGGCACCTGGCAAACTACAGCGCTTTATGTTCTCGCAGTTGCAACGAGTTTGTTCGGCCATTGGGAACGGAGAGATCAGATGACTCCAGTCGCTTTGGCTGCATTAAGGGAGGATATGGATTCATGGCTCAGTATCATTGGTGACATGAGCAATCTACTCGGTATTCATAGATCGCTGCACTCAAGATATAATCAAAGCTTACGCCTGAACAGGATCCGGTAGACAACTACAAGATGCAGTCCGAGTTCCCGTCGACAACACACTGAACGGTCTCGCCCAGCACCTCTCGGCAAGACCTCTTTCCTTTCCGGTCTCCGCCAGTGACCAATTTGGTTCACTCAGCAGGACTGTGACTCCATCGCACACGTCCACTGCTTCTACCCAGCCCAATGTCTACGAAACTTACCCCACTCCTAATGGCGTCGTGAATAGCCAAGCTCACGCCAACGCCCCAAGGAATATGTATCTTGCTGCCCCAAACACCAACGAACCTAATCACCCTCCTCAAGTCTTCCCCAACCATGCCCAATACAATTACAACGTCACGTACGGAAGCAGCCCTCCTACATATCCGTCCGCCCTTCCCGCCACTGCTGCCGCCACGAACGCTTATATGAGCGCCTACCCTAACCAAGGTGCGCAACATGCCCACGATTTTTCTCAAAACGCTACGTACGCCAATTACCATAGTCCAGGTAGCCCCACTTCTTGGCGAACATGGGCGGGAAATATGGCATCCAACCTCGAGCCAGGGCCTGAGTACATCAATTCTGCCTCTGCGCTCATGCAACTCGGTGGCCGAGGCGAAGAAAGTGCAGCGCAAAGTATACACTCGGGTATCCACATGCAGCACGGAAATGCTTTGGACGGGGCTACGGCACAGGTTTGGCCGCTTAATACTTTTAATAGTGGACCGGCGGGGTGAAACGGAACGGAGCGGCCGCACCGATGTGGGCGCACATAAAAAAATGTATCATATCACCGGTCATCACAATGTGGATGGGATTCGAGGAAGGCTATACCCCCGGGGAAATCGCGACTGGAATTTGATGGGTAGCGACTGTCTAGGTCGCGCTCGTGGTGGTCATTCTCTACAGGAAGGCTTTTAGAAATCCTTCATCCACCGCGTTACTGTAAGCATAGGAAACCAAGAATACCATAATATGATATCAGCGCCTAGAACAGTCGATGTGCCCTTTACCACATTCGCACATATCACGGTGGGGTGGTGCAGAAGGAAACATCCCGGATTCACCACCAATAGTAACGAAAAAATCCATAACCATCACGACTAACCCGTCTCGGTATTTGCCACGACCGTGAACCATTCAAACCTCCGCCCAGTGAGACAAATCGCCGAGAGTATTCCATCACCGAAAACCCCACCCGACATATCTCAAATACCTCCTCTGCCATCCCTTTCCGCCCTTCTTCTACTTCTCCCACGTACTAGTACGTAGTCCAGCCCGATCCCGACCTCGCGCCCTTCTTTTCAAGAAAACCCGGCCGGATCCCACATCGTCGTCAGGCGGCGGAACGACCCCCTTTCGGCGCAGCGTGTGGGCCGCCCCGCATCCCCCACTCGGGCTCCCTTGCGAGGGAGGGAGGGAATCACGCGATCGATCGGATCGGGGTTGGGGATACAGGGCATTTTGGAGCCCCGTGTGGGGTTTTCTCGGAGAAGTGGGGAGTGCGTTTGTGAAGGAGGGAGGGGTGTTTGTAGCCGGGAGTTTGCTGCGTGGCCGGTTTCGGATGGGGGCGTTTGGGTGCTTGGGGCTATGCGCGAGGGGTGGGTTGATCTGGGGGGTTTGGATGGATGGATGGATGGATGGATGGATGGATGGATGGAAGGGAGAAAGGAAGAAATTCTGTCCTTTTGGCTGATACTGGGGAAGTCTTGGAGCTTTTCCATTTCCATTCCCGATCCTACCTCGGCCGACCGGTTATCTTCTTGCTTGTTGGTCACACAGCATCTACGGCCTCCCTCCGTCTATGTCCTCCAATGAGGCTCCGTTTACTATGCTGCTTGGCCGGGGCCGGGCACGTACTGCCCACGCAACAGCTGACGTAGTTGACGTTGCAGCCGCTGTCGTTCGGATACGTATACGCGGCGCCCTGGCACGGCTCGAAGAACGGCGCCGCTGCCGTTCCCTCGGCTTGGTTGCTGGCGGAGAGGGGGTTGTAGCAAATGGGGCCGGGACCTTCGTTGGCGCAGGTGATGCCGTCGGCGAAGAGGGGGTGGTTGCAGCCCGTCACGACGGAGCCGCCGCAGGAGCACGTCATGGGGATCGTGTAGCCATCGACTGCGGTCGAACGTTGGCGGGAATTTTTGTGAAGTTGGAGGGAAAAGATGGTGGACTTACCGTAGCTGACGTCGATGTTCGGCTGATACGTAGGCGGGCTGAAACTGCCTTCGATCTTGCTACCACTGTTGATTACGGACATGACCTTGCCGACGGCAATGCGGCCGGCCCAGCCACTTGGGTAGATAATGGTCGTCGCGCCGCCGAGAGGGCCAGGCGTGGGGTTATTGATGGCGCTTGGGCTGCCAGAGTCGTGCTGGAACGAGATCGATAAGCCGGCACCGAAGGAGTTGGTGACGGCGATGGTCAAGGGGCCGGCAACTGCTGGTGCTGCGCCGACAGCAGGTTTAGGGGCCGGGGTGACGGTGGGGTCGAGAGCTCCACCGATGGCGGTGCCGAGACCGTCTTTGGAGATGACGCCTTCGGCTGCTAGGGCTGGGGATGCGAGAGCGAGGAGGAAGGGGACGAGGGTGTTGGTGAGATGCATGGTGGTGATGTTGGAGGGCGATGGGATCAAGGTATCTTGGTAGGACTGGGGTGTTAGAAGCAGAGGAGAGCGCTACTTGCATATTGAACGAATTCAAGAGTCGAGACATCTCGAGCGCTTTATATATAGGTTTCAAGAACTTCTCCTCGCCTCGCGTTGCAATGACCCAGGCCCTGCAACCGGGACCGGGACCGTTTGGGCAAGAGCACGAGGCGGAGTGTGAGCCTGCAACGTGTTTGCACCAGATCTAGCACGTATACAGCGTCTTTGACGATCAAGAAGCATGAATGACTGGATATCATTTCGTAATCGAAGAACCATTGGTCTTCCTCGCCGGTCCAGAACACTCAGATAACGCGGTCTTCTCTTAGGCCACATCGGAATACGCATTTCTTAGGCCATATTTGCACGGGTCCGACCTATTATAGCAGCATGGTGGCTGACCAATCGATTGAGACATTCACTTTCAAGTGACCGCAACATATCGAACGATAGGATGGCAATTGTTTGGTCTAGTCTGTACACGTTTTTAGCAGTCGGTAGTGATGCTTGAGCAGATCTGGAAGGTGCAGTAACATCAGAAGACTCCCTGTCTATAACGCTCGCAGAGTATCCTTGAGTTAATGGCCAGCCGAGTTTGGATATGCTCCGCATGACAAGATCTTGGTCAAAGGTTTGCTGCGCAATTTTCTGTTGATTCGGGAAACTCATTCGAGGCTGACTTCGATTCGATAGCTTGATAGAGCAGGAATGTAACGTGAAGACGTGATAGCTCCGGAGTAGTGTTTAGGACTGCTCTGGGCGTAGCTATGAAATATTTCCGTAGAAAGATCAAATCTGACTAGTTTCTTCGAACGGTGGGCAAGAGCAACATCTTGGAAGATCAAGGTCTAGGATTGGCGCTAAGGGGGTTGCTGCTTGAATGGCTGTTCGACAGAAGTGGCAAGATAGTGGCAGCGACCGAGATGGAAGCGGGCCCCCAATCTCAAATTTTAATCTTGAGTCTATCGCAGCACTTGCTCAAGAAGGAAAGACGGAAGACAAGTGCAGAAAGACGATTGACACATGGTGAGTCTCTCTGGTAGGCAGGGCGGCGGCGTAGCTTCAAAGGAAGAAAGGGTTTAGATACCAATCGAGTACTTGAACCGTTCCTGCATTAGTTTTGGAAAGCTTTGTGCAAGGGATGAGTCTTTTTGACCGTTCAGTAAATGTATTTTGGTCCGGAAATATTTGTTGAGTGGCTCGATGGAGTTGTCAACAGCTACTGCAATAGCAATGCACGGTCAAGTGTCTCCCAGGATTCTCATCCTAAAGGCTTGTTATGAGGTAAACAGCATGAAGAGATGTCCCAAAAAGAATGCGCAGACGGCGAAGATCCACCCATCCACACCCGTGTTGCAGGTTAGTTGTAACCGAATCCTAATAATCTCCGCTGCCATCTCATAGCTCGATTGCGCTAAGCAGGGTCATTGAAGCGGGTTTGGTGCTTTAAGTGACATTAACTACCTAGTCAAACTGCAACATAGTCCAAGCTCGGAGCCAACCCCGCTCGATAGGCGCTGAGCTTTTTTAAAATCCGACATGGACAGCTACGCTGCCTGCGCCATTTTGTCTAACGGTCAACAACCGTGTGCATACTTGTTCGCGAACCGGCACAGGAAGACATCCGAGCTCGAGGAAATCTCATAGTCAGCTGGAATGTTGCTCTAGGTCTGCATTCAGGCTACTCATTTGAGCGATAAGCAGGGTAAATACGGCACAGGAAAAGCCCCTCGTCTGCAGTTGCTGCCTTCTCATGAGTAGGCATTGAACGTCGACGGTCCGCATCTGACGCGTGCATAAGATCGAGAAAGCCATACTGTCATTCCGTAATGTTCAAAGTCATTTGACAATGGGATGTTGTAATGGTCTGCACGCTTGGCCAGATTGAATATATCTCGCGCTTAGCTCTTTGATGGTAAACGCGGGAAGCGCGCTTCCAAAGCCAAAATAACAAAGTAGACCTTGAGATCCATAAGGAACATTGAGCATTGCCCAGACCTTCGAAATGGCTTCCCTGCAGACTCTAAACCTGGCGCACCTGCCTCCAGATTTAGCGGTCCATATTGCACTGTACGCAGACCTACAGAATGCGCCTTTTCTGCGGGACCAATTACTCCAAGGCAATCCCGATTTTGAGTATGCTCTCATCGATGCGACTGTAGTGCGTAAGCCTTGCTTGCTGCAATTCTAGGTGCTGAGAATGCAATGTTAACGGTATGGATAGATTCTCTCCACCACACATGTGCTAGCAGCCGTCTTTAGAGCGGCGAACGACCATTTGAACGGGAGATTGAGGAGTCGGACCGTGCACAGCGAGATCGTGTTTAGTTTAGGGGCGAATAACAACGTACATCCTCTCCGTTATCACCCTAGATGGCCTCTTCGGGGTCCTGAGCGGCTTGCTGATTTCAGTGATAGATAGCACAATCCCTCCGCACATTCGGCATCACCGCTACTACCACAAACCTTCTCGCCATCAAGCTCACCACCAACCCTAGCATCACGGCGTCGACTGTCTCTGAGCACCTGACTGCCTCGGTAAATGGTACTCCAGTCGAGTTCAGCGATGCCACTCTGGCAAAAATGGCAGATGTAGGAAAAATCAGGAAGCTGTATAAGCTAAGTGGTGTCGGAGAAGCAGATTCAAAGGGCAAGAGGAGGCGGAAGGACGGGAGTGAGGAGGGCAGTGGGGGCGTCGATGGCGTAAAGGCAGGGAGTACAGGCTATGGTGCTGAGAGGGAGAGGAAAGAGCTCGAGGTTGCGATTCTGGGGTTGATGGCTTTGAGGGGCGCGGTGTGAAATGGAAGCTTGAAGACGAAAATTGGCTTTTAACGATTTACGAGCATTCAGTGGCTAGTCACCCTCTGCCTGGATTTTGACCTTTTCCCGTACGAGAGTCTGACGCAATGTGCGCGTAGAGTCGCGAGCCCAACGGCCCGTTCGCCTTGGAACACAGTGCTCTGCGGCCACATTAGGCCTATCTTCTGGTTTCTGATTTCAAAAGATGTCTTCAGCTATTGGGCGGTACTAGTACAGAGACGGACTTTGTAGCCGACGAGGCAGGTGGCAGGTTCGAGGGAAGCTTTCTTGAGACGAAGTATTAATTGTGTCGTTCGAGGCATGAATAAATATCTTGTGCGGTGGACTGCATTTTCTCCTACGGTCATAGCCAAGAGTAGCTAATAAGCTATCTGCCAGCGCTCCTCCGTTTCTAAAAGCACACTTGCCTACATCGCTGCTAGTTACCACCTCCCCCTCGCACCACCCCTTAGATTCTCCCTCCAAAGACAACAAACACTCCTTTCCTCACACCACTCCTTGACTAGACCTGGCCATACCTCGTCGTCCTCGCCCACCCTGTCCAGGCCTTCCGTATTCAACCATACAGTAAGATCTTCCAGGACGATAGGATCATACATCAGCATCTTCTCGTACCATGTCAGGTTCTTGACGTCATGGGTGGGTGGAAAGGTGGTGACAGCTTTAGTTATTTGGGAGAAGAGAAGAGCTCGGTTCTTGTCTTTGCTGGCAGTAGTAATATTAGTGGTCGAAGTTCCGAGCTGTTGACTTAGCTGAAGTTGGCCAGGTGACTTTGGAGGTGAACGCCGGCGCGGTGGGGAGGGAGTCGGTGGACTCGAGTCGTAGATTTCGTCGACTGCAGCTGATACCAGAGCTTCCGACAGGACTGCTTTCGATTTTCGCTTTCGTTTTGGTGGTGTCGTCGCTGTTGGATCTTTCTTGGGTCGTCCGCGAGGCTTTTTTGCCGGTACATCGTCATCTTTGTCAGCGGTCGCTGCTACCACGTCGGAAGTTTTAGGTGGCCTTTCTCTCTTCTTGGAAGGACTTGTTTGTTTCAACGTCTCAGTGTTGATGTTCTCGACCACGGGCGATGGAAGGCCCACGTTGGCTGGAGCCTCATGAAGAGTCATCGACATTTTACTTTCCCAACATCGTTTTAATAGCATGATCATTGCCTCTCTTCTCCTGATAGTTTTGAATTTGTATGAAGCAATCTCGTTACGTAATTGGACGTCAGTGAAGCCTTCATAATTGGGCATCTGATTCGTTGCAGGCTTTGCTATAGATGTTTTCTTGACGGGAGGTTTACTCTTTGGACGGTTTCTCAAACCAGCTTCGGCGACAGATCGTGGCATAACCAGGTCGGGCTCTTCTATTTGTTGCTGAAGGTCTGCAGTGTCTTTCAAATTGAGCTTGGGAGCAATTGACTCTACTTCGCCAATATGTGAAGGTGCGCCGTCTTCTGCTTTGAGCTGGGGTTTCAAAGAATCTGGCACCTTTGGAGCACTAATACGCTCTGTCGTAGCAGGGATCGGCTTTGGTGTATCCGCAAGATTCACTATCTCCGCTTCGACAAGAGAACCATCGATGTTCCGAGACGCCGCGGACCAAAGACTTTTCAATGCCGTTGTTGCTCGCACATTGGATGATCTTGGCCTGCCGGAAGGTAGATCCAGGAAGTCGTAATCTTTTGCCGGAAGTTGCTTTTGCTCCAACGTCGACTCTGAATCCTTCATGGCCTGCTGAAGATCTTTAATAAAGGTTGGTGATTCTTCACGTACGAGCTGACTGGATGTGCCAAAGATCAGCTCTTGATTTCGGGCATTCTTCATAGCCGACTCTGGCGAAAGTAGGACGGGCTGCTTCTGGACCGACTTTTTCGCTTTGCTCGTCTTTGGTTTCGATGTTGCCATTGTCTTCACTGGCGACCTGCATCTCATTGTCACAGGCGTGTCAGGATTATCAATTGCACCTCTTGCATGAATCACCGATTCAGCCGTGGGAGTCCCGAAATATTGCAGCAACGATGATGCAGTCATAGATCTTACTGGTGCAAAGGGAGCAGTAGCCTTCTCCGTGACAGTTTGCGGTTTCTTCTTGGGCGACTTGCATCTCTTGGGCTTCTCGGAGACGCGAGGCGTGGGCACGCCATTCACAAGCTCGATTTTCCTTCTCTTCACTATTGCCTCGCCGTTCCCTTGGCGAGTGCTTTCGCAGATAACAACCGAGCTGTCCTCTTTCTGTGCGAAGCCAAAGTTGCCCAAGAGGTTACCAAAACCAGCAGTTAGCGGCTGCTTCGCTAGGGTTTCGTCTACGGGAAGCTCAGAGTCGACAGATTTCTTGGGGTTCTCCGATACAGTAGGATCAGGAGCTGTATTTTTACAGGGCGTCCATTGCTTTCGCCTTGTGATAGCCTTCTCTAAGCATAAATCTCGGAACTCTTCCTTGGCTCTCAGATCCTCTTCTTGCGTGGAAGCAGGAGGTCTCGGTGGCGCAGGAACAACTTCCTTCGCCTTCTTTGTAGGACCAGCGGCCTTCTTACCAGCGTTCCCAGCGCCAGGTTTAGTAATCTTGGTCTTCTTGATAGTCGTTTGCGCCTCACTCTCGTCTTTGCTCTTTTTCTTTCGGCTCTTCTTTGGGGCGAGAATATCAGCGTTTTCAACGGCATTGGCTGTGCGGACCACCGCTGTCCGGATGACCTTTTCCTGACCGTTCTCCGAGTGCTTTTCGTGTAGCACTCTGGGCTTCCTGAATGCTGGTACCTTCTCCTTCTTGGCCCCCAGCTCCTTGGGCTGTTGTTCCGTAATCTTGCCGATACTCTGCATTTCGTATCTTTCTGAAGCTCCCAGTCCATTGTTACTCGGAAGGGGCCCCACCTCGTCAACCGAGCATGCTCTGCGCATTAACGTCGATGCGCTTGCAAACCCCGTCGCGGCATCTGTGGGGATCGGTGTCGCCCTGCTGCCACTCACCAGGCTTGGGCATATGACTGAGAATAACAGCGATGGAGAAGGTAGTCCCGGTGAGGAAGACATAGCCACGGCGGCCGCATGAGGTGGAGTGATTGCAATGGGGGAGCAGGAAGGCGAAGAGGAAAGCACGGTGGTGGCCATTACCCTTTTGGCGGAGCGCAACCCGCGCTCGAAGGAGATGAGACGCGTCAGGACTGGAGGGTCATTGGCTCTGGAATCCTAAGTACCACAGTACAGCAAGATAAATTGCACATGAGCGTGTGTAAATAGAATACCTAGTCGCAATGGAGTCAACACTGGGTCTCTCGGGTAATGTGTTGTATCTCGGTAATTGTTTGCTCGGATCGTTACTATGTCTAAGTCTTGGCATCCCCTCCCCCCCCCTTGGCGAGTCTTGGCACCTGCAGCTGCTCTCTGTCTCGTCTGCCAATCTTTGGAAGCTGGTCTGTGCACCCTCAAGCCTGAACCCACTATTATTGTTACTGAAATCTTTCCCGAACACTTGCGTCGTTCCGACTGCGGTCTTCTCCGTCATCATACATATTCAATTAATACATTGAACTGGTCTCTAACCCAAGGCTGGAGAGCAACTTGGAGCGCTTCAACTCAAGACGTTATCTAATCGTGTGCGGGCGTCGCGTATCCATAAATCTGATACACTCGTTTCGAAAGCCTACTTTGGCAGTCATTCGCGGCGGTTGTTCTCGCACGACATAACCTTCTTTGGCCTTCCTGGTATCTCAAGCGCATGCACGACATACCACTCGCTTTTGAATTGAGCGCTTACCACCCACAGCTGCGCCCCACCGAAAGTGAAGACCTTCAGAAACACGTGAATTCGACGAGCGGAAAATTTGATCCACTGAAATCTCCAACATACAAGAGACACGGTCGTATGCGACTGGATACTTGGAGTCGAGGGGTCTCGCGGAAAACAATAATCATTGCTGTCCACCAAAACGCACCTAAAACGCCGCTGCATTCTATCTTTGGCCCAGCGTTGGCCCATCTTTCCCGTCTCGTCAGAAGATTGCATTCAACTGGCCAGACGTTTCTGGATTCATATCGACCAACAAAGTTCTGCACGTGAATCTCTACACGCTCCAGATCGTGCATAAGAAGCTCAAATGTCAACAGTCTAAGGGATGCTGCCGAGTCCTCGGCGCTCTCCTCTCGTTTCGAGAGCAAGAAGGACCCCCACGCGTACCTGATTGGTGGCCAGCAACTTCGAAATGCGGCGTCACAGGGCGGGAGCCCCAACGTTTGCCAGTAAAGCGAACGCGGCTCCAGTCCCTGATGCCTTGTCGTTGATCAGGACCTTCAATTCTGAGACAAATCCAGCGAGACCCATTCGACCATCTCCTCTTACAGCATCGACTATCCATGGCATACCACTTGACATGTACGACCGCATACGAGCATTTCCCCTCTTTCTTTCTGCTCCCGACGCGTTCCTCGCTGCCATTGGAAAGCACCTGCGGCCTCAATCACACGCGCCTCATGACTACATTTTAACCGAGGGGGAAGATGCGAAGGCTATGTACTGGTTGGTACGTGGAGCAGTGGCTGTCACTTCAAGAGATGGGGAAAGCACATACGCTGAGCTGAAACCTGGGGCATTCTTCGGAGAGATTGGGATCCTGATGTCAATACCTCGGACGGCCACAATCGTTGCACGTACCAAGTGTCTGCTTGTAACATTGAAGAAAGAGGATCTTACGAAAGAACTCCCCAGATTTCCCGAGGTCGAGCGAGCTATCAGAGACGAGGCTTCGGAGAGGTTATCTATTCTGAAACGAAAGAAGCAGGAGAAGCTGGCATCCTCTCAATCCGAACCACCAGCCACCTTGGGACGAGGGGAGAAAAGAGCGCGGGATGGCGAAGACGGCGATATTGTCATGCCAGAAGCAGATGACAGACGGCAGAATGGGATACAGACTAACAAGAAACGAAAATCACCATCACCAAGCCTAATTGATACGACTGTCTCAAGCGCGCTTGGCGATGGCCTTGTGAACGTCCGACAACTTTTAAAAGAATTGCCTTTGTTTTCCGAACTACCTCCCGACATGCTACATTTCCTAGGCTTGAACGCCCAGCCATGTACTTACCCGCCATTTACAGACATAATTCAGCAGGATTCGCAAGGCCGCGAGGTATTCTTCATCGTTCGAGGAGAGGTGGAAGTTGTTGATGAGAAGGCCCCTGGGCAGAATTTACGCACGCTGGCCAATGGTGCTGGCCGAAATATCAAGCGTGGAACCCAGATTAAGGCCCGCCTCAAGCAAGGCCAGTATTTTGGAGAAGTAGTTAGCTTATCGCTAGCGCCACGGCGAACTGCAACCGTTCGCTCGGTGTCGTCGGTTGAATGTCTGATGATCACCGGTGAGGTTTTATCGAATTTTTGGTTGAGGTGCCCTCCAGCCGTGAGACAGCAGGTCGAAAAGACTGCGAGGCAACGGCTGAAGTCTGGCTCAGACGGTGACGTTATCATGACTGACGCTGAAGACTCTACGCCTCCTATCGCACAGCTCGCTATTGCCGAACGGACCAAACACAAAGGTGCGAGGAAGAAATCGGTCCCGAAGGTGACATTCTCACATACAAAGCTTGAAACACCTCGTAAGCCTAGCCGAATCGAGGACCGTCCAATCATTGAACCTGCTGATCCTGATCCATTCATGAATGTGGATCTCGACAAGTCATTCTCGAGGTCACGGCGCAGCTCACTCGCTCCACCATTGACAGAAGGCGAGGAAGGCGAAGGCAAAGAAAATATCGACCGCCGAAATTCACCACCCCATATCGTATCAGCGCCTGCCAAGAAGCTCAAGCATGCCATGTCGCCACCTGAGACAAGTGCAAAGCCTAAGCGACCGAACACTTTGCAACGTAGACCGAGCGAGTTCAGCCAGGGTACGCTCCCAGACAGTGTGTTGATCTCCATTTTCAAGTATTTCGAGTTGCACGATCTTATGCGTCTTCGTTCGATCTCGTTGCACTGGTCAAAGCTGCTCAAGGAAACTCCAGAACTCATACGAGAACTTAATCTTACGCCTTACAATCGCAAAGTCACAGATGAGGTTCTGGTCCACCGTATATGCCCTTTCGTCGGTACGAGGCCTCGAGTCATCGATATTAGTAATTGCTTCCATATCAGTGACGAAGGATTTGCAGCTCTTTCAAATACCTGCGGCGCGAACGTAACTACGTGGAGGATGAAGAGTGTCTGGGACATAACAGCCCAGGCAGTCTTAGAAATGGCAAACAAAGCTAAAAGCCTCGAGGAGGTGGATCTGAGCAATTGCCGTAAGGTCAGCGACAACCTACTTCAACGAGTTGTTGGCTGGGTGGTCCAAGGCAATCCACAGAACAATGCGCATGGACGCCACGCAGCCGCAAGATCTGTCGGTGCGCCCATACCTCCCAATCAACCTCCTCCTGGAACTGTTTTCGGATGCCCAAAGCTCAGAATCCTCACTTTATCCTACTGCAAACATGTTACGGACCGATCGATGGCACATATGGCTTATCATGCTGCTTCACGGCTTGAGTCAATTGATTTGACTCGATGCACTACCATCACTGATCAGGGATTTCAGCACTGGGGTCAATTCCAATTCACGAGGTTGACGAAGCTCTGTCTCGCTGATTGTACCTATCTGACGGACAATGCTATCGTGTATCTGACGAATGCGGCTAAGGGTCTCAAAGACCTTGACTTGGTAAGTAGCATTATTGAGATGCCTGGACTATTCGTTGACCACGTTCACAGTCATTTTGCTGCGCTCTCTCAGATACGGCTACCGAGGTCTTGGCCCTTGGCTGTCAGCAACTGAGGAAGCTCAACCTATCATTCTGCGGCAGTGCAGTATCAGACTCGTCACTCCGCAGTATCGGCCTTCACCTTCTTGAACTGCGTGATCTTTCTGTCCGAGGATGTGTTCGAGTCACTGGGGTCGGCGTCGAGGCTGTTGTTGACGGTTGCCACAAGCTCGAAGCGTTTGATGTTAGTCAGTGCAAAAATCTCAACAAGTGGCTCGAGAGCGGAGCCATGGAGAAGTTTGTGCAGCGAGTGAAGTTCGAGACGGTGGCTAAAGGGAGGGCCAAGGTCCAATGACTTTGTTTGCTGGTGTTTAGAGAGGATATTGGGGGAAATTTGACTGCATGTCAAGCCATTTGTTGCTGCATTTACAGCTGAAAAGCTTGCTTTGCTGTCTGTGAGCGTATGATGATATCACGAGATTCTTGGACATAGTCGAAATTTAACATCTTTTCTACGCCTCCATCTATTTTCTTTCACGCCTTACTTTGCTTTTAGGTACTTTGGAACCGATGATGGATTCATGAATAGCGTCAAACCTTGCCACGACATTCGCCCTAACCTTCTAATTTACTAGCGGCATTCTTAAACCCGCCTCTTCTTCCCGCATGTTCCTTCGTTGAACCTAACACTCTATACACAATCACCTTGAACTCGACGTACACAGCAGTCATCATGGCGTTCGTCCTTCGTCGGCCGATGTCCATCACCACATGCATCAAGCAGCTTCCCAAATCATCCCAAAGCACAAGCCGTGCATTCCATAGCTCGCCGAAACCCTCTACCTTCACCACCAAGTCATTCACGCCCATCACTGCCCTCACCAAGTCTCGAAATGCCTTTCAGCGATCCTTCCGTCGCACCTACATGCAGCCTGGCGGCCAGGTCGTGCGCCCCGACACCGGCAGCACGGCCCAACGGCTCCTCTACGGCGCCGCCATCGTCGGCGGTACGCTAGTCGCCACGAATTTCATGTTCAACCGCGAGACCCGAGAAGATGGCGGCATGCCACCGTACGAACGGGCGTTCCTGAACGAAACCTTCATGCACACCGGGTTGGGTATCGGGATCATTGGCGTGGCGGCCAATGCGCTGCATCGCAGCGGTTGGAGTTACAGACTCATGACTGCGAATCCTTGGGTCGTCATGGGCGTGGGACTGGCGGCGAGCGTTGGGACGATGTATGGGACTTTTGCTACGAGCCCTGATAAGTAAGTCTGGGTCCGCCGTCCGGAGTATGATGTCAAGCTAAAAGCGACACCAGCTACGTCCAAAAATATGCCCTCTGGGGCGGCTTCAACCTGTGCCAAGCCGCCATCCTCTCCCCTCTCATGTTCATGCAACCCGCCATTCTCGCTCGTGCCGGTCTCTACACAGTTGCCATGATGGGCTCCATAGCCTTTGTTGGTGCCACCGCCAAGCAAGAGAAATACCTCTACCTTGGCGGACCCCTGCTCGCCGGTGTCGCCGTCGTCGCTGTCTCGGGCCTTGCTCCCCTCGTCCTACCTGTCACGGCGGCCAGGACGCTGATGTTGACTGAGAAGATTTGGCTGTATGGTGGATTGGCTGTGTTTGGGGGGTTTACGCTTTATGATACGCAGAAGATTCTACATCACGCGCGCTTGGCCAATGCAGGGATGGTGAAGAAGGACGTTGTGAATGAGAGTATCAGTCTGGAGCTGGACTTTCTGAACATTTTCATCAGGATGGTGCAGATTTTGGGGATGAGGAACCAGAGGAAGTAGGAAGGGTTCAAGCCGGGGTTGACAGCGTTGCGGGGGCGGTTTACAGGCAGTGAGACTCATTTATCACATAGGGTACTAAAATGAAGACCATCCCTCTCATGCCATTCCTCTCATACCACATATTGCAATCGGTTGACTCCCTGCCTGCTGTACCTTGAATGTCGTGGATTTCACTGCCCCACGCTTCGGCCAGTTGCCAGGAAGACTAAAATTTATGCCGGCTTCAACCCAGAAATATACACCGCATGTACAGAATGGTCATCAGGCCAGCTCTATCGAGCAACGGACTCGGCCATGGACATTTTCGGGTACAGTTTCAGTGTCTCACTCTCGCCATTACGAATGTCGACTTGAATGCAGCTCTTTCCCTGGTAATAACCTCAATTCTGAAAATCCTCGACTTTCCCTCAAACCTTGAGCCCCTTTCCCGTGTTCGGCTTCGTGTCTGTGCTTTCCTATTGAGCTGATTTGGTTCGTAGGCCGGGGTTTGACTGGCTCTTGCTCTTTCATGCTTTGCATATGGGGAAGGGACGGCCCACCGTCGTAGGTACTTCATTTCCTCTGCGCCCTTTGTTTCTCTTCTCTTTTCTCTCTTCAAGCATCCAGAATGTCATCTGCAACAGCAGCAGACTGGATTACGGCTGGAGCCACAACGATGATAGCCGTCATGGCATGCATCACAGTCAACGGTACGTTCAATTTTTTTAAATTCCCGGACCAAAGCCACCCCCACCGACCCTCCTCCCCCGGTTGTTGTCTGGGGACTCTCGCGGCTGGAGGAGGTAGTTCAAAGGCAAGCAGAGAGGATCAAAGCGCTTGAAGCGCGGGAACGTCGTCTCGTCCATCTGCTTGGGAATCTGGCGGAGGCCCTGAGACCTCCTAGACGAGACTGACGTGCGACGTAGGGAGCCCTCCAGGTCGGGCTGGTTCAAAAGACCTGGGGCCCTTCGGGGTCCTCCAGCAAGCTCGCACCTCATCGTGGTGCTGGGGTCTAGTAACCTTTCGGGGTGAAGCCAACGCGAGCACTCGACTTGTCTCCTTCGACTCGCACGCCCTTCTTGCCCCTTCGCCTCAAGCTCACATGGAATAGTGGAGGGCCTGTGCCGAAGTATTGCGGATATACATGGGAATGCTACCGAAGGTGGAGGTAAAACTGTGGGGAGAGAGGGGGGTGGGTTTGCGCTGGCACAGATAATGCTGTCGATGCTGTATCTTGCATGTATCCATAGGTCTTTGAATCTTGGACTTGATCAATGACGAGGTTTTACCTTTGCTTACAATCAAGTGCCTCTCCTGTGATACAAGTCTCGGATGCTTCCATGCTCATATTTGAATTTCGTGCCCTTGAACAGGCCGTTCCCCTCATCCCAGATATGACTACGCCAGTATGGATCCAGGGGAGAGGTTCCAGCTCCAAGGTCCTGCCAGACATAAAGAGTCGCCTGCCTGTCTTTGATTGTTATCCGAAAATCGGTTGGACATCGATCGCAAGAATGTACTTCTTGGTGTGAGCCAAGCTGGCCGTCCGCGACATTGGATGCAAAGCGTATCGCTGCAAGCAAACGGTTATCGGGGATGAGAGGCCCACCAGCACCGAGATGCGGGCAGATTTGGAAATGTGCTCGCGAAAGAGTTGAAAACGATATTGGTTCCATAGCCGTGTAGAAGACAAAGATTGTCATCAAGATAAATCTGCCAGAGATGATTATTGGCTCCGCGCCAAAGATCAGCCCCATCGAATCAAATTGGGGAATGGAAATGACGAATCTTTGCAGGATGCTCGCGCGGTAGTCTTGATGGATATCTTTGAAACGGGTATACTTGATTGCCAGCTGCACATGACGAAATGCTATGGCGTAGTAAGGGATCAAGCGGTGACGGCTCCAAGTAGTCTCCAGCGCTGGGCATGGCTTATGAAACTTATCGTAGCCCGTGACAGGGAGGTCTTTAGGGTCCAGAAGATGCAATGAGCGGCAAGAGGTACACAATCGATGATCGGGTAGAACATCGCCCAGCGCAGCCAGACACTCGAGGCGCTCAACGGCGGTAGCTTGTCGGATAGCCAACAAACACTTGGAACGCAGCGTATACCACAAATCTCTGCATGTTTGAGAGAGCAACACTCTTTCCGGCAAGTGGAGCTCGTCAAAGATGTCATAAACGAGAGCGAGAGGCAGGTCCAAAAAAAGAGAGTTCTGCTTCACAGCTTTCTTGCTTGTCGTGCGTGAAAAAAAGGCAAGCAGCCGGCGTATATCCATGACGGGCTGCCAACGGAGGGTCGAGGTCAGGAATGAGTGATCAAGAGGTATGTACCATACTTTTGAAATTTTATGAGGAAAGCTTCTAACAAATCCGGTACTCAACGGCTAATCCTCAACAATTGTCTTCGAGACGGAGGCTTTGCATATAAAAGTTTCAAGGAGTCTAAAGCCTACAATCCATAAAGTATTAGCAAAGAGGAGTGAGGGATGTCTCTTGTCGTTTTGGACATATTGAGTGTCAAAGGTCCCCTAATCAGTGTGATGCCAAGGATTTTGCACCTATCACGCCTTTCGCTCCACTTCCAAGACGACCGAAATTTTGCGTCAACCTTACCCCACTTTAGGCATGTTTACTTGTAGCCATATGGTGAAAACCGCCCCAAAGTATTGTTCGCGAGACTCGGGTGGTCGTTACGATATGGAGGTGCTTGTTGGGTCAGCTCTCAAAGGCTCAGCTTAAATCAAATTTCCAGCAATGAAAAGCAACAAGGCCATGGTTGACAATCTATTGGGTCACGGCATCAAAACAATTATGATAGAGAAGTTCTACATACGGTGAGAATGAAGAACGATACCAATCAATTTAGTATAATCATATTCACCATTATTACACAGGTGCCTTAAGGTAAGGTACTCTGTCAAGAAACTTAGAAGGGCCATGCTGTTCCGGGGTGCTTACCGCGCCTATCGCCATTGATACTTACTTTAGATGACCACTACTGAGGCCGTGTATCTTACAATATAAGATACATGTTTTAAACGCATTCGGCATCTGGTCCAGTCGTCCTACTTGGTACAATTAGTTTGCTGCTTATAAGATAAGGTACTCTTCTAAGATCCTGCTGATCGACACAGAGATGTCCAGCCCCTCCTGCCACAATCACGCCCTAACAGGCTGCCAAAAATCCTAAATATGTCGAACAACAGAACCCCAAACGAACAAACCCCCCTCATCACCACCTTAGTCGTCGCCCCATCCCGTCCCCGCTATTCCCACAGCGCAATCCGCCGCTTTTGCACCATCGCCCTCGGTACTACCCTCATAGTCGTCATTATCCTTTTCTTGGTACCCGCGAGATATCTGCCGGGTAATAATACTGAGAGTGAATGGTCGCCAAGGCATCATAGCCCATACTTGCCGTGGTACTCACCATACGACAACCAGGGATTCTCGTACAAGGAATTGACGGAAGTGCTGCTGAAGACGCCGAAGCCGGAGAAGGCAAGGGAGTGGCAGCAGTATTATACGGCGGGTCCGCATTTGGCGGGGAAGAACTTGAGTCAGGCGGAGTGGACAAGGGACAGGTGGGTGGAGTTTGGGGTGGAGAGTGGCGTTGTGGACTATGATGTTTATATAAATTATCCGCTGGGACATCGGTTGGCCTTGCTCGAGAAGGCTGGGGCTGGTGAGAGAAATGTTGCGGTTGCTGAGAAAGATGAAGGAGGATCAGTGGGGAAGAGGAAAGACAGAGAACAAAAAAGGGGGTACAAGATCAAATTTGAGTGCAGCATGGAAGAAGACGTCCTGCCGGAAGACCCAACCAGTGGACTTGACAACCGTGTGCCTACATTCCATGGGTACTCTGCTAGTGGCAACGTCACTGCACCGTACGTTTATGTGAACTTTGGGACATATAAGGATTTCGAAGAGCTGCAACAAGCAAACGTCACTCTGGAGGGCAATATCGCAGTGGCCAAATACGGTGGGATCTTTCGAGGTCTTAAAGTAAAGAGGGCGCAGGAACTGGGAATGGTGGGTGTTGTTCTTTACACGGATCCGCAAGAAGACGGAGAGATTACCGAGGAGAATGGGTATAAGACGTATCCGAACGGGCCGGCAAGAAATCCGAGTAGTGTGCAAAGGGGGAGCTCGCAGTTCTTGAGTATGTCCGAATAGAGCCATTGAAGGATGGCACAGCTGACACGAGCCAGGTATAGCACCTGGGGATCCTACTACGCCAGGGTATCCTTCCAAACCGGGTGTCCCGAGACAGGATCCTCATCACGCTATTCCGGCTATTCCATCCGTGCCAATCTCTTACAAGGACGCTTTGCCGATACTCAGAGCGTTGAATGGCCACGGGCCAAGAGCGGAGGACTTCAATAAATTCTGGCAAGGAGGTGGCCTGGGTTACAAGGGTGTTGAGTATAATATTGGCCCATCACCATCTAATTTAGTCTTGAATTTGGTCAATGAACAGGAGTATGTTACTACTCCACTTTGGAATGTGATAGGCATCATCAACGGCACGCTTCAAGACGAGGTGATTGTCCTAGGTAATCACCGCGATGCCTGGATTGCAGGCGGTGCAGGCGACCCGAACAGTGGTTCTGCAGCCATGAACGAGGTAGTACGCAGCTTTGGTGTGGCTCTGAGCAAAGGATGGAAGCCGCTTCGAACCATCGTTTTCGCAAGTTGGGACGGCGAAGAATACGGTCTCATCGGCTCCACGGAGTGGGTCGAGGAGTACATACCTTGGCTCTCCAAAGCAGCCATTGCTTACCTTAACGTCGACGTCGCTGTCAGAGGATCTAGGTTTTCTGCGGCCGCTGCGCCACTTCTAAACAAAGCGCTCTACGAAGCTACATCACTGGTTCAATCCCCCAACCAAACTATCCCAGGCCAAACGGTTCGCGACCTGTGGGATGGACATATCCGCACCATGGGCTCTGGGAGCGATTTCACAGCCTTTCAAGACTTCGCCGGTATCCCCTCTGTGGATATAGGTTTCGGTGCCGGGCCTGGGGATGCCGTCTATCACTACCACAGCAATTATGACAGTTTTGCTTGGATGGACAAGTTTACCGACCCCGATTGGACATATCACGTCGCTATGACCAAGGTGTGGGCGCTTTATGCGGCGGCGTTGGTGGAGACGCCGGTTATTGCTTTTAATGCTACTGACTATGCCGTTGGGTTGGATACCTACCTCCATTCTGTCAAGAACCTCACTACTTCCTCCTCACACGGGTCGGTCCGCTCCCTGCCCTCCTTCACCCTCCTCGAGAATGCCATCTCCCGCCTACACAACGCAGCCACCACCTTCGACGCCCGCGCTGCTGCTCTCACGTCCAAAATCAGCGAAGGTGTGCCATGGTGGAGATGGTGGCTCAAGGCACAGCTTTATGCCGAGGTAAAGAGGGTTAATGAAGGGTATAAATATTTAGAAAGGAACTTCTTGTATGAAAAGGGGTTGGATGGCAGAAGCTGGTTTAAACATGTTGTTTTTGCGCCGGGCGTATGGACTGGATATGCTGGGGCGACATTTCCTGGGTTGGTGGAGTGTGTGGATAATGGGGATAGGGACGGCGTTGAGGTGAGTAACGCTCTGCGAAGTCTGTATGGAAATGTTGCTGACACAGATATTCTCATAGCGCTGGAGTCGGATTATCGAAGGGAACATTAACGCTGCTACGAAATCACTCAAATGAAGTATCCGATGGCTGGTATACATTAGACTTGATATATGGTGTATGAGGATCGACGTTTGGGAATGCTTGCTTACATGATACTCAAGATCACGGCTTACATCGGGTATCTACAACCTTTTGTAGATTCTGTTGCACCATACTTTTTGTACAAGCTATCTGAGATTTGACAGGTTGCATTGAACTTTCCTCCATGTATGTCTATTTGGGCTTGACAAGCCTGCGGGGCGCCTTGACCTACGAGCGTGACAGCAGGCGCTCTTCGCGATAGCACGAGGATCGTCAATACCCTGACAAGGCTGGTAGCTTAATCCATAACAACCCACAGCACCCCCCCTCAACACCTTCATCTCTGCTCCCTTTCCCCCAGAGCCATCAGGCTACTCGCCCAGTCTTCCGTTTCCACAAAGCACTCGTTCTTGGTGCACATCATCGGGCACCAACGGGCTTCGCACTCGAGTAGATGATGGGGACTCGGGGGATCGTCTTCGGGGCTGGGTTGACCGGCTTCCTCGACAGAATCTGACACACCGTCAGCATCACTCGCATCCTTCCACGGGATTGACGTGGTGTCTCATCTTTCATGGCTACGTCTTGGCTTTTGCCTTACCGCCCTGCTTCCGCTCATCTCCCAGACTTGGGACCAAAGACCGATCTCCTTTTGCGGTCCCATTGGCGGGCGGCGCTTTGATTGGAATAGAACGAAATCGATCCGATCACTCATCGAATCGAGATCCTACCAAGCTTTTTTCCCTTGCTCTTGATCGCGAATGCAAAATCTCCACGTCCAACCGCCTGCCGGCGGGGAATCTGTAGAGGATTGGACCAAATTTTGCTCCGCGGGCCCGAGGGTGTCACTTTGAGCGCCTCTTGGCTGGGGTGAGCCCGGACAACCTCGCTTTATTTGTTCGACGCTAGGTCGTTCAGGGTCTCCCCATCCTTCTGCACACCAACGAATCATCGGAGTGTTGGCCGACGGATTGAGCCGCTTTTGTTCGGCGTCGACCCATGCAGAATCTTCGGCCTCGTCACCCTTATGTCTCCCCGCTGATAGGGTATGGCTATGGAGTTCCCATAAACCGCGGCGTCATCCGATGTTCAGAGTTTATCCAGGTCGTGAATGGGATCGTTCGTTGCTTTCCCTCGACTTAGAACCTCGCCCTATCACTCCCAAATATGCTTATGGAACCCTGGTATGATCTCCGTGCATCCATCCTTCGTTTCGGTGACGGCCAACACGAATCCCTGGATAATGTTTGCTCCATGTCCGCTTTCCAGGTAACTAGATATATTCATGTCGACATGTTGGAAATAAGTGGAGTCCCCCGGCTGGATATATTTTGCATAATTTGGACATGAAAGAAAGACGATACTTCTTATCTGGGCGACAGCATACGTGTCATGTCAATGCTGCAGGTCCTCTCGGATGATTTGTTGTGTCAGTGAGTAGGACATGGTTCGAAGCCATCCTTGGTTGGGCTATCCGTTCCTCTCTCCTTGCTGGTGATGGCACATGTTGAATTCCTAATTAATCAGCTCGCTAATGCCGTCTTCGTGATTAAACCCCCCAATAATTTACACGCCACGCTAACTTGGAAATCACTGTTGCTCTTTCACTTGACCACACTTTGATTTCTCGAAAGATGTTAGAACGTCACTTTCGACGGACTGCCAACCGTGAGGTCCTTCTTCGATGGAGGCTATTTGACGACGTTCTTTGCGAACATTATTCCCCATTCAGCTTTACGCTTTTTCCTCTCTTGGTCAGGCAGAGAGTTGTTTGCGGTAGGCGTGATAGTGATCGTTGGAGGTGGGTATCCAATTGACAGGCATGTTAGACTGCGATTATACGAGAATGCTTGGTATTGGATGAATGCTATGGGAACTGAGTTTGTAGGAGTCGAAATGAAGAAGAGAACGTGCACAGTGTAACGACGTGAAAACGGGGGATCAAAGGTTAGATAAGAACCATGAGATCAGACTGAGGCGCGCTTAAACACCGTAACGACAGCTACAGGCGAAACCTTCCTCACACAGAAAGGAAGTGGTATCGTGGAAGTAGCGACGCCCGAACCATTCCAACTCATAGCGTGGAAGAGGATGAGTCTTAGTAATGACATGGCAATTATCAGTATAGCTCCCCAAGGTAGGCAAAGAATCCTCTCTACCAGCCTGTAGGAGCTGTGCTGAAATCGTGTTGATAACGATGAGGGTGACTTGGGTTGCTAGTTGCTGTGCGTACTCGCGGCATTCCTGTCATGTCCGTTCAACTGAAAGACTCTAGTATGCACAGGCAATATATTGTAGCAAATTGACTGGCATTCAGTGCTATGTAGAGTGTAGCTTGCTAAGTCTAAATATGCAGGGGCAATGTAGGTAGCAATGGTGCTTGGTAAGCACTCGCCTGTTCCTTTCTCAAATAGCACTTCCTCGCCTCTTCCTTCCTCAGCTCTCCCAAGCAAAGAAAAACCAAGACGCCCTCGTCTTTATTTGCCATGAGAGCCAGCAAGCAGAGGGGTGCTAGGGATTACGCCACTCAATAGAACCACGCCTGTTGTCACCTCAAGCAGTCGAATTGCAGGAGATAGACGAAGAGGCAGAGCACTTATGCTCTTTCTGGAATCATCGCATTGATCACAGATGATATTTTACCCCGGTATTGCTTGGAAGATTATAGAGAACACGGAGCAACCAGCTCTGTTCGCTTACGAACGCGAATGTATATGCTCCGAGCCTACCGAGCCTTCTCGCTGTGGGAAAGGTTTGAAAGAAAATACACAACCTCAGGGGGAACGTTAGGCTCATCGTCTACCTTGAAGCACTTCACGAGAGCATCATTGAGCTTTAAAGGACGGTAGACAACAGGATTAACTGAGACATTGGAGTGTCTCGTAGCAAGACGGAGATGCCGCGAAGAAGCCGGCGCGGTATGATAAACTACTGTTTGAAATACACCGGATCTTGGTAGGGTTTCCTTGATTGAAGTCGAGATGTACGTTCGTCTCGAGCTACCACCGGTTCCTCCCTTGAGATGTTTTGAATACATTCAAAAACTGAGTGGATCAATAAGGGCGCTTGTAGTCAAATGTCAAGGAAGAAGGCTGCGATTCACGAGAAACTTTGATGCCGATCTAAATTTCATGGTCAAGCGAATCGCTCCCATCAGTTCGGACCAGTTGCAGTATACGCTGCAATGTAATGACTGCACAATCTCAACTATCGCGCCAAATGCTTAAGAATTCCCACTTGCCGTCCTCCATGAGCTTGAGTACTCGATCCTGCTCATCTCGCACAGCCGTATCTTGTCTTATGTTGAGCGTGAAATTCCGCCACGACAGACGTTGACGACCGGTGGACCATTAATTGTCGTATGGACGGACTGATGGCTAGACTTCCATTGGGACTAGTCCTTATTGGGCAGACTTCTTGAGCTCAAGCAGGCGTGCCCTCACATCAACTGGCTTGGCATTCTCGAGGCTTTCGATGCCACTCTTTGAAGGGAACATCAGGTTGTTCGACAGGTGAGGTGTGGCATGGTCGAGTTTGGCACACCTCACAGGCGCTCAGGCCTCCTAGAATTGCTTTTCATGCAGTCGTGGATACAGGTACCCGCGTCGTTTTAAGTTCTCAGAAAGACGTCGACGCGTGTATCGTGAATGATTCGTTCAGTACGCCAACACTTGGAGTTTAGGCATGGTGATAACCAAATGGGTAACACACTCCTGAAGTCTTCCCTCTATTGAGGTCTCAGAACCATCTCTAAAGCAACGCTTGCCCCACGGCAACGCAACACAATGCCCTTTGTACCCGACACATCGATCAATTTATTAGAATTTGAGTGGTCAATCGCCTCCCAAAAACAGCATCAATAGCCTCGAGGTGGGCTTGTTGAAATCAACGAACAGAGTGGCTTGTCGGAGGAGCTGTGCAAAAACAGTGTGAGTATGCTAGTAGGTATGAAGGTCCACCATAGCAGAGCCAACAGCACCTGCTCTGAGACTCATGTACCTGATCCAGCGTGGGTGTCGTCGATCAGGATCTTGAAAAGCTAGGGACGTTTTCAGTGGTGTAGCTCTTTCGCATCACAACTGTGCACTCTTTTGTACTCGAATCGAGACCACTAACTTACTGATGATTGTCATCATGTGGTACCAAAGAAGTGAGGTTTTGGACTTTAGGACCTGTCTGGGGTCCGGAAAGATCCTTGTTGAAAGGAAAGGAGGTGAACTTGAATGCAGGACAAATCCCACTGAGTCTAACAATGCGCGCTTCTTTGTCGGCCTGGCAAAAAACGAAGATTTGAACACCGGCTGAGATCCTCTGACGAATAGCTCCACTTTGTGATCTCGTGCGAATTTCCACAGCAGGCTGTTATCCCACACCTAAGTATCAGTCTGAGGATCCATTCCTACCAGGTAGTAGTGTTCATCGTAGAGGACTGATGTTGACCCATTTGGTCATGCGGCCACTGTCGTGTTGCTCCAGATCATAGATATCATATCATATCAGTCTCTCCGCAACATGAATGCTGAGCAAGACTTGCTTGTAGCTTGCTAATGACGAGTCTGGGAAGCTGGAAATTATGAAGATACAAGGGGGGAAAAAATCGAGCATGTGCAATAGTGAAGCTTGGTGCTTGACGCTCAGTATCATGAGCTCAAAACTCACAGCAGCCTCTGACCATGCACTTTCGGTCGTTGGTAGTCTGGACGAGGCAAACAGTCTTTTCTCTTTCGCAAGATCCACGAAGCCGGAACAAGGGCATGGATCTGAGCCGGAAAGGAAAACAAAGACAGGAGCTTAGAAAACCTTGGCCATACCTTGCTGCTCTACAGCCTCTTAATCCTTTCGCGTTACTGATGTTTTGGTTTGACTTGGAATTTTGCCAGTCGAGGATCGCATCGTAATCCAACCGACGGAATATATCTTCGCTCATAAAGAGCTCATCACCAGTCTCAAGTCCAAATTTGGTGAACGTCAAGCGAAGAGACGCATTTGTCCGATCTGCTGTAAGGCCGAATTTCTCTTGCTTTGAGGTAACCGTGAGATAATGCCATTTAGCCCATAACCAGGACTGGAAAAATCCGCTCCATTCGTACAGATGAGCGACATCGGATGCGCTTTCAACCGACCACAAGTACTCTCAGAGCGTTTCGAGGAACTCAGCGATCTCCGGACAACCAATAGGCTTGGACCATCACTTCCGGCGTTCTTCCGCAGTCCAGCTCTTCTCCGTTATATCACGGATGTCTTGAAGCACCTCCGCCTGTCTTTGCTCAATCTCTGCATCGATTTTGACAATGTATCTACCCCATACCGCCTCACGCCCGGCTGGTAATTTGTCACGCAGTGCCTACAGGACAACCTTTCTATCAAAGGTCCTATCAAGCTCTGGCAGAGCACTAGTCGCATCGGAGCCTACTTCGTAGTTAATATAGAGTTTATAGCCCAGGAAAGTAATCACGTACCGGAATGCCATAAGAGTCTTGCGTATTATGTTTGTCTCTGCCAGGATGGGCTTGAAGTAAGACCCACCCACGGCCTCGACGATGTGTGTGTAGGGGTGGCCGTTTTGATGACTATTGGGAGCCAGTGAATCTTGCATTTGAAACAATTGCTTGACGCTCGACGATGCCCTTTGTTGGATTGTCATTCTCCCCATCAGAGTCGCAGCAGTCTTCATCTGCACCGTACTCATTGACGTAAGTACCGTCAGTAACAGTCCGTTGTCGGCGCCTTGCGTGTCTCTGTCACGGAGATCACTTATTCGAGCCTCAGACTTTCTTTCGCGTTCGAAGGGGCGTTGAGATACTCGTAAAGGTAGACGGAGATGTCGATAGAATGCATTCCGAGAATTCAGTGATCTGGATATTGGAGATGAGTTAGTTGGGGACCGAAAGCTATACATCGGTGTTGGTATACACAGATTTGCCGGGTAAAGCCCAAGATTGGTGTCAGTAGCCGAGCATGTTTCTTATGCAAGTGACGGGCAATGTGTACGCGTGCCCAGCCAGCACCACGTTGAATCGCGCACACATATGTAAGACAAAGCGCATGAGGTATTGCCATACATCGTGGACAGTACTACGCTTCTTTTTGCAAGGTCTCCTCCAGCCTCTGTAGCTCCTGTGTCTTCTGCAAAAGGGCCTCGAAGCCTACTATAATCTCTGCTCCCTGATCCTGTACCATCCTCCGTTGCTCGTAGAGTTTCAGCGCTTTTTGTTTATCCTTCCTCTTTAGCTCTATATCGCTTATTAATTCTCCAGTACGCTTGTCCTGCGCATCAGCACAGTCCTTGCGACTCGCTCTTCTCAACAAACCATCTCTTTCGAACTCCATTGCTTATCAAGCTGGACTAGACAGGTGACGATGTTTGTGAAGATTTTGCGAATTCAAACACTTTCTGGAAAAGGCTATGCCAGAGCCAGGATTTCCAAGAAAATGAGTATGTCTCACGTTCTTGATCCAGTTAGTCCTGGTGTAGTCGCATCTGAGCTTGAGACAAGGTGACACATCTGAATTGCGAGGCCATAGGACTGATAGATGCCTGACGTCACAATCCACACCAATGCGTTTCAAAAACCCGAGGCGTATGCAATGATTGCAACAAGACATGACTTTTCGTTTGCTGTGAGTGCTTCGATCCTGCTAACGACCATCCCATAGACAGCTCGACAATCCGACAGCTGATTCGAGAAGGCCGGCGAGATAAGATTGGAACCGCGTTGGAGATCAGGATTGCACCATCCCTCCCTGAAGTCTCGCTGAGGCGGTGAGGGGGTCCTGATGCGTAGCAGTCTTCATGTCATGCTGCTTCGTTGTGGACAGACTCTGGAGATTATCACCGATCATTGCCAGGTACTCCTTGTAGTGGTTCTTATTGATCTTGTCCTTGTTGAGAGCCTCGTACTGCAAAAAAAGACAGCTTCGAAAATCAGGTAGAGAATTAAAGAAAAAAGGTGAATTGGGAACACCTGGAACTTCTTCTCAGAAAGAAGTCTTCGTGAAAGATGAAAACAGGGAGTCAATGTAACTGCAAAAAATGACTCGAATCACTGCTGTATTCCACAGCTGACCAACCCACCATTGACGACCCGGCTGTAGCGAAAACCACGCGGCGGTGAATGTAGTGTAGAGAAGGGCGGAGGCTTCGAGAAGATCGAAGGCTGACCGGTGCACGAGGTGGGAGAATGGAACAAGTCATGGCTGGAATCGAAATCGATTTCAGCTCTCATGACTACGAGAAGCTCGTCATACTTTGCTTTGCCCCTCAAATCCAAGACACTGCTATGCATCTTCATGTTTCTGGCCGCATACGCTTCAATCTTGCAGAGATTTTGCTCCAAATTGGTGTATTTCCTTAGCGGCGAAACAAGCGGCGAGAGGAGAAATCGCGGAGCGTTGAAAAGAGGAAAATATTCAACCGGAGGAGGATGTAGGATGAAATGGTCTCACCAATACATGTTGCCTGCGCTCAGGCAGATCTAGAAACGTTAGCGGCAGTAAGCGGGAATGGCAGTAGTACTTACGCTGTCTTCTCAGCTGAAGCACCAGCACCAGCCTCAGTCCCCTTTCCCTTCGCTTCTCCCTTGGCTATCTTTTTGCGTTTCGGACAATTGTGTCCCTGACCTTTCTATCTAGAACGGCAACATCACATTCTCAGTTTTCGGTAGATCGTTAAACTCAGTTCCAGCATCGTCTTTCTTCTCCGTTGCGTCATGTTGGGCTTGTACGCTTTGGATCTTCGCGCCGTTGGGCAGCCGTGGCCCTTCCCTTTCGATGTGCGAAACGCAATGTCGCATTTCATACACATCCGACAGTGAGATCCGTAGAACCGCTTCGATCGGGTCTCGTAGGCCTTGTTGTTCGAAATTCTGACCGAGACTGAGATATTTGATGCGTGTTCGAGAGATGATAGATGTTTGCAGAGAATGAGTTGTTGAATCAAAGTCGCTGTTGAAAAGTTCTGGCACAAAGGTGAGCTGCCTACGAAATTCCCAACGGCGAGGGTCTGGTTTTTCATGGTCAGACGCTCGTGAGGCTTTCATACTTCTCCAGCTGCCAGATAGTATGATACGAAAGAAACTTGCACAAAAAGCTCCCAGGCATCGATTTCCGCATCGCTGAGCGGACTTACTTCTTGCAAAACCACACCGCTCGGCTGACTATTACAAACCTTGAATAAACCCTAGCTCTCTTTTATATTGAGTGCTAGCTTCCTTCAGGTGATGTTGAATCATACTGTATTTGATTGAGTTCTTGTCATTCCCCCTAAGCCTAGCAGTCAGATGGGTAATTATATTTTCTGTAGACGAGGCAGGCAAAGTACGTTGGCGTCCGGCAATGGTGAGTGCCTCCGCAGTAGATCCCCTCCTTCCATGGCGGATGAAGAGATGTCGGACTCTTTTTGATCTGACTGCGCTGAACGATAAAGTCTAGTAGATAAGGATCTGCTGCATACTTGATCACGTTCGACAACGGTGTTAATAGTGCATCGTGAAAAAGTGACGCTTGTATTACCGCTTGAGTTTGCAGTCATGATCAAGTCTGGAATCAGCTGACGAAGGAGGTCATCATTTGAACTTATTTTTATAGTTCATCAAATCATTTTCTAGGAGCAATGCTACACTTGCTGCGATCCTCGTGAAAGAAAGTTGTCATCATGAGATTATGCGGTGAAAAGATTGCCCAAATAGCACTGAATTTATTTATGTCAACAATGCGTGTCTCATAGCGAAAGAATAGAACGTTGTCTGTTGAAGGTTCTGGTACCAAAAAGTGGAGTGCACAATCTTGTAAAAGCGTGAAATGAAAGCTTGCGTCAACTGAGAGCGTCCGCATGAGGTGAAGCGCAGACAGCCCGTCCATTCACTGTGTCACTTGAACAAAGGAGACTTGTGAATTGTAGCCGGGATTCATCGAGTAGAGAAGACCGGGATGTGGACACACATGAGCCAGTAAAGTTGCGCAGCCATAGATCAAGTAGAGCACACTACACACGAGCTTCAAAGTTGACGCAAAGCAGGCTGATTTCTTTGGCGGATTTCTGGTCCATGGCAATGAGCTCCAGGTTCTGAAATCAGTTCCGTCACTAGGTAGTGGGCCCATTCACTCTTCGTATCCCTTTTAAAATGGACCGCGTTGGGCGAGTTGTCGATGGCTTCCCAATCAGTAGCTGTGTACCAGGCATGTTCCTTTAGGGAACACTGTATCACCATCACACGGATGTCTCACCCATCCCTGCTACTGTCTTTTCAGTTCCCATTGCCACCGCCGGCTCGACTGCTTCGACCTCTGACACCCAGCGCCCTGGTGCCTTCGCCTCAAAATGTGGTGCTATTGCCTCCATCTCTACCACGAATGACGAATCCAGTATGGGATGATGCCCATCATCCCAGCTTTTCTTGCTCGATAATGGCAAGACGGTGGCTGTATCGCTTGGTCTCAACGTGCCCATGAGTAGCTTTAAGCCTTTTGTGTGGGTGCTTTTGCGCTTGCACAGTTGCTTGAACTTGTCGGAGATGAATGCCACTATTGGGCGGAGGGACGGAAGACATGCTAATAGGGGAAAAGCGACTTAATATTAGCTATTTCGTGTTTCTCCTTACCAACAACCCCCCCAAAGCGATCGATGAACAGCAGATGAGTTGAAGGTACTGACCACAGACGACTGACATGTTAACCTCGACACCTGTCCAGATGAGAATGTTTGACAGGTTGATGGTAACATCCGCGGGTTCCGCATCTGCTTTAATGAGATAAACTAAGCGGACAATGGCGACAATCGTGACGCTGCAATTCGAACAAGGTTCAGCGAGGACACTTTTATCTTACTCGAGCGTAGTCGAGCTACTCCGGGAGCAAAGGGGGGATCAAGAAACCTACAAGCCGCCCAAACCAAAAATGAAACTCAAGATTGCTTTTTGTGATCGACGCATTTGGAGTTTCCAGATCAGTGGCATTGGGAGACTGATCAAGGCTATGTCGGTGATGATGTGCGGTATCGAGGAGCCAACAAAGAACCAATAGGTGTTGTTGACGCATCGACCTTCACTCCAAGGTCTATGTCTAGGTGAACATTGAAAGACTGTCGCGATTACCTAGATGGACGAAAAAGTTTTGTGAGCGCTGTGTTAAGCTTAAAGGTTGATCAAGGGACTGACACTCACCACAACGATTCCCCAGTTGACCATCAGCGCAAGAAAAGCCCAGACGCTAATTCGGAATGATCGACCATAACTGCTGAAGAGACGCCAATAGAAAGCTAGAATAGAACATTTGACCATGCAAATGGAGATAGGCCAACCAATCTCCGAAATAAACATGCCCTTCAAGAATGTATCTAATTGGTTTGGTGACAGGATGTAGACGTTCTGGCCCAGCCCATGCTGTGTCACTGTTGATTAGGCGTAAGTGTAAGCTTGGGGCTGCTCATGGAGCCAAGGATGACGTGACTAGGTCACTCACTCCAGATGGCAGAGGCAAAGCATGTCGTGGCGGAAAGCTAATAAGCACACTGATTCAACTCTTGTGCCCTTACTTTTGACAGGCAGGAGGAGATATGAAATCTAGGATAGGCATACAGTGGCTGGTATTATAAGCCAGTCATCATACCAGAGACCGACTTTTGAAAGACGGCGTGCCACGAAGCGAAGAGAAACGATAATGAGCATCAAGGACCACGTAAATACGACAGTACCGCGTATGTGGGCTTGTTCGGCGGAATGAGTACTCGAACTGGCCTTGGGTACACTGAAAGAGTCGGACAAAGACATTGGAGTGAATGTGGTAGTCTGCGTACTTCTTGAATCCTCTTGGTGTGAGAGTAGTAAAGGTATATCAAGATGAACAGAAACTTGTGGGAAAGCTATAAAGGCAGTAAAGTCCTAATCATGAAACCTGTGAGGCTGAGCTAGGGAGTAAAACGCAGAGTGGCGTCATGCATGCATGCAGCAGGACTTCAGGACTGTAGGATTGCAGGTACGAAGGAGGCCGGGAAATACCGCGCGAATCAGTTGCGATGGAATTAGATACGTACATCGATGTTTGAGGCATGTCGCAAACATTCCTTCCTTTGTTCAACCATTGTTGGTACTGTTCAGAGGCTATCTGAGAACAGTGGCAGTCTTTGAGGGGCGAAGATCTGCTTGTCTTCACTTCGATTCTGGTTCTCGAACCTAGAAATCCATTCTTCATGATTAGAGGAAGCATGCAAGGACAGAAAACCCTCCTTTTTGGTTCTCCTCTTCCTCTTTTTCCTTTCTTTGAGGAAACTGAACTGCTTCCATTGCCACTTTTTAAGCCACCTCACAACACATCATACACACCACACCGATTCGGTCTAGTCATGGGTATATGAAGGCATTCTCTGTACATAGATATCCTTCTTTCTTAGACATCATTAAGACTATCATATCTAATAATAGGTCTTATTATAGTAGTAACTGCATACCCAGGTATTTATTAATACTAATCAATATACTTCAATACTAATACATAGATTAGTAAGGCTATACTCTAAAGGAAGTTTATCTCGATATCGTCGCGATACTTCACACGATTTTATATTACTTAATCGATTTCGCTTATTGTAACGATTCGATTAAATAAAACTATAATTTCTATAATTTCTATAACTTCTACTCAGCAGAGAAAACACCTAGAAAAAACTAAAATATCATTAAGCTTCATACTATATTAACATATAATATATACCCAAAATGAACTTCAAGGATAAGAAATTTAATTCTTTAGAGATATCGCTAGATATTAAGCGTAAGTTAGAGGAATTACTAGAAGCTAAGCTATTAGATATTAAAGAGAAGCTTTAAAAGTTCGTTTATTAGAGGGTATAATAATATATAAGATATAAATTTACGATACTCTCTAACGTCTTTATTAACGACTTTATTTTATATATTAGAGAGAACTTCGAGATTCTTAATAAGAACGTTATTACTAGTTTATAAGATTATCTATAGGTTAATAAAGCCTATATTAAGAAAGAAAGAGAACTTTTAATAACTAAAGAATTAGTAGACGTAATTAAGAAAGAGATTCTATAACTATTAAACGACGAAGATCGTCCCCTATTAAAATCATCTTATTACTACTCTTAATAATCGTTTTAATTAATATAGAAATAATAGCCTTATCGATCGAAGAATACTATTTCTCTCCCCCCGTAACCGCCTTATTAATCGGAGAATTCTATCTTAATTCTCTCTCTAATACCAGCTTACGACCTAAATTATCGAGTCTTATATCTATTACCCTCGCCTTATTAAGTTATTTAAAACTTCGATATTAAATAAAACTATAATTATAGTAAGAAACTTACTACTCTAATTAAATTATATACTAGCGAGAAGAAGTATAATAGAAATTCTATCGAGAGTCTTAGCTATAAATTTATAATTTTTATAGATCTTTATAAGAGAGCCGAGATCCCCTAATAGATTCTTTAAATAGTATTTTTAACTATACTAAAATCAATAGTACTAAAATACTATTACTCTAGTTATTAAGAGATTAATCTTATTATTTAATAACTCTTTAATTAATTTTAAGACTATTTCGAGAGAGAAGAATATCGTTATCTTATACTTTATAAATAGAATAGTATTAATCTAAGAGGCTTACTTCGAGCTAATCCCGAAAAGAATAAAGGGATTATCTTTAATAAGATAATTTAATAACTTCGTTAAATTTAAAGAGGGCTAGACTACGAATTTCAGTTAGATATAGTACTTCGAAATAAGATAGTTACCTCTTATAGTAATATTTCTATATATAGTATTATAATTCTATAATAGACGACTATAATTACGGGGCTAATTAATAATATCTATATTATAATCGAGAATTACGAAGAAGCTATAAAGATTAAAAGATTCGAGTTATTTAAATTTATAATATACTTTACTAATTAAAAGTATTATATTAATTAACTTTTAAATTAGCTTTTAAATTAAGGTAATTATAGTAGATCGTCTTCGAAAATAAACGATTTTTAGAAGTGCTATATCTATGAAAAGATACGCTATTAATTAATTAAGTATATTAATAAGAAACGCTAGAAGTCTCGAAATAAGTTCGCTAAGCGGTTTATTAACTCGATTAATAAGCGATATAACTTCTATATTTAAGAGTTTAAAGATTAGAAGAATAAGATCGAGGATTTTAAGGCCTTAACTCTCGACGTTTAAGAAATCGACTTAAAAAAGATTAAAAACTTTATTATAACTACTTTTATAGTTATATCGAACTAAGCCTAAGTACGTTACTTAAAGCTTTTTAGCTATTTTATATATTATAATATTATTAAGTCTAGTAGCTTTCTTAGTATTAGTCGATATATCTTAAAATAGTTTTATAATATTATACTAGATATCGAAGTTATATATATATTTACTACTAAATATAATTAAGTAAAAGTCTATATAAGGGAATTTAATATATAATTGAATATTACTATTAATAGTATTATCGTCTAATTTAAAATTAAGACAGTAGCATCAATTAGAAAACTTATAGTAAATTCGTCTATTAGTCGAGTCGACTTTCACGTAATATAGACTAATATCTTATTTTTACTATATATTTAAGATATAGATAGACTAGAGATCTATCTAAATAATCTTAAGAATTAAGTTATTTTAAGAAATAATTCTACGATCTTAATTATTCGCTTTTATAAATATCTATTTTTAATATAGAATTTTATATTAGTTAATTATCTAATCGATATCGAGTTATATTAATTATATCGTCGATTTAATTATCTCTTAATTAATAGACTTATTTAAACTCTAAAGAAAGCTAGCTATAACGACTTCGAATATCGTTATATACTTAAACGAATTATCGAGTTCTATATACTCTATTAGAAGCACTCTCGATCTCTAGACCGTTTTAAATTCTCACTTAAGGATAAGAATAATATCTATTTTAACTATATAATTATTATCGACGTTCTCTTTATATTAATAATAATCTAATTCTATAAGTTATTAACGAGAAAACTTTATTTTAGATCGCTCGATAACTAACGAATATAACTATCTTCTATATATAAAATATACTTAGACTATACTAAATAGACGTATATATTAAATCTTTAGATATTATTATTTATAACGCTAAAACTAACTTTAATAATATCGAGTTTAGATAAAACGCTAGAACTCTAAGTATTTAAACGAAATGCGTATTAGTTAAAGCCGCTAATTCTATCGATTTAATAAAACGATATTATACTTTATTAAGACGAGCCTATTTGATAATTACTACGAAATTAAAGAATTAAGATATTAAAAAGAAGATTCGCTTATAAATAGCTATTAAGGCTATTAACGATATAGTCGAATATAACGATATTATTCTTATATTACTAGTTTTTAAAACCTTCCCTCATATTATAAACGACGATATATTTACTTTATCTATTATCGAGAGAGTAAAAGCTATTAATATAGTAATAATTAAAGTTATAAAACTCTACGCTAAGAGATAGATTAATAACGTCTTATATTAGCGAAATAGTTCTTAGACTATAAAAATATATAATACTTTAATTAATTTCCCGATATTAATATAAAGAACGTATTAAAAGAAGTAAACCGAATTATATAAATTACTAACTACTTCTCGAGAGATATATATCGTTAAATTACTTAATAGTCTTATAGATTTTCGAGTTACTATTATTAAGCTATATTTAAAAGAAATAGATACTTTAATCGAGTCTCTTAAGTTTCTCGAATAAGAATCTCTATAGTTAGACGATACTTAATATAAAAATAATAATAATTAAGATTATTAAGACTCTTCTTAAAACGCTTTACTACGTTATAACCCTTCTCGATAATAATATATTTCTATTTATTTTCGAAACTCTATTAATATTACAATCTATATATCTAAGTTTATACTATAATTACCTTTATTAAACTTTTAGATATCCCAGCAAAAAGAACTTAGTAAATTACTTAAAAAGAATATATTTAAGATTATAAAGATCGAAGATATTCTCATAGAAGTATGGATATTTAATAGTCGTTTTATAGACTAAATTAAGAATAAGAATATCGAGAAAGTCTTCGAGAAGTCGCGATTAGTAGTATAAGTATTTAATAACTCGAAGAAGTATAGGATTCTTACTTAGACCCCTACTATTTAATAAGCTAGTTAATAACTTATTATCGCTCTATTATTAGCTATCCTATAGCTATCTCTATATCTACGCGATATTACTTAGATATATATATAATCTTAATCTAAATTAACTAGAGATATCTTTATTTTTATCTTAGCTGAAATAGAATTACTATCGAGAATAATACTTTATATTATTCTCCCTCTCTATGAAATTACTAAGTTCGATATTTACTAATTTTAGATATATTATAAATATTATATAAAGAAGCTAGAAATAACCCCGTCTATATTCGATACTTATCTATTATTTAATAACGATATAATAGTAATTATTAACTTATAAATCGAATAACTCTCTTATTACTGAATATTATCGAGTTTATAAATATAAAATTATAAGAATTATACGCCGCTAGACTATTAACTAAGCTATTCGAAAGACTTACTTTAAAATAACCTCTCGAATTTAATAGATTTATTATTACTCTTAAAGATAATATAAGAATTAGCTAATATAAGATAGATAAAGAAGATTTAATTACTTTTAAAGTTATTTATAAAAGAGTAATATATCGCCTAGAGAGCTCGAGAAGCGTATATTATAACGGTATCGCAG